CCACCATCAACATCGGTGAGTACATCCTACTGTCTCCACCATCAATATCGGTGAGTACATCCTACTGTCTCCACCATCAACATCGGTGAGTACATCCTTCTGTCTCCACCATCAACATCGGTGAGTACATCCTTCTGTCTCCACCATCAACATCGGTGAGTACATCCTTCTGTCTCCACCATCAACATCGGTGAGTACATCCTTCTGTCTCCACCATCAACATCGGTGAGTACATCCTTCTGTCTCCACCATCAACATCGGTGAGTACATCCTTCTGTCTCCACCATCAACATCGGTGAGTACATCCTTCTGTCTCCACCATCAACATCGGTGAGTACATCCTTCTGTCTCCACCATCAACATCGGTGAGTACATCCTTCTGTCTCCACCATCAACATCGGTGAGAACATCCTTCTGTCTCCACCATCAACATCGGTGAGTACATCCTTCTGTCTCCACCATCAACATCGGTGAGTACATCCTTCTGTCTCCACCATCAACATCGGTGAGTACATCCTTCTGTCTCCACCATCAACATGGGTGAGTACATCCTTCTGTCTCCACCATCAACATCGGTGAGTACATCCTTCTGTCTCCACCATCAACATCGGTGAGTACATCCTTCTGTCTCCATCATCAATAACGGTGAGTACATCCTTCTGTCTCCACCATCAACATCGGTGAGTACATCCTACTGTCTCCATCATCAATAACGGTGAGTACATCATACTGTTCCCACCATCAACATCGGTGAGTACATCCTTCTGTCTCCACCATCAACATCAGTGAGTACATCCTTCTGTCTCCACCATCAACATCGGTGAGTACATCCTTCTGTCTCCATCAACATCGGTGAGTACATCCTTCAGTTCCCACCATCAACATCGATCGATGAGTACATACTACTGTCTCCACCATCAATAACGGTGACTACATCATACTGTTCCCACCATTAAATGAGTCAGCACCAGATTTGTAGGAGTGAAATGGTGACTCCCTGTTGACATTGAACTTCTGTTTCAGCATACTGGGTTGTGGTACGAGATTGCCCGTACACCAGACCCAATGCTGACCATGGATGCCACCATTGGCTACTACCTGCCAGTTGGTGGAGGAAACATGAAGATGCTGTACAGTGGAAGGACGTGAGTCAGTTTCTCCCAGCTTTGTTGAGGTGGGGCTGTGTTCTAGATGGGCCAGGGTTTCTATTCTAGTATTGAGGATTTGGAGGTATTGAGTTTTGGATTGGCCATGTCTTCAAGTATGGGGTCTTGGCTCAAGGTCAGCTGTCTGGTCAATGATACTCGGCTATGGGGTCAAGGACACACTGGGCTTAAAAGTGAGCTGTTGGGTCAAGACCACTACCCGATAGAAGGGGGCCTTATGGGTGAGTGGGTGAGTTAAAATTTTATGTCACATCGGCAATATTTCAGCAATGTCTTGACAACAATTGGGACTATTGGATTAAAGGTGGACTATGGGATTGAGGCTGCTAAGGGATTAAAAGAGGGCTATGGAGTTAATGCCACTATGGGATTAAAGATGGGCTATGGGGTCAAGGCCAAAAAGGGATTAAAAGAGGGCTATGGGGTTAAGGCCACTTTGGGAGTAAAGGTGGGCTATGGGGTCAGGCCGCTATAGACTTAAGGTGGGCTTTTTGAAAGTACATCTACATCTGTTTCAGACCTGACGGCCAGTGTAAGGGACCCATGTTTGGTGACCTTCGGCCTCGTTGTCCTAACAACATTGATGGCAACTACCAGGGTCGGATCAAGATGCCAAGGATGTGGCTGTGGAGTGAGTAGATAGTTGTAGGGGTTAGGTTGGTTTGTTGTTTAACGCCGTACTCAGCAATATTCCAGCTATATGGTGGCGGTCTGTAAATAACCGAATATGGACCAAATAATACAATGATCAACAGCACGAGCATCAATCTACGCAATTGGGATACGATGACATGTGTCAACCAAGTCAGCGAGCCTGACCACCCGTTAGTCGCCTCTTACGACAAGCATGGGTTGCTGAAGACCAATTCTAACCCGGACCTTCACGGGTTGTAGGAATAAGGGTGTGGGGAAACATGAGTGTGAGTGAGTAAATGAGTGACATCAAACACCTGTAGACGAACATAAGATGTAGACTTGACATTAAAATCTGCCGAGGTCTTAGATTTAACAGCAAATCTGCAGATATCGATCTAATGTCTGTGGACTAAACACGAAACATCTGCTGAGATCTGGAGATTTAACAGCAAATCTGCAGATATTGATCTAATGTCTGCCCAGATCTGGAGATTTAACAGCAAATCTGGACTAAACACTAATGTCTGTGGACTAAACACGAAACATCTGCCGAGATCTGGAGATTTAACAGCAAATCTGCAGATATTGATCTAATGTCTGTGGACTAAACACGAAACATCTGCCGAGATCTGGAGATTTAACAGCAAATCTGCAGATATTGATCTAATGTCTGCGGACTAAACACGAAACATCTGCCGAGATCTGGAGATTTAACAGCAAATCTGCAGATATTGATCTAATGTCTGCGGACTAAACACGAAACATCTGCCAAGATCTGGAGATTTAACAGCAAATCTGCAGATATTGATCTAATGTCTGTGGACTAAACACGAAACATCTGCCGAGATCTGGAGATTTACCATCAGACAGGTTAAATGTAAATCATTTCACATTCAACTCTAACATTTCCATTGCAGCGTCTTGGAAGGTATTATACACAGACTACGACCACGCTATGTTGGCCCTGTCCTGTATGGACGAGGATGACAACGGACTGTGTACCCCCTTGGGCACCAAGATGCACATCATGAGTCGGAATCACACCCTCTCCACCGACCTCCGAAACAAACTCAACCTGCTGGTGCAGTCAGCATGTGTCGACCCTTCTTCTCTCAAAGACACTATACATGATGGTGAGTATCTGGGAGTGGGAGAGTGTGGTTTTAAGCCACTTTCAGCAGTGTTCCAGCAATGTCAGGGTAAGGGATGATCATAGTGGACTTCACACATGATGAGAACAGTGTGCGAAACAGTTTCCAAATTTGCTAGCCAGTTGGGCTAGCTATGCCTGAAGGTTATTAGCTCACAAAATTATTCTAAGCTAAGATTTTCTAAGCTCTCTTAGCGCTAAGATAGTTGTAAGTTAATGTTAAGGTATGGCACTTACGACTATCTTAGTGCTATAGTCCGTTTGCTCAAAATCGAACCGATGAATTGCAATCTAAGATTTTAGTTTCTCACCAAATGAGATGATGTGATACGAGTTTAACATCACAGGCAATTTATTGCACTTACATAACAATGTGTGCTGGCAATTGGGAGCCTGACAGAATTTGAGTTCAAATCCGGGATGGGACTCAACCTAACAAAACTACATAGAAGCTGTACCTTAGTGAGAAAGTATTACCCCAAATATAACATGTTACATTTGACCACTTTCTAAAGGGCATTAAGTGTTTATCGTACATGTCGTGTATGTCTGGATTATTGTGCCAGCCCATGTTCCAACTTTTTTTTATCCCTTTCATGCCAAGTGCCTGGCTGGTAACGACATACACCATCATTTAAACGTCTTTAGGTATGACATAGCTTGGCATCTAACCTCGGCATCTAACCTCCAACTCTCCAGGAAGACCCTCTGTCCATCAAATACATGATACTGTACAACTCTATAACACTATCCAGTGAAATAATCACTAATAACATCCTGCATTGCTATTTTAGATAGTTGTCGTGGTAACGTGGAAGCTGCAGTGGAGCAACTCAAGGCAGAGCAGAGAGGGAGATAACTCAAGACAGAGCTAAAAGGGAGATAACTCAAGGCAGATTTTTAAAGGGAGATAATTCAAAACAGAACTACAACTGACCTTGATGAAGACAATGGCAAAACAATTGCATTATGTCCAAGAGAGTTGTCAAACATTTTTTACTACTGATATTTGTATCATGTAAGAGATACACATATATTTTTACAACACTATTACCTAAAATACATTACATGTACATGAATATTGCATTAAGTTATAGGTTTCCTCTGTGTGGTGTTATTTCACATCTACAGTTATGACCATTGCAACAGTGAAGTGGGAAGCGACCGAGGTGCTCAAATTAACCTGATGAACTGTTGAATTCCTTCGCCTTATACACAGCGATATACAGAATATCTCCACACTCTTTGGTTTGACCCTGACTTGTAATATTGAACGTTTATATCTCATGATCAGATACTCATCAAAAGTACATACATTTCTTCATTTATACTGTAACTTGTATGACATGGAATCAAAAGGCTTCGCAAGATGGTTCCAAAATAGTTAAATATGGACACACTTTGAAAGCGTATATTCAATTTTTGTAATAATTATCAAAAAGGCCACCAAAAATGACATTCTTCTAAGTATTTAGTTTTGAAGTAATCAAACACAACAATGTTGTTATGTTTGAATCTTGCTGGATGTTTCGAGGGGATCGTTTAATGTCAGTCATTTTGAGTTAAAGTTGGTTATGCATTTTCAGAGTGTTTCAGTAGGCATATATTAGGCGTTCTTTTTAGTGTTTTTGTCCTGATGAAAGATAATCAGGGATGGCAATTTTCCGCTGATCTGTGGATTTCCACGGATTTTATTTCAAATTGTTCAATTGTGAATCGTCTAAATCCATTGAGAAACCCTCACCTCGATGACACAATATTAAGTTTTCAGCTGAAAATAGATTTTCCTGTTGCCATCCCTGGATAATACTGCAGAGAATGCATGTCATGATTTGTGTGTAAAATGTACATTGTCTCAGCTTATGAACAGTTTTCAGGATAACAGTCTCATACTGCTTTTACCATTCACAGAATCATTTTCACTGCACTTCACTATTCAGCCATCAGTCATTGTTACATCATGCATGAATTGTGTACAACAATGTGCCAAATTATCAACTTCCGTCCACTTACTTATCATGCTTAGAACATCAAATAAAAATTCCTCATGCAGATTGTTTGTTTATTTTGTGTCATGAGATATATACACAATGGAATATACAATAAACATTGACATGAACATACATAGATGATATGTACATAGTATCTTGCTGAATCGAGGGCTGGCTAAAAGATTGATAATTAGATATATATCATCAATGGAAAGAATTATCAATGATTATCGATATGAAAATTGTGTCATCAATAACATCATACTCAGTCTAATGAGATGAAAAATAGTTTTAATTTATGCACATTGTACACAAAGCTTTGTCGATTTTCAAAGGCTGCTTCTAAAGTTTGTTCAGGACGCTGTTTAGTTGGTCATCCATGAATACATATATCATCACTCAACAGCGATGTAAAATATCTTGATTCCTTTTGGACTTGTTTTGGAATTTTCGCTCACATTTATATTTCCAATATTTATCGATAATCAATTGATATTTAATTAATGAATATTGACTTCTATGAACTATATTGATAGCCAGCCCTAACACAATCTGATGCTTTGATGAATGATGCTTTGAGGTCAAGGTTGAACTGCATTTCATAATATCCTGCCCAGTATAGTACCTACTACCTAGTGTTAACGACTCGCCGCCGTGGTGTATTCTCAGGCACGACGTTAAACCCCATATCATATCACCTCACCTAGTGTTAACAGTAGTTGTAACTTCCCTGCTCTACTCATCATCCAGTCATGTATTGTTCAGCACTACTGCATCTATCTTGGATGTGTCATGAACAGAGGTCTTTACAGTTGATCAGCTAAGATCTGCACTTCCCACAAACCACCCTTCAGTTTTCCTGAGGCAGAGCTCCTTAGCCCTTTAACCATTTGTTGGCTGGTTGGTTTAATGCCGCACTCAAACTACATGGCGGAGGTCTGTAAATAATCGAGTCTGGACCAGACAATCCAGTGATCAACAGCATGAGCATCGATCTGCACAATTGGGATACGATGACATGTGTCAACCAAGTCAGCAGCCTGACCACCCAATGCTGCTGGTCAACATAAGAAGACCAATTCTAACCTGACTTCACCCTAAGGGGTAGTTGCCTTTATTACAGCGGGCATGGGTTACTTAAGATCAATATTCTAACAAGAATGGGTTGCTGAAGTCCCAGATCTTCGCAGGTTCTCAAACTATTTGTGCTCTGACATGCAGACATGTCTTCAGTTAGTGTGATGACTGCTGCCACCATCTCCTCAGCTTCTTGCAGATCAATTGTTTGAAACAACATCAAGGAAAACACAGACACTTGCCTGAAGTGAGTGAGTGAGTATGGTTTTATGCCGCTTTTAGCAATATTCCAGCAATATCACGGCAGGGGACACCAGAAATGGGCTTCACACACTGTACCCGTGTGGGGAAATAAACTCGAGCGAACACTTTAACCACTAGGCTACCCACCGCCCCTCTTGCCTGAAGTAATTGACACCATCTTCAAACAAGTAGAAACTGTTCTTAAGTTATAATCTAACATGTGTTCAGATTCTGAGTCCTTAAGGCGTTTCATGAACCTTGAGTAGCATCGTCTCAGCTGTGGAGCCATGGCCTTCTTCTATCGTGAAGCTTATAGACGTCCAGTCTGGAAACATGTCTGGTAGGTTATCAGAACCGCCTCATCTGCTTCTTGAACTTCTCGTAGTGGAAGTCATCGGTGGCCTTCTCATCCTGACTGGACTTGCTGGAGGAACCTGCACAGACACATCATTTATTTTGTTTATTTATTTTTTGTTTAATGCCGCACTCAACAATATTCCAGCTATATGGCGGCGGTCTGTAAATAATTGAGTCTTGACCAGACAATCAACATCATGAGCATCGATCTAAGCCATTGGGATACAATAAAGTGTCAACCAAGTCAGCGAACCTGACCACTTGATCCCATTAGTCGCCTCTTACGACAAGCATGGGTTACTGAAGACCTATTCTAATTAAATTAAATCTTACCCTGGTCTTCACAGGAAGGACGGTTATTTACCACAGTATCATATCCCTCAATCAGGGATTTCCAGGACCCGAATTCTTGCATCCTATACGCATAAAAATTGTCAATGGACGCAACGAAATTTATTAGTGCATCCACAAGGACGCAAAAAAAAAGCAAATACTTTTTGTACAAATTCCAATCAAGTGGCAATAAGTTATCACTGAGTTTACTACTAGCTGGGTTATGGTATCATTTGCAATTTAATTACTGTAACAATGTGATGATCATGATACACAATACAATAACAGTATTAATAATAATATTTAAGTGTCTGGGACCCCCATTTTGTTGTCCGGGACCCCTGAAAATTAAGAGTATGAATCCCAGGGACCCTCAAATACAGGACTCCAGGTAAATCCCTGCCTCAATACTTTCCCCAACATACGACAAATCTGTGCCTACATTACCATACTAGTGCCGTCCTAGCAGCCACTGGCAGGTAACAACAATAGCTCCCACTGTTCACACAACATCCCCCCAAGGGACCAGTTGACAACAAATATGTTTTGCTGGCATTATTTTCACACCCGTGAAGATCTGGGTTAGAACTGATCTTCAGTAACCCATGCTTGTCGGAAGAGGCAACTAACGGGATCAGGTGGTCAGGCTCGCAGACTTGGTTGACACATGTCATCGATTATTTACAGACCGCCACCATATAGCTGGGATATAGCTTGGTGTGGCGTCAATCAATCAATCAATCAATCAATCAATTCTTAAAATCCCTGACAGACATGATATATATATAGATATACTGTACCATGAGTGGCGTTGAGGGAGTCCACGTCTCCCACTCGGAGTGGTGTGATCATCGGCTGCTCTACCTTCTTCAACACCGGCGCCGTGTCATCAATGTTGACTGAAACAAGAGGTAAAAACTTCACACAACTGATCCAGCGGGCAACATGTATTGCTGTTGTAAATGAACACTGTGTATTTGTTGTTCATTTGGATTTAGTCATCCATGGTGTTTTCTATGGGCTGATAATGTATTGAACTCTCATAGTCATGTATTAAATACTTATTCACTTAACAACAGATAAACATCACAGTTCACATTCACTGGCCCAACAGTGCAGGGGTGGAAATAACCCATTGCCCGACGTCCCAGTCCAGTTTTTTGTTCTGTCGGGCAAGCAAATTTGTATATCACTCTGTACCGGTGTCCAGTTGACTTTCTAATGTTAATTATGTGGGTTTTTTGAAAATCAACAAGAACATTGGCCGGTATAGTGGAAAAATTATCAGGGCAGGGTATTTTACATGTGCCACTGTACCGGTGTAAGTTATTTCCACCCCTGCAGTGGTATATCCGACTCTACAGTAGTTTTCCTTGTCCAACAGTTTTGTTTCCTGGCCTAACAGTAGCATTCCTGAGTCAAAATAGTTGTATTTCTGGCCCCACGGTTGAATTTCCTAGGCATGAGAGTTCCTGGCAGTTGTCCTCCCTGGCCGTAACAGCTCAAAACAGTTTTTTGTCAACAAGAATTTGAAACAAACTCACATCGGTTATGTTGGACAAAGTTGACAGCCATGTTTGTCGGTACGAAGGCCGACACCTCGTTCTCCTTTTTCTTCATCTTTTCCTGAATCAACTTGTCCTTCGCATCCTCTGTTGCTTCAATGTTACGGATCTTTGCTCTGTACAACACACAATGAGTTTGGATGAATAAAACAGAGACCAGGTCTTCACGTATTTTTGTTATATCCAGGGCCGCAGTTAACTTTTCTTAATAAGGGGGGCACTATCAATGTTAAAAGTGAGTGAGTGAGTTGGGTTTTAATAATATTCCAGCAATATCGCGGCTGGGCCAGAAATGGGCTTCACACAGTGTGCCCATTATGGGAATCGAACCCGGGCTTTGCTAGATGCATAACGAGCAATCTTTAACCACTGGGCTACCCAGCCCCCCAATGTTAAAAGAGTGTTATATCAATACTTTGATGCATAAAAGTAATCTGTAAAAAATCTGGGGGGCATATCTAACTTTAATGACCCTGATATCACAGTGTGTCACTTTGAATCATAGTCCATGTTTTTTTATTGAAAATTCATACAAACAGTGGTTTTGTTTGGTTTGTTGTTTCATGCCACTCAACAATATTACAGCTATATGGTGGGGGTCTGTAAATAATCGAGTCTGGACAGGAGAATCCAGTGATCAATAGCATGAGCATCAATCTACGCAATAGGGATACGATGACATGTGTCAACCAAGTCAGCGAGCCTGACCACCCGATCCCGTTAGTTGCCTCCTAGGAAAAGCATGGGTTACTAAAGACCAATTCTAACCTGGATCTTCATGGGTGGACAAACAGTGAGCCTAAACAGGAGCGAAAACATAATGCTCCTGTTTTTCGCCTGGTGATAATGTTTGTAACATGTCACAACGAGACATTTCTTATGATGTAAGTTAAAATATGATGCTTTTGATCTGTAAATCTCTATATTTCCTGAGTTGAAAAGAGTAATAGTCATCCAGATACTTTCGATTTTTGCAATCAATATTTAATATCTCTCCCTACTACTAGTGAATTATATACTGGCTTTAGTATAATGGACTGTGAAGGACTGTCAATAAATGCCACTTATACAGGCGAAGCGGAGATGTTACTTACTCAATGCCAAGGTCTATCTCCTGGAATGCCAGACAGCATCTGATTGGACAACATATCCTCTGACCTCTTTGTGGCAGACTTGACCTTCAGATGGTCTGGCAGTTGGTACAGGGAATCCTCTGCCCTGAAACGTACAACAGAGTTTACACAGGTGACACACAGAGCAGCTTACACAGGTGACACACAGATTACACAGTGACACACACAGCAGTTTACACAGGTGACACACACAACAGGTTTTTACACAGATAACACAATGCAGTTTACACAGGTGACACACAACAGTCTATACAGGTGACAGCACTTTTAAAAGGTAATACACACAGTTTAAACAGGTACACAGGTGACACACACAGCAGTTTACACAGGTGACACACACAGCAGTTTACACAGGTGACACACACAGCAGTTTACACAGGTGACACATAGCACACACAGGTGACACACAGCAGTTTACACAGGTGACACACACAGCAGTTTACACAGGTGACACAGCAGCAGTTACACAGGTGACACAGCAATTTACACAGGTGACACACACACAGCAGTTTACATAGGTGACACACAGAGCAGCAGTTTACACAGGTGACACACAGAGCAGTTTACACAGGTGACACACACAGCAGTTTACACAGGTGACACACACAACAGTTTACACAGGTGACACACACAGCAGTTTACACAGGTGACACACACAGCAGTTTACACAGGTGACACACACAGCAGTTTACACAGGTGACACACAGAGCAGTTTACACAGGTGACACACACAACAGTTTACACAGGTGACACACACAACAGTTTACACAGGTGACACACACAGCAGTTTACATAGGTGACACACACAGCAGTTTAAACAGGTGACACAGACAGCAGTTACACAGGTGACAATACACACACAGCAGTTTACACAGGTGACACAGCAGTTTACACAGGTGACAGAGCAGTTTACACAGGTGACACACACAGCAGTTTACACAGGTGACACACAGTTTACACAGGTGACACACAGCAGTTTACACAGGTGACACACACAGCAGTTTACACAGGTGACACACACAGCAGTTCACAAGGTGACACACACACAGCAGTTTACACAGGTGACACACAGCAGTTTACACACACAGCAGTTTACACAGGTGACACACACAGCAGTTTACACAGGTGACAGAGCCGCTTTACACAGGTGACACACACAGCAGTTTACAAGGTGACACACACAGCAGTTTACAAGGTGACACACACAGCAGTTTACACAGGTGACACACAGCAGTTTACAAGGTGACATACTACCACAAGTGACATTCAGATGGCATGTGATCTGTTAGCTGCTACACGACCCACCTGTTCTTATCCTCCTTCGACTCTGACTTCACTGCACGCCCTTTCCTCTTGGCCAGCTCATCCTCCACATATTTCAACCTGGAACACAGTAATGCTGATACATACTGATGGTTATTTATACACAAGCACAGAGTAACCATGGTAACTACTCACTTCTATATCCCGGTCCTGGGTAATTCTCACCAACATATATTGGTACACAGTAACCATGGTAACTACTCACTTCTATATCCCGTAACCATGGTAACCATGTTGTAAATCCATGGTAACTGTCTCATGTTGTTACATCCAGCTCCTGGATAGATCCGACCCATATATATCAGCACACAGTTACCATGGTAACACATAAAATTTGACTCGTCTTTATCCTGGTCCTGGATGAATCTTTTCTAGTCTTTGGTCCGCTATATCAAATACAACAAGCATTGTCACTAAGGTGACATAATCCCCCGCCGCAAATTATCAAATCAAACTTAAAAAGTAATGAAAGTTTAAGATGAAGTTACATGTCAACAAAAACATGACCAGTTAACCTCTCTTGATATCTTCTCTTTAGTTGTTCAAACACAAATATTTTCAAGAGTGACTTTGACCTTGACATGAATGTCATAGTGTATGAAATATCCATAATGGTACTAAAGAAATTGCTTATTGAAAACCATTCAAGGGAAGTCTTGAAAGTCTATGAAGAAAGTCCAGTTAATTCAGGTTAACATGCTGAAACCTTCAAAGTGTCACAGTGACCTTGAAAATAATGTGAAGGTCACCAAATTCGACTGGGCCCTGTGCCTTCCCTGGATGAAGCTTGATGTCAAATATGAAGAAAATCTAGTGAACGGTTCTTGAGACATCTCGCTGACAAGAGTAACACGATAAAGTCCCCTTGTGACCTTGAAATTAAGGTCATGGTCACCAAACCTGACTGGGACCTTTCTTATATTGTGATGAACCTAGGTACCAAATATGAAAAGAATCTAGTCAACGGTAATTAAGATATTCCAATTCGTACGTATGTACAGACAGAGTCTAATAGTAATACTATATCCCCTGCTTTGCGCTAAACGTGCGGCGGGGGAAAACAATATATATACCATGGTAACGGAACAAAACATTATATCCCTGTATGAAGCCAATTCCGAAAGAGTCCTGCCATGTGTAAACAAAACACAGTAACCATGGTAACTTACATCTCTGTGTCTTCGTCTCTCCGGTTTGTTTCCGCAGCAAATGCCGTTCCAATGGCCTCTGCAGCCTCACCAGTCACTGGCCTGATAAAAACAGACAACAAACATGATGTACAACACCGCACGGGTCAGACATGTTTGACTTGTGGATATTTACTGTGTTCTTGCTGGATGTTCTGTACCTTGGACTTAAAACCATGTGCCCATGGCAGGCATTTTGGGAAAATAATAAATATTTTGCACCAATCAGGGACAATTTCTTTTTGGGTTTAGCATTCACTGCCACAAACCACTAGGCTAATACAAGAACCTGACAATCTGTGAGTATGGTTTTATGCCGCTTTTAGCAATATGCCAGCAACATCACAGCAGTCGAACACTAGGAATCATTTAAAAGATTAATACTGGCGAGAACAAATGATTTCATGGTATGATTGGACCACGTTTTAAATCCAATCAAGCCATGAAATCCTTTGTTTCCGCCATTATTAATCTTTTAAATGATTACTAGTGTTTGTCTTACCTTGTTAGCGTGTTATATGTGTGTTATTCATTTATGAAAATAATTTAATCATTTTATCTTGTTTTTACACAAGAAATCCCTCACGGGTAATAAAGTATTGTCATTGTTATTATCTGACAATCTGTGATCAGACCAACAAGTGTAAGTACATAGCCTCAATTAATCTGTGGTTGTTTCACTGTTGTATACATTTGATAAAATTTTGAGTAACTTACACTTTCTTCAGAGTTTTCATGTCAATAAAACCTCCAGTTTTCATCTTGAAAGGATCCGCCTATTTTAAAAACAAAAAGAACAAGTTTCATTTTAGTTTTTTAAAAACATTTCTCAGCATTACTTCAACTTTATGATGGTGCTGTGTATATAGGGCAAATATTTGAGTCTGGACCAGACGATCCAGTGACCAACATCATGAACATCATGGATTTGTGACCTAGCAACATGTATCAACATATCAGTGAGCCTGAATACCTGAATCTTTTAGTCGCCTTTTATGACAAGCACCACTGACACAATACTTGAGTCTGGACAAGACAATCCAGTGATCAACATTATGACAAGCACCACTGACACAATACTTGAGTCTGGACAAGACAGTCCAGTGATCAACATTATGACAAGCACCACTGACACAATACTGGTGTATTCAACATCATGACTAGCAGTCTGCAGCACCTACATCTTCAACATCCTCGGTCTTCTCGATCTTCTTACCCAGGGCGAGGCTGGCGGCGCTGACACCATTCTGCCTCCCCTCATCTTCTGCAACTCCTTGATGTCCTCCAACTTACATCTGGAACAAGGTCAAGGTCAGCCAGTGAGTTGATAAACCAGCAGGTCAAACTTTACCATGGCAAACCAGTCCCAACAAACATCTGTCATCGTCAATGCTGACACACTGTTTTTCTGTATTCTGAATAAGTGGACAAAGGGAGGCAACTCTAGAGGCAATGCCTGTGATCATGTGCAGAAATGTCAGAAAAAAACAAACTCATTTGCCTAGACTTTCTGCCAAATACTGCTCCACTTTTACTTACTTACTATATATATAACTATGATTTTTGTTTTCATAATGTTCCTCTTAATTTCAACGCTGGCCTAAGAGGCCAACTCTGAATTGCACTAGGATTCGCCAGCTGTGAAAGCAAATTACAGAATAATGTGGACTTTTTTTTTCACTCATTGTCCCTATCCAGTATAGCACAGTTCCGTTCCGATGATTAGACTAGCTTTAAGATGGCAACAGAAGTATAACCTAACACACTGTGTTATTATAGGATCATTCTTGATAGGTTTACCATCGCAATATCACCTGGGTACAAAACAATAGATCAAGTTGTTAAACATGTTAAATATATATCATTGGTCTATGGCATAACAGATGAACATGAAAGAAATACTGACTGACTGACTGAGTTTGGTTTTACGCCGCTTTTAGCAATATTTCAGCAACATCACGGCAGGGGACACTAGAAATGGGCTTTACTCATTGTACCCATGTGGGGATTCGAACCCGGGTCTTCGGCGTGACGAGCCAACGCTTTAACCACTAGGCTACCCCACCACCCCATGAAAGAAATAACTATTTCAACAAACTGCACCAGACTATAGTCATAAAACCAGATTATTAAAGCTGATGAAATATTCACAGGACCTAAAGCTTGATATATTTTACAGGGTACATTTAGATAGCAAACTGAGAGTGACAATCAGCCACAATGCCAACTTGAAACTCCCAAAGTGCATTTACACTCTAAATTTTGGTAATGAAGATGTTTTTCATTTGTTCTTTGTTTTAAATGCCTCTGAAATATTGCAGCTACAATGCGATGACTGTGATCCTGTGATCAAACAATTACCTCACAACCTGATAGATTTGGTCACCTACATTAACCATAACTTAATGGGGACCAATTCTAAAACAGTGAGTGAGTGAGTATGGTTTAACGCCGCTTTTAGCAATATTCCAGCAATATCACGGTGGGCGACACCAGAAATGGGTTTCACACATTGTACCCATGTGGGGAATCAAACCCGGGTCTTCGGCGTGATGAGCCAACGCTTTAACCACTAGGCTACCCCACCGCCCCAATTCTAAAACCACAGGCGCTTAACATATATGTTATATATATAGGTCATACTTATAAACATATCAGAGTCAAGCGCCTGTGTCTCAAACAGAATATTTGACAATGTCTCAAAGATTGAATCCTAATACTGTGCTTCAACTAAATGTCATGAAAATCATATTTAACTGGGTACGGAATTTACAGCAAAAAATTACATCATTTTGTTCCTGCAACCACGAATTTTGGAATCAAAACATATATTTTTTTAAGAGTTCCATATTCAAATATCGGTTGCGTCAACCTGAATAATGATGAACATTTTCAAAAGGCTCTCTTTTATTGTCAATCTTAAACCTTATTTGATTATTACTCAAGGGTAACAAGGCAATATAACATTCGTTTTCAAAACGTTCACATGATCGAAAATAGAACACAAAATTCAGATCACTATATTTTGTGGTTTGCCTGTTTAATTTCATTTCATCTTGGGCAGAGATAATGCCACTTTCTTACATAACGTCTTTTCCTTCTTCATCTGAGTTGTCACTGTCAGACGAATGTCTTCTTTTCCTGACATTACGGGTTTTCTTGGGTTTAAACATGTTGCCTTGTTTTTATCACACGACTCTTTGTGAAAGAAGGCGAGAATAAGCATGCGCTTCAAGGGACATAACTCCGAGGAAGTAAAACAAGGACGTTGGACTACTTGGGCGGATCCAGGAATTTTGAAAGGGGTGGGGGGGTGTTTCAGGGGGTTCGAATCATATATCGAATCAATCGGGTATAAACATATGATTATTTTCTTGTTATTTTTTTATAGTATTACTTATGACACTTGGGAAATTAGACATGCTAGCGACAAATTTTGTTCTTTCATCATTAGAAACATAGAAACAGGTAGGTCGATTCTGGGTATAGCCACATCCTAAGGTCCCAAGGGACCGTTCTAAATTTATGGCTAGGGGGTGGGCATCCTCGACAATCTCTACAGTGGAGAGTTATCGTAACGTATACCCTGGAGATTATCGAGGAGGGTGTGTGGTGTGTGTGGTGTGTGTGGTGTTTTGATGATTTTATGGAGAAGCATGTACAATGTGAATGAATTTATGTACAAAGTAAGTAACACACACCCCACCCCCACCCTCCACACACCCAGTCATGTACAAAATCAATTAACTCCCATAATTTTTAAGCATTATTATTTATCATTATTATATGTAAAATTGATAACCCCCCTACCTCCCCAGAACAATATGGGTGACCCCGCCTTAAAATTATCATCATCCCCCAGCCATGAATTATGAATGAAAGCCGAGTATGGTTTTATGCATGTGTGCTAATACTTATGGAGTGAAAGGAAGCTATGCCGATGAAAAAATACTTGCAAAATCACAAAAAGTCAGCAGAGGTACAGATAAGCTACGTATCTGCGTAAATTACGCAAATATTTATGTGAAAACTCAATTCCCATTAAGACTATTACGTACAAGTACGCTTGAATTTTGGTAAATACTCAATAAATGTGATCTTACATGTGTACACACGAAAATGTCAAATCTTAGCTTGCGTTAAGGTCGATAGATAAAATAAGTTAGGCATACTGAGAGGTTCTATTACAGCATATGAACTTGACAACTTGCAGTCTTTCTTGTCGTTTCTCATATTACAGATCAAAAATAAATAACAAAAAACAAGCATTTAAACTTTTTTGATTTTCAAAATTAATGGAAGACGGCAAAATACCCAATTGAGTTTGGGTGAGGGTGAGTACAATTTATTTGGTTACTCTAAGGAAAATTAGGATACCCAATTGAGATGAACACAAGCGAGTACGTAACTCAATGACCCAAAAAGTTATCTGTAGCTCTGAAAAGTGCAAAGTGCGCTTTCAAGAACTATCCATTTTGTTGAAGAGAAGCATAGTCCCTGAGTTTTGATGGGTTGCAATCCGAATGATAACAGGAAGTCACGTGACTGACAGCATCGCGTGTACATTACAGGCACGAAGATTGTAAGGCTGCTAGACCATATGTACCAAAAGCGTTTTTCTCGTTATTTGTTTATCATTTAACGCCACACTGAGCCTCTTTGCAGCTATATGACATATGAGTCTGGACCAGAGAATCCAGTGATGGACACGAAGAGCATCGGTCTTCGCAACTGAAATACGATTACATATGTCAAAATAAGTCTGACCATACCACTCGATCCCATTAGTCGCCTCTTACCACAAGCATGAGTTACTGAAGATCAAACATTGATCTTCACGGGTCTCCTAGTTGGTGAGTGAGTAGTGAGTTTTACGCCGCTTTTAGTAATATTCCAGCAATATCAAAGCGGGGAACGCCAGAAATGGGCTTTACGCGTTGTACTCATGTGGGGAATCGAACCCGGGTCTTCGGCTATAATTTGTTTTAAAGTCTGTAGGACAGACCAACTGGATGGATGGGTGGGTGGGTGTGGTGGGTTCTGAGAAGCGTGACTGATTTTGGTACGGTAATTACTGTTGGGATCGTTGTGGATTTCTAGGTGGGGTGACTGTTTTAGACGCTTTAACCATAAGGCTACCCCGCCGACCCCACGGGTCTACTAACAGATCAGCGATAATGAATGTAACAAAATATCAACTGAATGAATGAAAAGCAACATTATCAAATTCTTATTGTTTTATTGACATAAAATATCAATCTTGGAACACACACACATCTTGACATTCCTGTGAGGAAGACTTCAAACAAACATGTTGTATCCATTGATGTGATACTTCCTGCATGCCTTTGTGATATACAGTATGTGTACTACGGGCGAGTATTGGACTCAGAGAGTATAATATAACTGGAATTGCTGGCTATGGGATTCTGTGATACAGCTGTGAGTGAGTGAGTTTAGTTTTACGCCGCACTCAGCAATATTCCAGCTATATGGCGGTCGTCTGTAAATAATTGAGTCTGGACCAGACAATCCAGTGATCAACAGCATGAGCATCGATCTGCGCAATTGGGAACCGATGACATGTGTCAACCAAGTCAGCGAGTGATATAGCTGTAATATACCTAGAATAGTGCTTACTACAACCCATAGTGATATTCTTTACCGGTTGTATGGTACAAATCAATCAAGACATAAAACTGTGAGTCAACTATTCTTGGGCTGACGGTGCCATTATTGGTTTACATGAATCAAGGAATGTGTCGATACTCATCTCTATATTTGGATACAGACACACACAGACAGGGGTATATAATTTAATAGGTGTAAAACATACGACGTTTTAGTGAAAAGCCGTCTTCACAGACCAAACCATGCTTTCGTACCGAATTGGTTTGGCTGATGAATACGTTGGTATAATTATATACGCAGTTTCATTAAAACGTCATGTGCTTCGAGAGGAGAATTTCGGCTTCAGGAAAGTAGGTCTTCACTTGGAGACGCCGGCACACACACAGTGTCGACCCCCATCGATGAAAATGAGCTGTCCCGTCACAAAACTCGCAGCGTCGGAGGCAAGGTAAGCAATCGACTCAGCTACATCCTGGGGTTGACCCACTCTGCCAAGGGGGTGGCGACCAGCTTGTTGCTCCAAGAACTGGAAACAGAACAACGACATTACAGCGCAGCCGTACCACAGGGACAATCTCATTATTTTGTTTGTTTAATGTTTAACGCCGTACTCAGCAATACTCCAGCTATATGGCGGCGGTCTGTAAACAATCGAGTCTGGACCAGACAATACAGTGACTGACATCTTGATTCCTTCCGTAACCTGCAAGAACCTTCGTCACCCCTGCTCCCTTCCGCCACCTGCACGAACATGCGTCAGCACCGCCCCGTTCCGTTACCACCACGTATATCCGTTGATGTAACAGTAACATTACGATCAATTCGAGAAACGGGGCTCCGGTAATTCATTATGGTGGATCCAGATCTGTTTTGAGAGTGACCTTGCCAATATTTCACGTAAGTCACCAAGGCGACCCAACAGGTTTGATATTCTATAAACGGAAATATACTTTATGATCTGACGTAACAGGTGACACGTATGTGTCAAATTATGACAGTTGACATCTATCCCGTCAGCATCAACGTTGCAGAGAAAGTAACGTAGCCACTGACCTTGGCGTACTCATCGTCCTTGTCGTGGAACGAAGTTCCCTCTCGTCTGTGTATCATACTCACGACAGTGCCGGGGCTGAAACAAGAGCTGGGCATGGAGCTGAGTCATTTTAACTTTGGCACAGATTGACTGTTCTATAAACCAACTGCCATTCGGCTAATTTGTTTGTTTGTTTGATTTGGGTGTTTTTGTTTAACGCCACACTCAGCAATATCCCAGCTATATGGCGGACTGTAAGTAATCGAGTTTGGGCCAGACGATCCAGTGATCAACATCATGAGTATGGATCTACGCAATTGGAATGCGATGACATTTGCCAAAACCCATTCTGCTAAGGGGTATTGTGGATATCTCATTATGTACAACCTTAAGAGAGGTACAGTCAAGTGAGACCCGATGCAAGGTTTTACATTTGAATTGTATAAACAACAGTTTAATATGCATTTCTTATTTTACACGAAGTCATAATTATTTTCGCTTTTAAATTTTAATTATGACGTTAATCGAACCAGCAATCCGACATATCATGTTTACAGTTTAACCCACTATATTTCCATAGAATATTGTTTGTTTGTTGTTTAACACCGCACTCAGCCCAGACTCGATTATTTACAGACCGCCGCAATATAGCTGGAATATTGCTGAGTGCGGCGTAAAACTAAACTCACTCACTCACTCACTCCTCGTGGCGTAGGGGCATTGGGATAGCCTCGTGGCTACAGCGTTCGCCGAAACTATGATTCAAGTCATGCACAATCCACTGTATGCCTGTAAATGTGTATGAGTGAATTTAGTTTTACGCCGCTTTTAGCAATACTCCAGCAATATCACGGCGAGGGACACCAGAAATGGGCTTCACACATTGTACCCATATGGGGAATCGAACCCACGTATCGGCGTGACGAGCGAACGCTTTAACCACGAGGCTACCCCACGGCCCCTGTAAATGTGTCGAATGGGAATCGAACCCAGGTATCGGCGTGACGAGCGAACGCTTTAACCACTAGGCTACCCCCACCGCCCCAGTAAATATGTATTATGTATATCAGTATGGCAGTAGACGCCTACACTGTTGGGCACAACTCAGTAGTTACCAGGATATCCGGACATGGGCAGATAGTTGGGTATATAGTTCCCCCTGTAAGTGAAGTGAGGTGAGGTGAGGTGAGGTGAGGTGAAATGGGGTTTAACGCCGTACTTGAGAATATTTCGCACATATGACGACGTGCATGCGTGTGTATGTGTATGTGTGGCTGCTTGTACTAGCCCAGACTTAAGCTGGTTTTATAGTGCTAGCCCACTGAGATACCATGCCGCAGTGAAGCATGAATACCCCACTCAGACACATTATACTGACTCCGAGCCGATCAGTCCTTGTTGTACCCATTAATGCCGAGCGCCAGGCAGGGACCAACAAGTACCACATTTTAACGTCTTTTGGTATGACGCGGCCGGGGATCGAACCCGCGACCTTCCGCTCTAACCACTACACCACGGAGGCAGCCACCCCTTTAATTGTGCCCGCCCGAGCATGTACGTGTGCGTGTGCATGTGCGTGTGCGTCTGTCCACAACTATGCTGTCTTGTAATGATAAACACATATGATGTTTAAAATTTCTCAGATGCGCATGTCACTCGTCACGTGTTATCATCAGAAAGAAATTCTTACTTCACAGAATTTACCCGAACTTTCTTGGGTGCAAGCTCTGTAAAAGAAAATGAAAACCTTCATAAACAAATGTCATGTTATGATAAACCAACCTTAGTCTGTCATACGGACCCTGAAGCAAATATATCCAAGAAATCCCACGCAAGTCTAGAAAATGTGGCAAGTCTAGATTTGAAAATAAAGAAAGTCTCAGGATTCCTTTTTATTATATTTTGATTTTTTTCACTGTGAGCCTTTTTTCTGTAAAATATGTTCATTTCAGAGACTAGTTGTTAGTCTAAACAAACCTGTAAACACTTTAATCTGGTCTAATTGAAAGAACAGCTTAATTAGTGATGCACAATGACAACAGAACACACCCCTACCCCCAACAGTGATCTCATTCTATACGTAATAGTCCACCCAACAACTCCCCCCAACCCCCCCAATCCTAACAGTATTCAAAACAGTCACTAGTACCTACACAAAGTTCCCCATCCCAACAATTACACCATCCAAAACAGTCACCCCTACATAGGAGGCCACCCCGTCCTAATAGTGACATTATCAGTCACTCGACTCCAATACCCATCCTACACAAAGTTACCCCATCCCAACAATCATACCATCAAAGCAATTACCCCCACCTAAAAATCCACCCCATGCTGACACGCATGCCAGACAACCCACCCACCCAGACAGACCCAACCCACCCAGACAGCCAGCCACCCACCCAGACAACCAACCCACTCCCAGACAACCACCCACCCAGACAACCACCCACCCAGATAACCACCCACCCAGACAACCCACCCATCCAGACCACCACCCACCCAGACACTCACCCAAAGCCAGACACTGAGTGAACATATCAAGGGCAGCCTTGCTAACGCAGTAGATCCCTATTTCCGGCATCTGGAACAGAAAAGACCATTGCTGCATCTCTAACGACGACAGACCATTTAACAAACGTTTTCATTCTCGACCACCAGCAACCAAAGTCAGACCACCTGAATGGAGATCCACTAATTGAAGAGATTGGCAATCGTGACGTCAGATAACTGCAAACAAAGGGTCATATTCCTCCGCCAGTATGCATTTCCGTGGGCAGAGTTTATTCCGTGATAAGAAACCTCCAACTCCCCAACCCCATCCAACCTAAAAATAAAACAAGCAAAAAAACCCCCCACCCCCCAAAAAAAGCCAAAAACCCCAAAAACAAAATACAACAAACAAAATCAAAACAAACCACAAAACCCACAAAAACACTGGCATAGAAGAAAATATCAGCTTGCTGGGTTACGAATTCGAAGCTTTTGACATCTGATCAAATGTTAACGAAGTCCTGTTTTCAGCTGTTCCAGAAGGGTTCTTGCAGCGAATTGGGCTTGTGGATAACTAAGTCCAAACAATAACCAGCAGGCACTCGATCACCTAGCCTTGACGAACAAAAGAAAGTACGCACAGGATGTTTTGGGATTATTTACAATAAACAAACAAGAGTAAATATTTTCAAAAGTGTTTTGATTGCGACTTACAGTTCACAAACATTGTGTACTTGTTGTACAATCAAAACAGTTTTCAAAATTATTGTTTTTAAATGATCTCAAAGCATAAAGTGTGCACCTTGGTGAACATCAGTTTATCGTTACTGAATCATTAAAGTTTTTGAAAGGCCTTTAGAAGTTAGACGAACATGAATACAAGACACGTTTTCTGTATGCATCAGTAAATGTCCACCATTAAACATTTCATACCACAAACTTAGATGGACTCACCGACTTGGCTCCGCAAATACTGGAGACGTTCACGATGTTCCCTGTAAGAATGAGCACTGACAATAAATCTGACAATATATCTTCAACGAATAACGCAGTCAATTAAAGGATTAAGAATGAAATTAATGCTTTCACATGTGTGCTGTTCACGTGATTACAGAGGTTTCTTTGGGTCAAACATGCTACAAAACACATGACCGTGGAATGGACAATGGCTGGCGCCGTTACGTCGATACGTGGGTTCGATTTACATATGTGAGGTATGTGTACACCCACACACACACACACACACACACACACACACACACACACACTTTTAACATCATATTGACTCAAGCCATTTGTTAGCTGAGGACGTTGTATGGTAGCCGCGTCTTCGAAAATCATTTACCCTTCCATTTGCGTCTCCTCCAGATGTATCCAGCCCCTTCGATGATTTATTCCCGCGTCTCCTCCAGAATCCAACCCTGATCATTCCATGTCCAGAATCTCCCTCAGGCATACCCACCCTGCGTCTCTCCCCTGCAGAGGTCCCTCCAGTAAATGTACCCACTCTCCTCTCCGTAGAGGTCCCTCCCAGTAAATGTACCCACCCTGCGTCTCTCCGTGGAGGTCCCTCCCAGTAAATATACCAACCCTGCGTCTCCCCGTAGAGGTCCCTCCCAGTAAATGTACCCACCCTGTGTATGCCCGTAGAGGTCCCTCCCAGTAAATGTACCCACCCTGTGTCTGCCCGTAGAGGTCCCTCCCAGTAAATGTAACCACCCTGCACCACCACCACCCTCCACGCCCCCTTTTGATTTACCTTTTGCGTCCACTCCAGATAAACACCCTTCCCTTCCCCCATGTCTCCCCTACATTTATCAACCCTGTGTCTCCCCAGATTTTCCCTCCCTGCGTCCACTCCAGATGTACCCACCCTGCGTCCACTCCAGATAAACACCCTTCCCTTCCCCCATGTCTCCCCTACATTTATCAACCCTGTGTCTCCCCAGATTTTCCCACCCTGCGTCCACTCCACAGAGCTCCAGATAAGATTTAGCTCAGGTGGGTACTGTACCCAATGTATTTTTTTGGAGTGAGTATTATGAATGTTGAGTGGGTATTTCTTTTTCCGTTACCCACTGCTTTCAAATATGTGCGTATTTCAGTCATTTTACTTACTTATGTCATTGAGTAAGTTTACTAAGCAGGTATGTTCTGCCTTATGTCATACCTAATCAAAACCAACTTAAATATAATGGAAATGATTTCATAAAAAATCACTCATCCTGTACTGACAGTGCAACACTAGTACCATACTAACAGTACAACTTGATAGCAATCGATGTCTTTTACATTACGCAAGCGATTTTTATAAATATATTCCGTACGCATTTGTTTTCAACTTTTTGCGTATCTAACATTTTAAATGCGTAATTGGTACGCAACAATTATTTTTCAATGCGTAATTGGAAATTTTCTATGCGTATTTTACCCGGATACGCAGCTTATCTGGACCTCTGAGACTCCAGATGTACCCACCCTGCGTCCACTCCAGATAAACACCCTCCCCCCCCCGTGTTTCCCCTCCATTTATCAACCCCGTGTATCCCCAGTACCCACCCTGCGTCTTCTCCAAGTGGGGGACTGCGAGCTGTGACAGCTGGAAGGGCACCCTCATGTTGAGGTCCATCATCTGGTCGTACTTGGACCCATCCATCGTCATTGACGGCCCTGGGTACAACATACCTGCGTTGTTTACCTGCAGTACAGATAGGTGAGGTGAGAAGCCCGTATGAACAGCATGCACACCCGGTCATGCATGTCTTACCACAACTCATAAGAAACCAAGGTGACTTTTTTCTCAGCCAATGTGTGAGTCAGTAATATTCCTACGATATCTAACTATCACTTAATGTAAATAACCTTTAAAAAGTAAACAACCAAAAAGCAACATAAAGAATGGGACATTGTTTCCAAAATGTTATATAATGTTTGGTGCATTAACTATTCAGGCTAGAAACGTCGCCGAAGGGTTGAAACTCGTACACGTACCAGCACGTCGAGCCTGGCAAATTTGGCGACCGTCTTTTCAATGGTGGCCTTCCTGAACGCCTCGTCGGTCAGATCACCAGAAAGAGTCAGAATCTGAAAATCAAAGCTACGGAAATTCTTTTCTGCGTCAAACAACTTTTATAACGAACACGTTTATAACGAACTGAAAGTTGTGGTGTAATGCCAAGCGTCGTTGCGTCTGAGTGAAGGTGAACTACAGTACCCCGACTAGTTTCAAGATACAATTGCCGGGCCTTCGAGAGTTATCTACCCTTATGGTTGGGACGTGGGAGTGCAGCTGTCATAATAAGCCATGTTCTCACTAAGCAAAGGGGCGGTTGTGTGGCCCAGTGGTAAAAGCGTTTGCTCGTATGGGAACTGACGACCCGAAACATATTTCTGGAAACTGCCGGAATATTGCTAAATGCCGCGCAAACACATAATAATTGAACAGCAAACAAAAATATAGATGATAATTGTTTACACGTCGTATTTGAAGGTGTTCAAAACCGGAAGTATAATTCATCTTATCACAAACACTCACGTCATCAGCAGGTATCCCGCACTCCGAACATCGCTTAGCGACATCTTCCAGTCTCGTCTTATCTCGCCCCGTTAGCGAGAGTTTGGCTCCATGTTTGGCAAAGTGCAATGCCGTGCCCTCTCCAATTCCGGCGCTCGCTCCTGGAGAAACAGGACAGTGTGTAGCAAAAGTAAACAAGACACGGTTCATTTCTTCATATCTGTATCACGGAATAAAACAGTGGCGAACATTGGACAATAGTGAATCATCCACGCCATAACTCGATATCACTGAAATCATAATTGTATCTTTAAAAAGTTAATTCGCGAAGCCATTGTTTCGACTAGGGCTGTAACGATGCATCGAACTATCGATGTTTTGCTATTGTTGAGTCTCCGATAGCAATAAATCGATGGTAGAAACGAAACACTATCGATGCATCGATAGTATGTGTGACTATCGATAGTTTAGTAATTAACTTCCGTTGATAAATGCGCAGCGCAAGATAAAGGATGATTGGATGCATACTTGCAGCTTCATTGAGTTTATGTTTACTCAAGTTAACCGTTTACTTGATCTGGGTTTCAACTTTCTTGTCAGCGATTAAAAGAGGCTGAAACTACTTCAGCTTGTTTTTATTTCATATAAACTATACATTTATTTGGGAAATGACTTCAAATGAGACAAGTCATGGAGAAATAAACTATTGCAATAGTTGGTCGCAATAGACTATCGCTATCACAATAGTCGTTTCCCCCTCAATAGTCACCCCTAGTTTCGACGTGTCAGTTTTTGTATTATTTTTTATGCTAATAATAATAAAAAATGCATTTATAATGCACTAAACTCCATTCACAAATAGGATCCGCTCACAGTGTGTTTAAAGCAATAATCACCAGGTGTTAAACGCATGGTCTTGGTGTACATGGATTTATGACCGGCTTTACTTTCAGGTCGTTTGTCAAGATATTCAGTCACACTCTCGCCCACGTACATTCACTCACTCTCTCACAGACACGTATACAGACGTACATAGTCAACCTTGCATTATTTATGAAATGAAATAGATTGCATATAAATGTGTAATGGCACACCGGAAAACAGATGAAGGAAACACTGGAAATATCACACAAACGACAGCTGTCGACTTGCGTCGGAGTTGTATTTCAGGATTATAGCCCTGCCGGTACACTGTACATCTACCAGAGCGATAACATGGCTGAAGCTCCTTTGTTAGCCTTGCTTCAAGGCTGTACTGAATGCTAAGCCCATGGATGTATAGTAATTCTTTCCTTCAGAGAGACAACTCAAGATAGACGGACAATCTAAGGGCGCCTGTCTGTTAGAGGGACAATGTGTTCTTTCTATACAAAAGGTTTAGAAATTATCATTTAAACGAATAATTACATCCTTATTGACTTGAGCAAGTCTAATCCTTTATGTAAGCTCGCATTCTTCTCCGATGCATTTCAGAGTACTTGAAGTACTTAAATATACATGAGCATACATCACTGTACGTCTTTCTACACGTATATATCTGTACTGGGAAACTAGTGTGTCATATTTACCCGTAATAAGTACAACTCGGTCCGAAAACTTCGCCATCGTTGTCGCTTCTGCCGTCTCGACCGGGTACGCAACTGTGTCAAAGTATGGAACACACGCTGGGTCATCGTGACATCGTGTAAATCTGCTATAAGGTTAAGAAGGGGTCATCGTCGATTTGATATGCATGCTGAACTGGAAAGTATTGGAGGGAAAATGGTATTTGTCCAAGGCTCTCCCACAACAGACACAACAGACACGTAGCTGTATTGACATCCTGAGCATCGTTCTACGCAATACAATACACAGGGGCTTGTAACGCTAAAAACTGCCATCAAGGTATATACTGTTACTGACGGGGCGTTACTCTTAGTATTATATAAAAGGAGTGCTAAGAGTAAGACTGACTGACTGACTGACTGAGTTTAGTTTTACGCCGCTTTTAGTTTTATTCCAGCAATATCACGGCGGGGGACACCAGAAATGGGTTTCACACATTATACCCATGTGGGGAATCAAACCCAGGTCTTCGGCGTGACGAGCCAACGCTTAAACCACTAGGCTACCCCACCGCCTGCTAAGAGTAAGACTGACTGACTGACTGACTGAGTTTGGTTTTACGCTGCTTTTAGCAATATTCCAGCAACATCACGGCGGGGGACACCAGAAATGGGCTTCACACATTGTACCCATGTGGGGATTCGAACCCGGGCCTTCGGCGTGACGAGCCAACGCTTTAACCATTATGCTACCCCACCGCCCCCGCTAAGAGTAAGACCCCGTCAGTGACAGTATATACCTTGATGGCAGTTTTTAGCGTTACAAGCCCCTGTGATACAATATGTGTCAACCCAGTCAGCGAGCCTGACCACCCGATCCCGTTAGTCGCCTCTTACCACAAGCATGGGTTACTGAAGATCAATTCTAACCCGGTGTCATTGGGTCAGTGGTTAAAGCTTTCGCCCGTCACGCCGAAGATCCTGGAATATTGATTTGGTGTGTTTTATGCCTAAACAGCGATACTTAACATTCCGTTTTACGGACCTATGTCGACACATATTTAGTCATTATAAACCTGTGCTGAGATATGGCTGCAATATTGCCGAAGCGATGAAATTTTGTAAGTCACTCACCTTTAATTAGCTACAGGGGAAAGTTGCTTCCTTCCATAGTGTTTGCGGGGCGGTTAGATAGCCTAGTGGTTGAAGCGTTGGCTCGTCACGCCAAAGACCCGGGTTCGATTCCCCACATGGGTAGAATGTTTCACGCCCATTTCTGGTGTCCCCCGTCCTGATATTGCTAAAAGCGGCGTAAAACTAAACTCAACTAAACAACGGCACTGTGTCAGTTGATTATATGAACGGCATAATGTCAGAGGGATTTTTACTAGCTTTGGAATAAAGCCGCACTCTGACAGAAAATAGTCCCTTTTCCGGTTTTCCAAATTGCATACTTATGTCGTGACATGACATACATGTTTTCATGACATAAGCTTATATCACAGTTGAATGTACAAAAATGATAAAGCAGTTATACTCCAACTAGTTCAACTTGCAATATTGATTACAACAGATTTATGATTATGGTCCTGCTGATGATGAGACTCTGTGATACACCTTTCGTGGCAGAACTGGCTTTGTCCATGAATATGCTGAATATGCTGTTCCCAGCTTCGAGTGGAGTTCTTCGTCTTCAGGAACCTTGGCCTTCACTTGCAGTGTCGACCCCCATCGACGAAAATCATCTGTCCCGTCACATAGCTCGCAGCGTCGGAGGCAGGGTAAGCTATAGCCTCAGCCACATCTTGGGGTGTGCCCAATCTGCCGAGAGGGATGGCATCCAGTTGTTTCTCCAAGAACTATGAATGTATACAATAGTGTTTAAGGATAATAGTACCGTAAGGACCATCCCATTAAAATCACCCCTACACCAAGATCTGAAGGCATGTATTGGCATAACTAATCTGGAACCCAGTGTTTCGCCTCCTAACGGTTGCACTCAAAATGCGGCGAGGAGCGCAAGCACTCTAGGGCGGGAAAACCAGTTTAAGTCAGAACGAACTTTCATCCGACCAATCAGAGAGTGTTTAATGCAAGATCGAGAAAGTGTAAGCCGGAGTTTAGTTTCTGATCATACACCCTCGCAAAGGTTAACACGCGGGATTCAGAACGACAGATGGGCGCTGTACGACATCTTTCAAGGTATCGTTTGGTATGACATGGCTGATGATCGAACTCCTGGTCTTCCGTTCTCCGGTACGCTCCAACCACAAGACCACCACGGCAGTTGGAAGGTGAAAGGGTTTCAACAGTCCTAGCGCCATGATCAGTTTGTGAAACCGTGCCCTCTAATAAAGTATTAATATCCTATTAGCGGACACAGAATTACTGATGTAATAGTGAGTAAGTGTGTTTTACACCGCTCTCAGCAATATTCCAGCTATATGGCAGTGGTCTGTAAATAATCGAGTTTGGACCAGAAAATCCGGTGATCAACAGCATGAACATCGATCTACGCAATTGGGATACGATGATATGCCAACCAAGTCAGCGAGCCTGACCACCCGATCCCGTTAGTCGCCTCTTACGACAAGCATGGGTTACTGAAGGCTCATTCTAACCCGGATGTAACAGGTGACCAGCATTTCGATGCATGACACATTGACCAACAATCGACCACCGTTGCACACCTTCTTTAACCCATCGTCTTTCCCGTGGTAGACAGAACCCTCTCGTCCGAAGATCGAAGTCGCCACAGTGCTGGGGCTAAAAGAAAGGTGTATGGAGCTGTCATGCTGAATATTGAGGTATGAATGAATGGTATGTAATTGGGTTTCCTTACAGGAAAGAGTTCCTTCTGTTCCCCCATTTCTTTCTTCCGCAGATTAACATAGGTAACGCATCATGGTTCGACCCTACATATTGTAATTAATTTTTGGTCTTTTAGTTATTTTGGTGAGTTCTCTAGCAATTGGTGTGTTAGGTTTTGTTAATAATTTTAGCATATTTTAATTTATATATATTATTTTGGATGGGGGAACGGGAGTAACTCTTACCTGTAATGGTAGTAAAAGGCAATCCTTCGGTGTACTGTACATTTCTTCTTGTTCCGAATTCCAGCGTTAAATGAGATTAGGTTTAGGCCAGTTGGCAGTCCTTGACAATTGGACTCAAGCCATTCACAATTGACACACAAATTCAATATACATCGTGCATATATGTATAGTTTTGATCATGACATCTAACTCCATCTTACTTTAAAAGTAGTCCTACTTGGTAGGGAGATTCAGAATGTAAACATGACGTGAAAATCTAGACTTGAACAGGATTTTTGCATTGCAATTTATGAAAACAAAAACAGGAAGATCGTTGGGTATAGTTCCCTGTGTGTGTGTGCGTGTGCGTGTGCGTGTGCGTGTGCATGTGCATGTACATGTGCATGTGCGTGTCTTTCTGCCTCAACCATGTGATGTTGTAAGGATACGCACACTGATAACACTTATAATTAAACAGTTATCAATAACACGCCACGCATCATGTCATTACCAAAAGTAAATTCTTACTTCACAGAATTCGCCGAACTTTCTTAGGCGCGAGTTCGAAAAAAGAAAAATACATGTAATGCATAAACAAATGTTATGTTATTATAAACATACAAATAAACAGCTTGTGCTGAGCCCCACCAAAATGATTACATGAACACCTTAATTAATGCTGCATTAAAATTGAACCACAAATTTTGGCAGCCATGTTCCAACACTGTGGAAGGAGGTTGAAATCTTACTTCTCATGGTGGTCCATTATCTTCCTATAGAGGTCTGTTCTAATACGGCCCTTTCATGGTGCGAGTGTTCAGGATTCGTGATTGGTTGCAATCAGATTTAGTTGTGCAATCAGCGACGTTGTATCAAAAGTGATTATTCGCAAGGCGTCGGTAATTTCCGCATTCTTCGGAAAAACTAGAACACCTCTTCCCCTGCGCGATACACAAACGTTTCTTAAAAACAGAACTCGGTCATGTAAATGGCGGATCAATAGCGTCTCCATCGCCCTCGTTGACAACGGACAAGCTAGCCATTAAATGTCTTGTGTGTCACATCAACACAAGTCCCCGGCTGAGGAGGGATATTTGTGGCCCCACATTTGCTTGCATTAGTCAAGTTGGATCTAAGTCGATGTAACACGCTTTCTGATTGGATAGAAAGAAGGGAGATAATTCGTGTTGCAATTTTTTGCCGCTAGGGGATTTTACGAGAACCGGGAAAAATATGGCCGTATTAGAACAGAGGTTTGTAGGAAGATATGACAAGTTACCTCTGTGGGAAGAGAATGAAGGTGGCCTTGAACGCAAATGAGGAAGACAGACAAGAGAGGGCACCTACATATAAATACTGAAATCCACCCAACCGATCATATAGCATGAGACGCTTTGTAAACGATCACCTAATCCGTCCAGAAACCCACCCAAAATAATCAACCCACCCCATGAACCCTGCTCAACTCAAATATTCGCACAACCAGGTTACCTGACCTCAGCCCAAACCGTCACCCTATCCCCAAGAATGGCCCATCTAAAACAGTCAGTCTCCCTGCCAACCAGGCCACACATTAACATCCTTCCAGTCACCTACCCAACAACTAACGGAAACAGTCACCCCAGGCCACCCAAACACTGAACCAACCAAAACAATCACCCCACCCAAACACTGGACCAACCAAAACAATCACCCCACCCAAACACTGGACCAGCCAAAACAATCACCCCACCCAAACACCGAACCAACCAAAACAGTCATCCCACCCAAACACTGAACCAACCAAAACAATCACCCCACCCAAACACTGGACCAGCCAAAACAATCACCCCACCCAAACACTGAACCAACCAAAACAGTCACCCCAGGCCACCCAAACACTGAACCAACCAAAACAGTCATCCCACCCAAACACTGGACCAACCAAAACAGTCACCCCAGGCCACCCAAACACTGGACCAACCAAAACAATCACCCCACCCAAACACTGAACCAACCAAAACAGTCATCCCCACCCAAACACTGGACCAACCAAAACAGTCACCCCACCCAAACACTGAACCAACCAAAACAGTCACCCCACCCAAACACTGAACCAACCAAAACAATCACCCCACCCAAACACTGGACCAACCAAAACAATCACCCCACCAAAACACTGAACCAACCAAAACAGTCACCCCAGGCTACCCAAACACTGAACCAACCAAAACAGTCATCCCACCCAAACACTAGACCAACCAAAACAATCACCCCACCCAAACACTGAACCAACCAAAACAGTCATCCCGCCCAAACACTGGACCAACCAAAACAGTCACCCCAGGTCACCAAAACACTGGATCAACCAAAACAATCACCCCACCCAAACACTGGACCAACCAAAACAGTCACCCCACCCAAACACTGAACCAACCAAAACAGTCATCCCACCCAAACACTGAACCAACCAAAACAATCACCCCACCCAAACACTGAACCAACCAAAACAGTCACCCCAGGCCACCCAAACACTGAACCAACCAAAACAGTCATCCCACCCAAACACTGGACCAACCAAAACAGTCATCCCACCCAAACACTGGACCAACCAAAACAGTCATCCCACCCAAACACTGAACCAACCAAAACAATCACCCCACCCAAACACTGAACCAACCAAAACAATCACCCCACCCAAACACTGAACCAACCAAAACAGTCACCCCAGGCCACCCAAACACTGGACCAACCAAAACAGTCATCCCGCCCAAACACTGGACCAACCCAAACCCAGTCACCCCAGGCCACCCAAACACTGGACCAACCAAAACAATCACCCCACCCAAACACTGGACCAGCCGAAAACAATCACTCCACCCAAACACTGAACCAACCAAACAGTCATCCCACCCAAACACTGAACCAATCCAAAACAATCACCCCCACCCAAACACTGGACCAGCCAAAACAATCACCCCACCCAAACACTGAACCAACCAAAACAGTCACCCCAGGCCACCCAAACACTGGACCAACGAAAACAATCACCCCACCCAAACACTGGACCAACCAAAACAGTCACCCCACCCAAACACTGAACCAACCAAAACAATCACCCCAGGCTACCCAAACACTGAACCAACCAAAACAGTCATCCCACCCAAACACTGGACCAACCAAAACAATCACCCCACCCAAACACTGAACCAACCAAAACAGTCATCCCGCCCAAACACTGGACCAACCAAAACAGTCACCCCAGGTCACCAAAACACTGGATCAACCAAAACAATCACCCCACCCAAACACTGAACCAACCAAAACAATCACCCCACCCAAACACTGGACCAACCAAAACAGTCACCCCCACCCAAACACTGAACAAACCAAAACAGTCATCCCGCCCAAACACTGGACCAACCAAAACAGTCATCCCGCCCAAACACTGGACCAACCAAAACAGTCACCCCAGGTCACCAAAACACTGGATCAACCAAAACAATCACCCCACCCAAACACTGAACCAACCAAAACAGTCATCCCACCCAAACCTTGGACCAACCAAAACAGTCATCCCGCCCAAACACTGGACCAACCAAAACAGTCACCCCAGGCCACCCAAACACTGGACCAACCAAAACAGTCATCCCGCCCAAACACGGGACCAACCAAAACAGTCACCCCAGGCCACCCAAACACTGGACCAACCAAAACAGTCATCCCACCCAAACACTGGACCAACCAAAACAGTCACCCCAGGTCACCAAAACACTGGACCAACTAAAACAATCACCCCACCCAAACACTGAACCAACCAAAACAGTCATCCCACCCAAACACTGGACCAACCAAAACAGTCATCCCACCCAAACACTGAACAAACCAAAACAGTCACCCCACCCAAACACTGAACAAACCAAAACAGTCATCCCACCCAAACACTGAACCAACCAAAACAATCACCCCACCCAAACACTGGACCAACCAAAACAGTCACCCCAGGCCACCCAAACACTGGACCAACCAAAACAGTCATCCCACCCAAACACTGGACCAACCAAAACAGTCACCCCAGGTCACCAAAACACTGGACCAACCAAAACAATCACCCCACCAAAACACTGAACCAACCAAAACAGTCATCCCACCCAAACACTGGACCAACCAAAACAGTCACCCCACCCAAACACTGAACCAACCAAAACAGTCACCCCACCCAAACACTGGACCAACCAAAACAGTCATCCCACCCAAACACTGAACCAACCAAAACAATCACCCCACCCAAACACTGGACCAACCAAAACAATCACCCCACCCAAACACTGAACCAACCAAAACAGTCACCCCAGGCCACCCAAACACTGAACCAACCAAAACAGTCATCCCACCCAAACACTGGACCAACCAAAACAGTCACCCCAGGCCACCCAAACACTGGACCAACCAAAACAGTCATCCCGCCCAAACACTGAACAAACCAAAAGAGTCATCCCACCCAAACACTGAACCAACCAAAACAGTCATCCCACCCAAACACTAGACCAACCAAAACAGTCACCCCGCCCAAACACTGAACCAACCAAAACAATCACCCCACCCAAACACTGAACCAACCAAAACAGTCACCCCACCCAAACACTGAACAAACCAAAACAGTCATCCCGCCCAAACACTGAACCAACCAAAACAGTCATCCCACCCAAACACTGGACCAACCAAAACAGTCATCCCACCCAAACACTGAACCAACCAAAACAGTCACCCCACCCAAACACTGGACCAACCAAAACAATCACCCCACCCAAACACTGAACCAACCAAAACAGTCACCCCAGGCCACCCAAACACTGAACCAACCAAAACAGTCATCCCACCCAAACACTGGACCAACCAAAACAATCACCCCAGGCCACACAAACACTGGACCAACCCAAACAGTCATCCCGCCCAAACACTGGACCAACCAAAACAGTCACCCCAGGTCACCAAAACACTGGACCAACCAAAACAATCACCCCACCCAAACACTGAACCAACCAAAACAGTCATCCCACCCAAACACTGGACCAACCAAAACAGTCACCCCACCCAAACACTGAACAAACCAAAACAATCACCCCACCCAAACACTGAACCAACCAAAACAGTCACCCCAGGCCACCCAAACACTGAACCAACCAAAACAGTCATCCCACCCAAACACTGAACCAACCAAAACAGTCACCCCAGGCCACCCAAACACTGGACCAACCAAAACAGTCACCCCGCCCAAACACTGAACCAACCAAAACAGTCACCCCATTGAAACACTCACTCCACCAAGTTACCCCATCCTAATAGTCACCAGAACCAGAGATCACTCCACCAGAGTCACCCCACACAGACGCCCAGCCATCGCCCACCACTCACTCACCCAAAGCCAGGCACTGTGTGTACATGTCAAGGGTAGCCTTGCCGACACAGTAGATCCCAACCTCCGGCATCTGGAACACACGCCACACGTGTTTCATCCCCTTGGTGACAAAATAAATTGTGCCCTCGAATGTCGATTTAATTCCCTGGTTAATCGAGGATGGGTCACCGTCATGTCAGTCAAATTACATTTTACATTCATATTCATACTTATCCATATTCATTAGTGAACTGCACTGTGATTGTTTTTGTTATATTTACTAGGTAGAATTTGGGGAGGGGAGGTAACTCCGGTTAGCTGACACGTGATTCAGAATCCAGAAATTCGTTTATCCGGACAAAATTTGGCAAAACGAAAACGTCCAGATTAACGAGGTTAGACTTTTTCTTTTTCGCTATAGAAATCAGAATCCTTCGTAAACTCGTACCGAGAATTTAGAAACCCTGAAGAAAGAGCGATGCCGATATATCGCTGTGAGGAGCGTACAGAGCCCTGACATGGTTCGGGTGGTGTAGTGGTAACTGGGTTCCGTCTGTTCACATTACTGGATTGTCAGTACCGTGGGAACTACAAGAAACTTGAGCGACTTGATACGTTTACAATGTTCCCTGCAAGGAAAAATAATCATTTTAGAGTCCCTCAGTGACGTTCTCATAAACAATAATGCATTTTGGGCATTCAATTACATGATGTCATCGTATCCCAATTGCGTAGGTCGATGTTCATGCTGTTGATCACTAGATTGTCTGCTTCAGACACACAAACAAACAAAATCAGGTTATTGCGAATCTGCATTCAGGCACTCAGGTTAGTATCTCGAATTCCGATCACTGTTTAATCTCTGATAAGGTCATCATGTATATCTCCATAATCACTGTTTTGCCAGAATGTGTAATATGGGGATAGAGGGGTGTGAAAAAATCAACAGTCTCTCCTTGCGCCGACATTTTACAGTTGAAAACAGATCTTTGGACAGTAAACCGGCCCTTAGTTTATCGATTTTCTGAACCTCAGTGGAGTCTATGCGCGATCCCGGTTTTCCATTTCTCCCCCCACCCAATATACCCACCCTGAGTCTCTTCCCATTCCTCCCAGATATATCCACCCTGCGTCTGCCCCTTGATGTATCCATCCTGCGTCTCCCCCAGATATATTCACCCTGCGTCTCCCCCAGATATACCTATCATGCTTCTCCCCTAGATATCTCCACCCTGCGTCTCCCCAGATATACCCAACCTGCGTCTCCCCCAGATATACCCACCCTGCGTCTCCCCCAGATATATCCACCCTGCGTCTCCCCCAGATATATCCACCCTGCGTCTCCCCCAGATATACCCACCCTGTGTCTCCCCAGATATACCCACCCTGCGTCTCCCTCCGATATATCCACCCTGCGTCTCCCCCCGATATATCCACCCTCCGTCTCCCCAAGATATACCCACCCTGTGTCTCCAAACCAAACCAGCGTTGTTCACCTGAAGTACAGGTAGGACAGGTGAGACACCAAGATGAAGAACATATACCGGGTCGTACATGTGTAACCAGAAATAAAAAAACGTCCTTAGATTAAGAGTGAGTGAGTTTAATTTTACGCCGCTTTTAGCAATATTCCAGCAATATCACGGCAGGGGACACCAGAAATGGGCTTCACACATTGTACCCATGTGGGGAATCGAACCCGGGTCCTCGACGTGACGAGCGAACGCTTTAACCACTAGGCTATCCCACCGTCCCCTTAGATGAAGATGCTATTCTGTAAGCCAGTGAGTTAATGTCGTTTTACGTCGCAGTCACTAACTTTACAAACCATGTTTCAAATAATTTAAATCAAATTCAACAGAAATGAGTTAACAATTGCTCCAAATACGTTATAAAAGTGTTACTGATATTTTGTATGCATGTGGAAGAGCAAAATCACAAATATCGTGTTTTCCCCCTTTATTTCCAATTCAGGCAAGAAACGTCGCCCAAGGGTTGACACTCGCACACGTACCACTACGTCGAGCCTGGCAAACCTGGCGACTGTCTTTTCAATGCAGGCCTTCCTGAACGCTGCGTCAGAGTCAAGATCTGAAAATCAAATATACAGGATTTCATCTCTCGTGTTGTCACTTTCAATGTTCTAAGAACAATCTCGGCTCCGAACAGTTGTTGTGTTTGTTGTTTAACTCATTAACGTCACACCTATTCCAGATGACGGATGTTTGTAAGTAAAGAGTTTGGACCAGACAGACCATTGACTGACATCATCCACGCAGCTGGGACACGATGACAAGCCAGCAGCCCGAACACCCGATCCAGTTAATCGCCTTTAACAACAAGCATGGGTTCCTGAAGACCAATCTAACCAGGATTTTCACTACCAAACGTACCATAATGAAGATGCGACACGGTTAACAACCTTGACACTGCAGATTGGTCAGGGTGCATCTTATAATGCCACTGATGAAGGTGAAGGTTGCAGACCCTGCAAAGCTTCGTAAAGTGCCTCTTCTTGGTGACGGGCGGTGGTGTAGCCTAGTGGTTAAAGCGTTCGCTCGTCACGTCGAAGACCCGGGTTCGATTCCCCACATGGGTACAATGTGTGAAGCCCACTTCTGGTGTCCCATGTCGTGATATTGATGGACTATTGCTAAAAGCGGCGTAAAAATAAACTCACTCACCCACTCTCTCTGCCTGGTGACTGATATCGGACTTCAGTAGTCTTGCCAAGGGACCTACAAACACAGCCCTGTCTTGCTCAAGTTAAGTTAGAGCATGATGTTTGTCATTATAACTTTAGGCTTGTCGTGCACGTTTCAGTTTTGCTTAGCGTTTCCGTTCCTCTTTCTGCTAGATAAAATAATCTATCATCTGTTCGTCAATTGCATATAGATATAATAGGAGACAGGTGGTTGTGCACAAGATCTTCACGTAGCCTTCTCAGTTCTGCATTAGATGTGAAATACGTACATAGACGGATCCAGGAATTTTCAAAGGGGTGGGGTGGGGGTTCCCTGGATCTGCCAGTGACGTAGTATGTAGTTCGTTTCACAAGTCAGCAGTCACTTGATTCTGATATTACGAGCTCTACGTACGTGGGGTACACAAAACCGGAAGTACAACACCCCCTCCCAACACTCACGTCACCAGCAGGTATCCCGCACTCTGAGCATCGCTTAGCGACGTCTTCTAGGTCTTATCCCGCCCCGTTAGCGAGAGTTTGGCGCCATGTTTGGCAAAGTGCAATGCTGTCCCTTCTCCAATTCCAGCACTCGCTCCTGGAGAGACAATGCGTTATTTAGCAACACTGAAAAAAACAACCCAAAATAGTTTTATAACTTATCTTAACATCATCTGTATCAGTGCTGACGACAGTGTAGAACAATTCTGGCAATAGACACTCATTAATAACTCGTTATCAGTGGGGGAGGTGGGGTAGCCCAGAGGTTAAGGCGTTCGCTCCCCACGCCGAAGACCGGGGTTCGATTCTCCACATGGGTACAATGTGTGAAGCCCATGATTTAGATTTAGGCCGTGATTTAGACCTGCAAGTGCTTTTGCACAATGTGCCCATGTGGGATCTGCAAGTGCTCCGTAACGATTACATCGCACTTTTAGCAGGGTGATAACAATAATGACTTACATAACACCTCGAAGTGACAGCCTTCTTGAGAGTACTTGATCCTACAACCATCTACACGCATGTCTCTGTGGAGGAAACCTAGTTTGTCATAGTTACCTGTAATTAGAACAACTCGGCCTGCGAAATTAGCCATCACGCCGCTTATGCTGTCACGCTTGTCTGGATGGTGCAGGTCTGTGTGTAAGTGTAACTCACTGTCATCCTCGGTGTAAATTATGTAAATTATAGAGGGTAAACAGACAGAGGTCACCGACGATATGCAGGCTGATAATGAAGTGGGCCACAGGCCGAGGAAAAGAATTGTGAAAAAGTGCATCAACCAACACACTTGGTGAAGGATGGAAGAATGTCTGATAATTATTATTAATGCATATTATCAAGAAAAACAATGTTCTACCAAAATAACGTTTTCATAATTAAATATGAGCATTTTTTGTAACTAGTTTTCTTTTCATTTATCACCACTGGCAAAAAAATAAACAAACAAAAACTGACCAATCAGAACGAATGGATAGCATTTGGTGATGTGTGTTGGGGTAGAATTTGTGAATATATGGACGTGTCCAACTACATGTGAAAATATAGCATGGCCGCCCCCATACCGCTTCGTTCATTTAGCAATCTAACGTCTGTTTAAAGAGTCTAAGTATGGATTCAGAAATTCTTCCTTATTCCAATAAAACCTATATCACCTTTTTGTTTTATAAAGTAGAACATGACACTTCTGGTAAGGATTATGTCACTTCCAGCAATGGGAAAAAAACTTCTTTCGTTAAGTGACTTAAACTGCGTTTTGTACTCTGCTTTGAATACTGTCACATGTTGATAGAAACAGATGCTGACTCTATCTGAACTTTAAAGGAACAAATATTATGGTTGTAACTTTTTTGTTTCAACTGAACGGATGACATAGCATGTGTAAGCAGCCGGCCCAACATTTTTCAACTGGATATCCAGTTTAGATCAGTTTATTGCACGGGACAACTAGGGGTCCCTTGCGTATGCCATCAGGTGTGGAGTGTCCACCATCTCAGAGATGGTTCCAGAAGTGTCACAGGCAATTGTGTTTAGCATACCAGTGACCCCTGAAGCCTGGACAGCCGTAGCTAACCAGTTTGAACAGAGATAGATATATCCCGCGTCATTGGGGCTCTGGATGGCAGACACATTGCTATCAAGAAGCCACCCAAACTGGCAGTCAATTACAAGGGCGTCTTTTCGATATCACTCCTAGCTCTGATGGATGCAGATTACAAGTTTGTGTGGATCGAGCTTGGTAGAAAAGGACACATGTCAGATGTTAAGAAATGTGGCGACTCGGGGCTGGTCAACGGCATGGAAGAGGAAGCCCTAGGACTTCCCCCACCCTGCCCTCTGACTGCAAGCTCTGATGACCACCAAGACATGCCCTTCTTCATCCTTTGCACTCAGGAACTACCTCATGAAGCCACACAGGGAAGAAGGATGTCCAGGAAGGAGAAGACTCTCAAGGGGGAGGAGAATGGTGGAAAATACCTTTGAGATCCTGGCCAATAGATTCAGGTGTCTCCTCATGACTCAAGGGCAGAAGCCCAATTCTGTGAAGGATGTATTCAAGGCGGCAGTGGCTCTGCACAACCTATTGAGGCTGAGGCATCCAGGCATTGCAGCACAATAGGTGGGCCATAAGGATGAAAACCACCATGTCATCCCAGAGGCATGGAGGACCAAGTGGACTAGCTAGATGTGCACCTCGCAAATCAGCCAGAGCAAATGCGAAGGATCAGGGGGAACTCTTGAAGGCGCAGTCATTCTGATTTTCAGTACATATATGGGCGCAAGAACTCGTAGAACCCGTCAAAAAGCGTCAGTACTCGTATCAACTCGTATCTGCTCGTGAGTCATTCGTGTCAGGTCGTGACCAGTGACTCCAGACAGAGCGTCACAGATCGTGGGAGATCGCAACACATCTCAACAGAGCGTGGTGTTTGTCTTGTCCATTATTGATTCCGACCACCACGATTTCTAAGCGCGATTAGATGCGATATGTTGCGCGATGATCACGATTACCAATAATTAATTATAGTCTGTTTGCAGTGAAAACGTACCGATGAATTTCACTTGAAACAAAAAAAGTAAATCAAATAAAGTGAAATTAAGTTTGCGAATCCAATTAATTTTACCTTGCCAATTGAAAATTTAAATCTCAAAATTTTATTCATCTTAGGATAAAAGTTGTTTAACAAACGATCATAGTTTCAAATCGCTATTATTGGTTTGTATTTCACTGCAAACAGACTATATGTTGATCGTAGAAAGTTTGTGAACAGTTTTTTGAACGATCACCACGACTGACCTCAAGATCTGATCAGATTTGATAGGATCACCACGATTAGTCCACGATTAAGACCACGATTTCAATCGTGGCGCGAATCGTGATAGTGAGAACATAACGTTTAGGGATTCCATCACAACAACTACCGTTTCCATTGCCAAGTCTGTGGTAAGGGTATCAACGACTGTGGAATTTCGACAGTTCATGTTCTTAAATCCATGGAAAGTTACGTAAACATTCAACGCAATGGACAGTTTCAACACAACTCCATATAAAATGTACAGTTTGATTTTTCGACGATAACTGAAAAAAATACAGACGCATTAAAGCCTAAACTGTGAATGAAGACCTAAAATAACTATATCTAAGAATTGACAGCAAAAAAAGGCGTGTCTGCTGATGAGGTCATATTTTGTGTTGAAACGATCATTATCCGCGATCTAGTTTCGACACTCAGGAGAGTGCCCTCGCTTAACGCGCAATAGAGAGGGTGTCAAGCTATTACAGAAATATCTGTAACTTTTTAGACCCGTCTTCGAAATGGCCAAACCTGATATACTTGCAAAATAATGCAAAGGCGAGGGAAAACTTACCATTACTCTTGCGTCACATGTTCTTCTTTCACTGTCCAGCGAGGAAATGGAGTTGCTTTGGGGGCAACTCCACATTTAGCGTGGACAGAGCTTCCACCCTGTGGGATACATACCAAGCCTATCGCCTCATAGAAACATGAAATGAACAGAAGAAATCAGTATGGTTGACAATATGGTTGAAGCACTGTAAGGCAGACTATCACAAATAAGGCATTACGGGCCATACGGGTTTACGATCACCGTAGCTCGATAGCAACTGCCTTGCTCGTTATTGCTGAATCAGCGAATGATTCGTCAGTCCTTGACTACGAGAGCAGCCTGCATAGCGTCGGTAGCCTGTTTAATCTTTATAACTGACATACTTTACCTCGACACAGACACTTTACTCTTAGGACACCGCAGTCTGGTTCCCTGGGTCTGTTGCGCCCGCGATAACGCTCCGACACTGAGCGTTAGCAGAGGCGCAACAGACCCAGGGAACCAGGCTGAGGACACAGCTATTTCCAGCCAGACAGAACCTACGTGATGGCGAACTTCGCAGGCCGAGTTGTACTTATTACAGGTAAATATCACAAACTTGGCTTCCTGCACAGAGACATAGACGGATGTAAATTCAAGCCCTCCCATGGATATTGATAAATTTTGTTATCACCCTGCTAAATGTGCAATGTCATCGTTACAGTGTACTAGCGGAGCTATGTCACTCCAGCAGAAGCATATAGCAGTCAGTTTTCTTTAATTTAATTCTTGTTTCGTTTTCTGAAATTCCGGGTCTGGTTCCATTTATATTAAATTTAATAAATTTATGTTTTTGAAATTGGGCAGATTTTAAAATGTGTCAGCGAGTGAGCTTTGTTTAGGGACGTATTGAAAGTACAGCCAAGTTAAAGTACGTATGTGACTATGGTATGTGACTGAGCGGGTGGTGAGTTGGTGAGTGAGTGAGTGAGTGGGGTGGGTGAGTGAGTGAGTGAGTGAACGAGCTGAGCTCATCTATTTTATTGTGAGAGTTGAAAGAGGGAAGAAAGCGAAACTCACCCAGGTAGATGGGTATTGGCTTCGAACGCACGACCATCGGATCCTTGCGGAGACAAGGTAGAAAATTGTGCTCAACACATTATGTACCCGAATTGGGTTGTTCAGCCTAGTAAACCCTGTAAAAGTATCCAGACGTCGGTCCATATAATTGATCAAAGATACCCTGTAGACAAAACATAATTACCATAAATAATAAACACCAGATATACTGCTAATTTACATAACGAATGTTATGTGTTTGTATATTTTTATAAGTGATTCTCCATTCTCCAGGAGCGAGTGCCGGGCTTGGAGAGGGGACGGCATTGCATTTTGCCAAACAAGGAGCCAAACTCGCGTTAACGGGACGAGAGAAGACGAGACTGGACGATGTCGCTAAGCGATGTTCTGAGTGCGGGATACCTGCCGATAACGTGAGTGTTGTGACAAGGTGTATTGTACTTCCGGTTATGTACACCCCTAGTACGTATAGCTCGTAATATCTGTCACAACCAGTTGACTGTTACACATATTAGGAATTATTCCGAATTAACACAACTAACATTTTGGTTCTATTTTGGTATGGCATCTTCCTATCCATGCAATGTGCCTATCAGAGTGAGAACATGGGTGAACATACAAGACGTAATATGTTCAAGTATCAATACTTTCTGCTATATTCAACCCCAAAAGCCCATTGGGCTCAAATGTTACCAAGCCTGAACACTCGATCCCGTTTGTAGCCTTTTACGACAAGCATGGGTTTCTGAAGACCCGGATCTTCACGGGTCGTCTGATTGAGAACATGGGTGAACATACAAGACGTAATATGTTCAAATATCAATACTTTCTACTATACTCAAACCAAAAAGCCCGTTGGGCTCAAACGTTACATTAAACTCCGAAGACAATATTTACTGAGGGCAAGAAAGTAAGGAGACACCGTTTCCATCATATTGTTTTGCTTATTTCAAGATTTTCACCCACAGCGCAAAACAAAGTTTGCGAAGGTACCTGGAAAAGATTGTACGACACTCGGCTTTTCATGTGTAGCCTTATTTGTTTAATTCAGTATATTTCATGCTGTTGTAAATGAAGAAATACTAGTGGTGTCATTCAAGCACTATTTCCCATACCAAAGTGAGAAAAACACTTGAAGGTCTTATACATATATCTCCTATCACATCTAATGACAAATGACAGTTAACAGACTGTTTTCATCTAAAAGAAAATGGAATGGCAGCGCTAATTCTTACCAGCATAAAGTCCCACACATACTCAAACTTAAAGCGAGGAACATCCGAAACAGGTGGAATATTTCGGGGTGCAACGTTAAACGACAAACGTACTAACAACTACAAAGACGAGATTCTTTGAGGAGCATTGTAAACCAAAAGTCACTGTGTTCTTTAATCTGATTGGTTGAAAACGTGATCAAATGGTATTTGATTCCCGGAAATTCTCTGCGTATTAATACATACAAACATCGCTCACACCATTGTATTGTTACGTCGTCAGCTGTGATGACGTCATTAAAATCATATTGTGACGTAAAGTCCGAATGACGTCACAAATCAGCAGTTCCAGATGCTACCATGGGAGACAGCCGAAACGGCCGACTGATGACATTTCACTGCTGTACCCGTACTCGATGTCAATGAGTGCAGACACAAAAAACGTGTGTGGACCTTTTGGTTTACTTTTGTGTTTACAATGTCGATAAACATCATGTGTTGGCGAATTTCCGGGGTGTTATTGAGTATTTAAAGCACAGGAATATTTCATTTGAATTTCCAAATGAATTCCCGTGCTTCAAATACTCAATAACACCCGGAAATTCGCCAACACATGATGTTTATCTCCTAATTGAAGGTGGTAAAACGAAAACGAAATCCTGTTTTGTTTGATATTCAGATTCGGACCCATTGCGGTGACCTGACTGACGCGGCGTTTAGGAAGGCCACCATTGAAAAGACAGTCGCCAAGTTTGCCAGACTCGACGTACTGGTACGTGTGCGAGTGTCAACCGTTGGGCGACGTTACTCGCCTGAATTGAAAGTAACGATACTCACAATGCGATAAGGGGCGGTGGGGCAGCATAATGGTTAAAGCGTTTGCTCGTCACGCCGAAGACTCGGGTTCGATTCCCAACATGGGCACAATGTGTGAAACCCATTTCTGGTGTCCCCACTGTGATATTGCTGGAATATTGCTGAAAGAGCGGCGTAAAACCGAACTCACTCAACCACAATACGATATGTGTGATTTTGGTACGATATGTGTGATTTTGGTCTTTTGGTCTGAGTTTCGTTGGCATAAAACCTCAGGAAACATTTTTATAACGTTTTTGGAGCATTTCTCTATTCACTTCTCTCGAATGTGTTTGCTTGTTTGGGGTTATCTGAAACATTTAGATGTTATTATATACATAACTTGTGACCGATCCATCTAGGGTCGCATTTATGTAACTGACTCACAAAAGAAAGTACAAACCTGGTATTTTGGGAATATTTTCCAATATTATGATTTACAAACATTTTATATAACTGTTTATATCCTGTACAGTGTTGTGTAGGGAACATCATGAAAGGCATAATTTTGTTGAATCGCACGTGCATGTTATATGCAAACAGTATAAAACAGTCGACTGAGATTGTTAGCGGTAAACCTGTTAAAGGCACGTGCCAAGATTATCAACAGCGGAGCAAGAACACGCCACTGCCCTGGAATGTCGCAGATGATCGCTTCGAACACAAACATTGCCAGAACATTCGGCTGTACAAGACAGATCAGCATCAGAATAATGAGACACGTCAAAAAGATTGGCCAGACATCTCACAGCCCCCAAGACGACCGAGACTGACCATAAGATAATCATCACCTGTGCATCTTCCATCTGCGCAACCGAATGCTCACAGTGACGTCATACGTATCCGCAGTTTTGGCATTCGTAACTACTCGCCTCTTCCGTGACCTACAAGAAGACTCGCACCCCTATCGTACGCCATTATTGCCAAGAATCGTGGCAAACCAATCAAATCGCGCGTAGTAAAACGCATTTCGAAGCATGAAAATGACGGCACCGTTGGACTTTGAAACTTCGCTAAACTATGCAAAGCACAATTTAAACATAAACTTTGAGCTAAAGGATCAGCAACTTTAAACTCTGAAACATATTTACAAAGGGAATGCTTGTATTGCTGTTTTGCCCACGAGATATAGGATATTCTAGGAGCCATGTTTGGAAATTCAGAGTTATCTTTCCCTGGTAATAGTACTAGACTATTTTCACCTCAATGCCCGTTTGCGCTTAGACAGGACCCAGTCGTAAACATGGCCACGAGAGGGATACGAGACGAAATCCGGCTTGCCCGAATGACACGAGTAGTTACGAATGCAGTTTTGGGTCATCGCATTAGCTGGAACACTGTAATGTGCTGTCGGCTGTCTATGGACCAGTTTTGGTCTTGTCATTAACCCGTCAAAATCGTCTGAATCGATCGCGTTGGGAAAGGAACATGAGGCGCTGGCAACATCGCAACTTGGTACTATAAATGTGGGGTAAGCTAAGAACGATTTTGGATTTGTGTTGATCATCTTGGTGTCTCACCTGTCCTACCTGTACTGCAGGTAAACAACGCGGGTTTGGTTTTCCCTGGGGAGTCCATGGGAATGTCGGAGCCCCAGTACGATCAGACGATGGACCTCAACATGAAGGTGCCCTTCCTTATGTCACAACTCGCAGTCCCCCACTTGGAGAAGACGCAGGGTGGGTACATCTGGGGGAAGACAGTGTGGGTACATCCGGGGGAGACGCTGGGTAGGTACATCTGGGCGGAGAACGATGACTCAAAGTCGGCAATAGACTGTCATATGTCAGTTCAGTAAATGGTAATACATACCCTGTGCCCAGCAATACCTGGTTTTATAACGGTAGAATTAATGTAGTTCTACTTGCAAAACCCGGCGTTAAGCACCAAGACATCAGCAAAAGAATAGCATTGGTGGCTTGACTCAGCAAAAGAATGGTTTGGTGGCTTTACTCAGCAAAAGGATAGCATTGGTGGCTTGACTCAGCAAAAGGATAGGTTTGGTGGCTTGACTCAGCAAAAGGATAGCATTGGTGGCTTGACTCAGCAAAAGGATGGGTTTGGTGGCTTGACTCAGCAAAAGGATGGGTTTGGTGGCTTGACTCAGCAAAAGAATGGGTTTGGTGGCTTGACTCAGCAAAAGGATAGCATTGGTGGCTTGACTCAGCAAAAGGATAGGTTTGGTGGCTTGACTCAGCAAAAGGATGGGTTTGGTGGCTTGACTCAGCAAAAGAATGGGTTTGGTGGCTTGACTCAGCAAAAGGATGGGTTTGGTGGCTTGGTGGCTGACTCAGCAAAAGGATGGGTTTGGTGGCTTGACTCAGCAAAAGGATGGGTTTGGTGGCTTGACTCAGCAAAAGGATGGGTTTGGTGGCTTGACTCAGCAAAAGGATACCATTGGTGGCTTGACTCAGCAAAAGGATACCATTGGTGGCTTGACTCAGCAAAAGGATGGGTTTGGAAAAGGATGGGTTTGGTGGCTTGACTCAGCAAAGGATACCATTGGTGGCTTGACTAAACTCTGAGCTCAAGGTCATTGTGGACAAACGCTGAAACTAAAAACTGTTCTTGATACCATTAAATAAATAGTATTATTTCTTTACTTTTCCCAAGCAAACAATATCCCATTATGTACCTACATTCGTAGTATTGTATACATTGTTGTAAAACGTGGAATGGTGTAATTCGATGACCCCAAAACACCAATTTCTTCAGAGAAGGGCATCAAGGAACTAAACTTGTTTTTTTCTTGCAGGGAACATTGTAAACATTTCAAGTCTTTTCGGTGCCAGGGCGGTGAGTCTAACTAGGTTTTTGGTAAAGGTTTGGTCATTGTTCTACATTTCGGACCGTGAAGATCTGGGTTAGAATTGATCTTCAGCAATCCATGCTTGTCGTAAGAGCCGACAAGGGGGATCAGGTGGTCAGGCTCGCTGACCTGGTTGACACGTGACATCGTACAGTCGAACTTTATCTGGACGTTTGACCGGATAATCGAGTTTCCGAATACCTGAATAACCTGTCAGCAATCCAGAGTTACCTCCCTCCCCAAAACCTACCGAGTCAGTTCAGATTCACAGATCAATGTTTTAATGAATATGGATGAGTTGACTACAGGAATGTAAATTGTAATTTGATTGACTCATGTCTCATCCTCGATTCACTAGGGATTGAATTTTCATTGGAGAAAACAAAATAACGTTTGTAAACCATCTGATTCTCTACGTATCACATGTAGATGGCGATGACTGGAATCTACTGCGTCAGCAAGGCTGCCCTTGACATGTTCACGCAGTGCCTGGCTTTGGGTGAGTGGAGCGGTGGTGTAGCCGAGTGGGGTAGCCTATGAAGACATAGGTACAATGTGTAAAGCCATTTCTACCATGATATTGCTGAAATATTGCTAATAGTGGCGTAAAATATACTCACACACTCACTCACTTTGGGTGAGTGTCTAGGTGGATGGGTGACTGTCGATGGATAGGTGTCTGTTTAGGGGGACTGTTAGTGGAGTGATCTCTAGACTTGGTGTCTGTGTGGTGAGACTGTAAGTGGAGTGATATCTGGACTTGGTGACTCTGCGGGAACTGTGAGTTGAGTGATCTCAGGACTTGGTGACTGTGAGTGGAGTGATATCTGGACTTGGTGACTGTGGGTGGAGTGATATCTGGACGTGGTGACTGTGAGTTGAGTGATATCTGGACTTGGTGACTGTGGGTGGAGTGATATCTGGACTTAGTGACGGTGCTGGGGGGGACTGTGAGTGGAGTGATCTCTGGACTTGGTGACTGTGTGGTGAGACTGTGAGTGGAGTGATATCTTGATGACTGTGGAGGGAGTGATATCTGACTTGGTGACTGTGGGTGGAGTGATATCTGGACGTGGTGACTGTGAGTTGAGTGATATCTGGACTTGGTGACTGTGTGGAGTGTTATCTGGACTTGGTGACGGTGCTGGGGGGGGGGGACTGTGAGTTGAGTGATCTCTGGACTTGGTGACTGTGTGGTGAGCCTGTGAGTGGAGTGATATTGGGACTTGATGATTGTGAGTGGAGTGATATCTGGACTTGGTGACTGTCAGTGGAGTGATATCTGGACTTGGTGACTGTGAGTGGAGTGATCTCTGGACTTGGTGACTGTGAGTGGAGTGGTATCTGGACTTGGTGACTGTGAGTGGAGTGATATCTGGACTTGGTGACAGAGTGGAGTGATCTCTGGACTTGGTGACTGTGTGGTGAGACTGTGAGTGGAGTGATATCTGGACTTGGTGACTGTGAGTGGGTGATATCTGGACTTGGTGACTGTGTGGTGAGACTGTGAGTGGAGTGATCTCAGGTAGATATTTAGAAATTAGTTGAAAATGCTGCTGTATTCATGGACTACGTTTCATAACATCTGGTCCCGGCATTGTCTGACAAATCTGTCAGACTTATAGACAGTGCCCCATATCATAGTTGGGGAAAATCAATTAAACCGTTAAATGAGGAATCTCTGGTAACAATGCATCCAAGTAAATGAACTGGATTCAAGTAGACTGTATGCTGTTAGCGCCTATTTTCACTAATAGGGTTATTAACCACCAACTTGAGCATACCAAGGAATAATGTCATGTGAATTTTAATAGACTGACTGACTGACTGAGTTTGTTTTTACGACGCTTTTAGCAATATTCCAGCAACATCACGGCGGGGGACACCAGAAATGGGCTTCACACATTGTACCCATGTGGGGATTCGAACCCGGGTCTTCGACGTGACGAGCCAACTCTTTAACCACTAGGCTACCCCACCGCCCCTATTTTTAATAGAGGATCGGTGGGTTGCCTTGTGGTTAAAGCGTTCAAGCCATTTTATATGCGGCGATAATGCTGAAATAATGCTAAAAGCGGCGTAAATCTAAACTCATTCACACTCACTAGTGCGAGTTAAATTGCTACAAAATTCGTGCAAAAAGTAAAGTTTTGCGAAGTGTTTATAGGTGTGTTTTATCTTAGCAAGGCATTTGTGTGTGCATGATTTATTTTCTACTCCAGAGCTCGCGCCCAAGAAAGTTCGGGTGAATTCTGTGAAGTAAGAATTTCCTTTTCATAATGATATCTAACGCGTGACGTGCAAGACTGATTCATTAAGTGTTACCTGTGTGTAGCCTTACAATATGACATAGATGGTGGCAGAAAGACACTTAAAGGGGACTTCACCCAATGGTCTGTAATTTCGAGCACAACAAGAAGTCCACTTTGTTCGTTATCAATATCAGTGCAATCACATACAATTCATTCATACCTAAGTCATTAAACTCTCAGTCTGCATTTAACACCAAACCGGCTACCAGTTCCCCATACACCTTTCTTGTTGTAGCCCCGGCACTGTGGCGACACCGATCTTCGGACGAGAGGGCTCTGTCCTCCATGGCAAAGACGACGAGATAAAGAAGGTCAGGAACTACGGCGTTAAGTTCTATACAACCTTCATGATGGTCAGATAGATCTAAACAGTCTTGTGGGATGCGTCGAAATACGGGTCACCTATTCCATCAGTAGATAAATTCTGTTGTAGGGTATTAAACTTACTGGATCGTATCGGTGACTTACAATATATACTGATGTACAAAAGAAAGTACACACCTGGTGTTTTGAGACTATTAAAAAAACGTAAATATTTTGCTAGCGATGTTCCAATGGGGTACGATATCTATGGTGTTATTGCAACACGTACACAATGTTTGTGACTTGTGAGTCACAATCAAAACAGTTTTTCTAAATATTACGCTGTTTTCAGGAAACATTTTACCAAAGCATCAGGTGTATACTTTCTTTTGTACGTCAGTGTATGTATAACTGATGTAATAGGTGACCCGTATATTTCGTATATATATAATATTGGCGAAGACATTCCCAATTATTTCTGGAACCATCAAATAATTCACTTGAGCTCTGTTTCACAAATGGCTTATGACGTTAGGGCTGTTGAAACTCCTTCTCTTTCAAACCCCTATGTAGTCAAGTGGATAGGGTCACGCCGTGGAGTTGAAAGGTCGGTGGTTCGATTCCGAAAGAGGTTAAGCAAGTGGAACTTATGTTTTCCATGGAAAGCATTCAACACCAATAAGGGAATTCGTACCAGACTATCAGAAATCATTTTTCTCGAGCTTCACGGTTCTACGGAACTACTTTCAAACATACAACTTCCAGTCAAGGCCACGCGGAGAAATACATTTTGAGTTCTGGATTCGCAATGCCTTACAGAAAATCCTGAAATGTGTCTGAAACTGTTTGGAGGTACTTCATAGGGCAAAAGAAAGTTTCTTTCTTTTCAGATGTCTCTCCACTGAGTAGAGACGATCACTTTGATGAATCAGTCTTTCATCCAATGAGCGTCGTTCGAAACTCCGCGTGTTAATCTTTACGAGGGTGCATGGTCAGAAACGAGTGAGTGAGTTTAGTTTTACGCCGCACTCAGCAATATTCCAGCTATATGGCGGCGGTCTGTAATCGAGTCTGGACCAGACAATCCAGTGATCAACATCATGAGCATCGATCTGAGCAAATGGGAACCGATGACATGTGTCAATCAAGTCAGCGCGCCTGACCACCCGATTCTGTTAGTCGCCTGGGTAAGCATGGGTTACTGAAGGCCAATTCTAACCCTGACCTTAACGGGTGATCAGAAACAAAATTCGAACTTTCACTTTCGCGATCTCTGATTGGTCGGATAAAGGGTCGTTTGGAATTAGGCTCGTAATGAGATGTCCTCAGATCCTTGTGCTGGGGTGATTTTAATGGGTATGACCCTGGTCATACTATTTTAATGAAATGTTATTATTATACATTCACAGTTCTTGGAGGAACAAGCGAATGCCACCCCCCTTGGCAGATTGGGCACCCCCCAAGATGTGGCTGGGGCTATTGGCTACCTTGCCTCCGACGCTGCGAGCTATGTGACGGGACAGATTCTGTTAGTCGATGGGGGCCGAAGCTGTACCTTCAAGTGAAGATCCGGGTTCTCCACTCGAAGCAGAGGACTCATCACCGAAATTCAGCATAGACAATACAGTTCTTCCTTCTAAGATTGGTTTGTTCGGAAAAAATGCTTATGTGATCAAAACGATGAGTGGCAAATTGTCACATCAAATTCCTTGATATGAGGTTGCTTTTTAAGAGTTGTAGCTTCTGCCACTAAATAGGTATATCACGCAGTTATGGCAGGTTGATCTGGAAGATTGTTGTCTTATATAGATATCACATCAGCCTGTTGTCAACAACTTTATTAGAGAGGCATGTGGCTGGCACATAACTGTTTTATCATATTACTATAACATTTATCCGTGATATGAGGCAAGGGCGTGAAAACATGTATATCACACGCCAATGATCATACGTATGCAAATTAGATAACTCGAAATAGAACTATATTATTTCTGTGAGAGCATATGGTTCGAAACAGAGGTATGAACAAAGGACACAAAATAGTTCTTGTCACCGTTCTTAAAACTATACTGCAAAACTCTGTTCAAATATTGTTTAAGTAGCCGAGGAACAGTTTTTTTCAGTGAGTGAATATGTCCTGCAGAAGATACCAGGTCGATCATTTTGATTCCATGGCAATGGAAAATGTGTATCACTGCGCACGACATATACGAATAATTTCGACTAGTTTTTGATAATAATTTCGATGCATTTATTTGTTGAAAAGGACAAAGTAATGTTAAAATAATATATTGAAATCATCACGAGTGTTTTTTTAAGTGAGAAATGTGAGGATTGTATGCCGGATTATTGAAAATGGCCTCAATTGTTAAAGTCATGCAACATTACCATTTTTTGCCACGTTTGATTCTCTGAATAAACTACAGGTTTTCGTTCTTCTTGCGTTTTCATTTGCCTTTAAATTATTCCTCAAGGGACACTTTATTCAGGTAGTACGTTTTACTGAGGTTTGGATTAGTTCCCTTGCTATACTTAATCGTAATACATTGATACTATGACAAATATGGAGTGATGCGATACATTTTTTTCATGTGAACCCGTTTAGAACATAGAGGATATTATATGAGTGCCCATGCCATACTATGTTTACGACACACGTGCCTTTAACATCGGTATTTCCCGAGCGAGGGCACGAATGGGCTCGAATATGATATTCTGTTTATTAACGAAGACGTCAAATTGAGGAAAACAAACCCAAATGGTAGAACGCAACGTCACAGAAAAAACATGACGTCATAGCATTGTTCATGACGGCACGTCACCATGACAAAGTGATATTTTGCTCTGGGGCATCGTATGAAATATATGAACCCCGATATGTTCCCCCTCGTAGGTAATAAAGGAAAATATTGATCTTGAGCAACCAATGCTTGTCGTAACAGGAGATTAACGGAATCAGGTGGTCAGGCTCGCTGACTTGGTTGACACATGTAGACCGAAGCTCATGCTGTATCTCTGGATCGTCTATAAGAAGCTGGAATATTGCCGAGGCGTTAACTATCCAACCAACCATGCGTCAATTTTAGTCAATCAGCAGATGCACATGATGCTGATGACCCGTGGATTTGTCCGGGTTAGAATGAGCCTCCGGGTCACCCATGCTTGTCGTAATGCGCCTAACGGGATCGGGTGGTCAGGCTCGCTGCCATTGACACTCGTCATCGGTTCCCAGTTGCGCAGATTGATGCTCATGCTGTTGATGTGTCCCTTTCTAGTCAACTCGATTATTTACAGACTGCCGCCATATATATGGAATATTGCTGAGTGAGGGGTAAAACTAAACTCACTCACTCACTCACATGATGCTGATACAAGTTGTTACAGGAATGTAGTATAGAACGACTCGTTGATGAGACATCCTCAAACGAAACGGGTTCAAATCCGTTGGCTCGACCCACGTTTTAAGAAAATTCTACATAATTAACTTGTCAAAAGTCGTAAGAGGCGATTAACGGGATCGGGTGGTCAAGCTCGCTGACTGGGTTGACACATGTCATCGGTTCCCAATTGCGTACATCGATTCTCATGCTGTTGATCACTAGATTGTCTTTTCCAGACTCGATTATTTGCAGACAGCCTATCAAACGACACGTCTGGTGAGTAAATATTGATCGATTTCAAGATCAGCAAGATCAAAATTGGAAACTAGAGATTAATAACAGATAATCAAACTATCTATATGAGGGGCTCCAGTTTACAGCTAGAACTACCTATATGCCAAGTTTACTGAATATTCAGAATTAACACTTGAATGTCAAGATCTGCGCTGGTTAATGTGACATCCCCAAGCAAACGTTTAGGATTTTGCAATGTGTTATTAAACTATTCGGACAATTCTTGTAACTACAAAATTGTTTTATTTATTGCTTAATTATACGTTTTAGACAAAAAGGTTACTTTGCTGGGATTGTAAGTATGAAATTATTTCCCACCATAAACCTGAACTGGTTTCTTGAACAGACACCGGCGGACTGACTGAGCGCCGCTTTTAGCAATATTCACAATGTAAACAAATCCGACAGCGAGCTGATTTCGGTTATGGTCGACCGAAATAGCAAAACTTGTTACATTAAAAAACAATGTGGTGGATATGGTTGCTTTCGCGATTAGATATTCTTAAATTTGTCACACATTTTAGGATGTTTTAAAGTTTCAAAAGCACAATCTGAAGGCCTGTACAGTAGAGTATATGTTGATAGTGTAAAATATTCGAGGAGTAATATTGTTTTATCCAAACGGAAATATTGTCAGTGTCAGGAGTTGCCTATCACGCAATATCCAAACATCAAAATCAATTCTAAGAGTGTCTGTAAAACCATGTCTTAAATATTTCAGAATATCTATAAAGAGATTGGACCTTGAATTGATTTAGCTTTACTCAAATGTGAATCGGAGACGAAAACTATGTCAGAAGAATAGTGACTTTCTGGAATATCGGACGGAGTGAAATATAAGTTTATTTCCTAACTATGAGAACATTATTTGTTTTGATTTTTTTGTCACAGCATAATTGTTTTACTTGTAAGGTTGGGTTTGGGATGGGGTGGGGGTACATTGGTACATTTTAGGAGTAATAACATAGTTCTGTCATTTTAATTATTATTCACTGGAAATGATAGCAAGGTATGTTTTAAGAATCTTGCCTCCTTCAGGAAACGTGGAAAGGTAATAAAATAGATAATACTCCAATAAATTATTAATAATTACTTAACTGTCTCACATATCAGATTCATGTGAAGTTAAGGCAGAACTAGGCAAACAAACACTATATACATATCATGGCTGAACAAACACTTGGTACTAAGATAGCTAGTTTGTTTTAAGTTATATTTGGTCTTTAAATAATATGTTTATTCAGAGAGTGACTCATAATAAAGTTATTTCAACATCCAGAGAATTTGAAAGAAAAACAAAGGCTACGTTTTGGTCACACCCAGGCATTATTCAGTCATGGAACCAAGTAACTTACAGAATTCTAAGTTGACTGTTCATGTAACTGGAATGGATATTGAAACATGACATTCAACCCCGATTTCATGTAATACTTCTTAGAATTCATCAGCTTTTGAGGAGGTTACCAATATTTGAAGACTGAGCCAAAGTAGTGTTTATTAAGATGTTGTTTTTGGACAAATTGTTCAAGGTTTGTTGGTGCTTATTTAGAAAATAGGCTTAAATTCATATTAAATTGCACACTGGTTTAATTGCAGGAGGTGAAAGCTTCAGGACATTTTCATGTATGTTTTCCTAAACTTTTGTTATGACTTTTACCAAATTTTTAAGCAACTAATATAGTTTGATGCCACTAGTAAGTATCTCAGAAAAGGAAATAGATCAGAATTAGTGTTATTTCCCTAAGGGATATGGTCTAAGATCTAATAAAACAAAGATTATCATTGTCTAAGAAGCAATAATGTCAATATGTGATTTTATTGACAAATAGCTTTAAACTTTGAATATATTCTTTGCCTCTTGTTTACAATAGTAGTTAGCAGTTAAATATATCTGAAGAAAAAGCAGTATATTTGTATGTTGTGTAACATTCTGTTTCAATGCTAGTTAATTGTACGGATAACTGTGGATCCTCTGTTCAAAGATTTTGCATCACACGTTTCCTATTTATGGAAGATGTGTCAGTGTACAGGTGCAGACTGTATCTTGGATTCTTTGTGTTTATGGTGGTGTGACATACCTGTAGATAAATGCTGGCAGTTCATGAAGTCCAATATATAAGTGGAGGTTTGTAGATTAGGATTCCATAACAAAGTACACATATAAAAATAAATTGGAAAGGATTATTTAAAAAATGGATTTCCTTATATTCAGTGTCATTTTAGGATGGTGTTCAGATTTTGAAGAGAGAAATTTGACTGAGAATAGCTGCAGATTAGCTGCTGAATATTTGCTTCGGGGTATGGCCAGATACATCCATGGAAACATACTGTGTTAACAGGTCCAGTAACGTTTTCCAGATAATATATATACAGACAAACAAGGTGGACGAAGTAGTAGACCGGGATACTGCTTTCCTGCGTTGTCCCTTGAAAGGTAGAAACCCAAGTTTTCACAAACTTAAAGCTGAACAACGGATAAATAAATAAAGGTGGCAGGCGCAGTTTTGACCAAAAAAATTATAGATACCGGAACGATCTGTAACTTGAACATGTGGTTGTGTTCACGGTTTTTATAATATTACGATGGGAATTTTTGAGACAAAAACAACAAACATAATTCAGTAACCTTTCCCCTGCTAATATGTTAGACGAACGTGAATTGCCGGATAGATTATTTGGTAGAAAATACGCTTCCCAGTCTCAGCAGCTGGCTGAGACGATTTTTCATCGGGCATGTAGATCTAACTACTTTTTCACTCGCCAATTATACAACCTGTCAACTAAAATATATTGAAAATAAAATACGTATAACTTTCCTTTTAAAATATCATTCACAAACGACGGATACCAAAGTACAACAAGCATAATTCATCAACAACATTCGCAATCACGTACGTTTCGCCGGCGGTGACGCCATTGTGATTAGTCCGTGGTTGTCCCCCCTAACGTCAAAAACGAAGTGGGCGGGGCTTATCGGCCGGGACTGGATCGGTCTATTGTGTAGACCGAAGCTCATGCTGTATCTCTGGATCGTCTATATAGCTGGAATATTGCCGAGCGTGGCGTTAAACAACAGACCATGTGTAAGAGGCGACTAACGGGATGGGGCGGCCAGACTCGCTGATTTGGTTGCCCATGATGTTGATCAATGGATTAGACTCGGCTATTGCGGGAACAGCGGCGTTAACTATCCAACCAACCATGTGTATATTTTAGTCAAATCAGCAGATGCACATGATGCTGATGACCCGTGAAGGTCCGGGTTAGAATGAGCCTCCAGTAACCCATGCTTGTCGTAAGAGGCGCCTAACGGGATCGGGTGGTCAGGCTCGCTGCATTGGTTGACACATGTCATCGGTTCCCAATTGCGCAGATCTATGGTCATGCTGTTGATCACTGGATTGTCTAGTCCAGACTCGATTATTTACAGACCGCCGCCATATAGCTGGAATATTGCTGAGTGCGGGGTAAAACTAAACTCACTCACTCACTCACATGATGCTGATACAAGCTGTTACAGGAATGTAGTATAGAACGACTCGTTGATGAGACATCCTCAAACGAAACGGGTTCCAATCCGTTGGCTCGACCCACGTTTTAAGAAAATTCTACTTAATTAACTTGTCAAAAGTCGTAAGAGGCGATTAACGGGATCGGGTGGTCAAGCTCGCTGACTGGGTTGACACATGTCATCGGTTCCCAATTGCGTACATCGATTCTCATGCTGTTGATCACTAGATTGTCTTTTCCAGACTCGATTATTTGCAGACAGCCAATCAAACGACACGTCTGGTGAGTAAATATTGATCGATTTCAAGATCAGCTCCGGAAACAAGCCCAAGTCAAAATTGTTGCCATGGAAACTAGAGATTAATAACAGATAATCAAACTATCTATATGAGGGGCTCCAGTTTACAGCTAGAACTACCTATATGCCAAGTTTACTGAATATTCAGAAATAACACATGAATGTCAAGATCTGCGCTGGTTAACGTGACATCCCCAAGCAAACGAAAACGGCACTTGACGTAATTATTTTACCTCGAATGTTAAAAGAAAATTAATTACCCTAACTATTCATATATCTGTGTCAAAAGATTAAAATATGAAGTACTGCATAAACATAAAAGGTTTGAATTTTGTTTTATGTATTGTGTGTATAATTATACAAGAATAACGGGAGTTATATATTATGGACAAAAAGGTGTTTTGTTTCTTTGCTTTGCCCGATTATCTGATTGTAAGTATGCAAATGAAATATTTCCCAACATCACTAACACCTGGTGTCTTACTGGTTTCTTTTGAACAGACACCGTGTGACGTAAGACTGACTGACTGAGTTTGGTTTTACGCCGCTTTTAGCAATATTCCAGCAACATCACGGCGGGGGACACCAGAAATGGGCTTCACACATTGTACCCATGTGGGGATTCGAACCCGGATCTTCGGCGTGACGAGCCAACACTTTAACCACTAGGCTATCCCTCCGCCCGTGACATAAGAAGGCCTTGATGGTGCTACATGGGGATTCAAATACTGAAACGGGTTTTACATGTGACAATCCGGGTTAGAACAGAATCTTCAGCAATCGATGCTTGTCGTAAGAGGCGACTAACGGGATCGGGTGGTCAGGCTCGCTGACTTGGCTGACACATGTCATCGTATCCCAGTTACGTAGATCTATGCTCATGCTGTTGATCACTGGATTCCCTGGTCCAGACTCGATTATTTACAGACTGCCGCCATATAGCTGGAATATTGCTGAGTGCGGCGTTAAAAATCAACCAACCAACTGAAATGTGTTTTGTCAATCTGAACGGAAGGGGCAAGCTTTCTAGATAATAAATGGTTACGTTCGCAAATGGTGACATTGTAATTGCTCACTATCCTACGATAGTCAATGACATCAAGTGTATGATAAATAACAGCATTTGAAATAGATTAGTGTTTTTATTGAGAAAATATATTCTCAGTAATATGCAAGTAATATTGCTGCTTACAGGCCTTTAGTAATATAGCAGTCATAACACTAACTATAATGTCTCTCTGAGATTGCTGTATTACTGCTGATTACATGCCTATGATAATATACCGTATTTCCTCCAATAAGCGCCCGGGCGCTTATATTTTCAATGGACTTCCTGACCCGGCCCTTATAAGAGGCCCGACGCCTTTGCTCTTACTGGGTGGAATTACATTAATTGTTAGGAAGCTGCTTTACACCCGGCGCTTATTTGAGGAAATGCGGTAGCTGTAATATTGCTGATTACAGGCCTGTGGTGGCATTATAGAGGAAATGGTGTTTGCATTGCCAAATACTGATTAAGTAACGTGATATTCACCATATTTGAAAAAGCACACATACGAGTGATGAATTCAATTTATCATTTTCACATTGCTGTTTCTTTTTGGAGAAATAACCATCAAAATTAACAACAGAATTAAAAACAGAGTTTGGCCGAATAATTAAAACTAAAATAACCGTAACAAGTTAACAACTATTCTGCGTCATTTGATTATACCTCTGGTATAATGTCACTGATATTTAGCTCTCCAATGAAAATGTGTTCACTCAGAAAATAATTCCGTTATCTAATTTGCATACTTGGGTCATGGGGGTATGGACTATATTATAAGTTGTTCACTGGTCTCGAGGGGGACATGGGCCGATGTACCCTTGATGTTTGTTTAGAACATGAAGAAACATCGAGGGTACATCAACCCAGGGACCAGTGAAAAACGTATTTATCTTCAAATACACCTCAATGGTAATTCTGAACTGTTTGAAGCACCGGTATCGGATCATAGTATGGAGTACCAGATGACAAGACAAGAAAAACAACTTTAGAGTTGTCTCCCTTCCACCGAATTGCATTCGCAAAACATCGGTAATTTCCGTGCATCATACGTGATTCAACGTTATTCGAGATAAAGAATTACTACTACGAAGTACCAAATGAGTTCGGTATTCCCAGCGGGGTACATAGAAAATGTTACTCGCTTGTAAGCGGGGTACATTGAAAATAATAGAAAAGCGCTTAGCCAGTCAGAAATCGACATTTATGTGTGAGGCAAGATAAGTTTTCAAGTCCTAACCTTATGTCACAGATAAATGCTTTATTTAAATATACAGCTGTAATATGCCAGATATAGGTGTAATATTGCTGACAACAAGCTGTGTGATAATATAGAACAAATCTTATGAATATTAGCTTCTATATTTCGTGAGTGCGACTTTCGATACAGATTCTTGTACCGTTGTCCAGCAGAAGTAATACATGCAGTGGAGGAGATGTATATATATACTGAATGTAACAATGAGACAACATAATTGCCATAATTGGTTAAGTAGTAAGATGATAAAGCCACTGAGTACACACAGGATAGGGCGTGGAAGCCAGAGTTGTACAAATAAAATCCATTGTAATCCATAACATTTGTTCAATATTGTAGGTCCCTACTTCTAAAATGCCACTCAAACAAGTTAAGCTGTGTGATAGGTATCTATATAGGATACTAAGTACTTTGACAACAATCTGTAAGATCAAGCTGCCATAACGACGTCAGACGTGACGTAACTATTCTATGATGGCGATACTACTCTTCACTTGCAGGTACAGCTTCGGCCCCCATCGACTAAGAGAATCTGTCCCGTCACATAGCTTGCAGCGTCGGAGGCAAGGTAGCCAATAGCCTCAGACACATCCTGGGGCGTGCCCAATCTGCCAAAGGGGCTGGCACTGGCTTGTGAATCCAAAAACTGTAAATGTATAATAATAATCTTTCAGGAAAATAGTACCACAAGGGCTATTCCCATTACAATCACCCCAACACCAAAATCTGAAGATGGATGACACGTGTCATGGTAACCCAATGGCGTAGATCGATGCTCATGATGTTGATCACTGGATTGCCAGAACATACTTTCGGTTAGTCACCGAGTATACCCAGAGGTTCAATGATCTATCAACAGACATATGTGAGGTGAGGTGAGGTGAAATGGGGTTTAACGTCGTACTTAATAGTATTTCGCTCATATGACGACGTGCATGCGTGTGTATGTGTGGCTGCTTGTACTAGTCCAGACATAAGTTGGTTTTATAGTGCTAGCTCATTGAGATACCATGCCTCAGTTAAGCATGAATACCCCACTTAGACGCATTACACTGACTCCGATCCGACCAGTCCTTGTTGTACCCATTAATGCCGAGCGCCAGGCAGGAAGCAACAAGTACCATATTTTAACGTCTTTTGGTATGACGCGGCCGGGGACCAAACCTGCGACTTTCCGCTCTCCGGGCGGACGCTCTAACCACTACACCACAGAGGCGGTCAGAACGGACATACAATGCTACTGATATAATAGGTGACGTGTATTTCGTCGCGTCACACATCACAACTGTTTAGATCTATCTGACCAGCATCAACGCTGTACATAATGGATGCTTAACGCCGCAGTTGCTGACCTTCTGTATCTCGTCGTCTTTGCCGTGGAGGGCAGAACCCTCTCGTCCGAAGATCGAAGTCGCCACAGTGCTGGGGCTGAAACAAAGGTGTGTGGAGCTTAGATGCCAGTTTGGCGTTTGATAGTGACTGAGAGAGTTTACTACTGAACTCTGAGCTGTGAATGATTTGTGAGTGGCTGTGTCGATATTAACAAATAGCACTCCTTTAGAGTAGATTTCTTGTTGTGTTAGAGCATTAAGTGAGACTACCATTACCCATCAAGGGTATAATTAGGAAAGAATATGGGCTCCGTTCCTCAAAGCGATCTTAACGCTACGACTGCCGTAAGTCTATGTTAAAGTATGGGAGTTACGATCATCTTAGCGCTACTACTGCCGTAAGTCTATGTTAAAGTATGGGAGTTACGATCATCTTAGCGCTACTACTGTCGTAAGTCTATGTTAAAGTATGGGAGTTACGATCATCTTAGCGCTACTACTGTCGTAAGTCTATGTTAAAGTATGGGAGTTACGATCATCTTAGCGCCACTACTGTCGTAAGTTTATGTTAAAGTATGGGAGTTACGATCATCTTAGCGCTACGATGGCTTTGAGGAACGGGAGAATGGTCTCTAACTTCTTTTGAGTAATATATATATTTCAACTTCACATTTCGTGTGATGTATATAATTTAGGAACAGATGCGGACAACGTCTCACTTTGACAGTAGTGACAATCGAAAACAGGCAGATCGTTGGGTCATAGCCCCCCTGTAAGTGTGTGTGGCATATGTCTGCCAAAATCTATGCTACATTGTAGGGATACACACAAGTAACACATTATTAAGGCATAAAAAAAGTTGTGGTTCCGATTCCCCGACAGACCCTTGAATTCTGGTGCCGACCCTATTTTTATAAGCAGTATGAATAAGATAACCGTTCTGATACCATTGTTTTTTCCCGGCACCAACAGACATCGGTCATTCTGATAGAGAAAGTCGACATGATGGCCGAGAGCTTGGTTAACTAAACAATTACACATTGATAAATGTGTTATTAGTTTGTACTTTACTGCTTAAAAAATGTATTAAAAAATCCTACTTACCTACCCTAATTTTAAAGAGGTGTAATCGGAACCACAACATTGTATTTGGCCTAATCAGACTCGCACACCCAACTGATGTGTCATTGCTGAAGAGAGGAAATTCTTACCTCACAGAATTCACCCGAACCTTTTTGGGCGCGAGCTCTGCAGAGGAAAAAACAACCTTCGTAAACACATGTCATGTTACGATGAACACAAACATAAATACTTATAGTCCGTGGGTGTGACTAAATATACACATGGTTGGTTGGCACCCAGTTTCGGCTCAGTGGGTTTGCATATGATGACAAATAGATATATGCTATGTGTTGTCATTGACCAAAACAGAAGAATCTGATTCAAGTTCAGAGTTTGTCATCCCAATTATAGATTTTTTATTCACTGTTATCGGGATGTGCATTTTCCGGTCATGGGGGGTAATAGCAGATGATTGAATTTCTGTCAACAGTGAGTGTGTTTCAAACATGGAAGTAGTCTGTCTCACAGTCCCAGTCCCTGAACCACACTATTTTCCCTACTGCCTAGCCCTCTCTGCAGTGCTAAAGCCCTAAATAAGTCAATTTCCTCAGGTTCTGAATCTCTGGTCTCACTGGGGCTCCTTTTCAATTTAAATGGGCTTGTTTGTTACTATCAAAATTATATATATTCAGAGACTAAGTATTAGTCTAACATGGAAGCTGCATGCTCGACTTTGGGTCACGCCTACTTAAGTGGCCAGTGTCAGGCAATGTGTTAGGGTGTCAGTTTGTTATCCAATATGCCGTCAACGGATGCTCAAACGAGAATCTAAATTTAATATCAGTAATTGTCACACTAAAACATACTAAAGGCAACACACATTCCAAGGAGAACGTTGTTTCGAATTGTCTCCCCTGAACAGGATGAACTGATGATTTTGACAGACGTATCCTCTAAGTGTCCTTATGTGCAAAATACACAGACGACGGATCTGATCTAATTATACGAACCCCTAAATCAATGTTTCATTACAACTAACGCACGCATCGCTGGAACAACCTTCCAACACTATGGGTCGGTCACCCCACGTCGCAAGCAGTTACTCCGCCCTTCCCACCACATCTAACGCGAACCCAGTTACCTCTTCTGACATACAGTCACCCCACACCCACTCAAAAAGGTCTGTCCACTCAAAACAGTCTCCCAACCAAACACACAGCGCTCCTTTCAGTCACCCACCTAGAAAACCCAGACAAGTGATCAACGAACCAAAACATTCAACCCACATTATCAATCTCAACATTCAAACAGTCATCCACGCAAACTGTAACCCCACTTAATTCAGTCAACCAGCCAAGAGATCACTCTACCCACACAAAAAAACCTTATAGATAAAACCCACAGTCAACCCTCCCACACAGTTCCTCCACCCAAGTCAACCCTCCCACACGGTCACTCCACCCAATTTAACCCTTACGCACAGTCACCAAACCCAGAGATGACTCCACCAAGGTACTCGACACAGATACTCATCCATCGACAATCACTCCACACAGAAACCCAGCCATCGACCGTCACTCCACACAGACACCCAGCCATCGACAGTCACCCACCCACCAAGACACTCACCCAAAGCCAGGCACTGAGTGAACATGTCAAGGGCGGCCTTGGCGACACAGTAGATCCCAACCTCCGGCATCTGCAACACATGTGACTCGATCAGCAATCCATTAACGAGAGATGATTGTAACAATCGCTATTTCGCTCTCTGCAATGTTTTCTCTCAAATTACAATTTACAATAATTTACACAATTTAATCATTAAATTATTGAACTGTGAATCTTTTAGTTTGTTTTCGCTCCGAAGAATTTGGGAAGGGGAGGTAACTCTGGTCATCTGAGAGGTGACTCAGGTGCCCGGAACTTCGTTCATCCGAACAATAATTGAGAAAACGCAAATGAGGTTCGACTATACCGATACGATAAGCTGTGTCAATCATGTCATCAAGCTTGACCACCCGATCCAGTTAGTAGCTCCAACGAAAAGCGTGGGTTGATGGAGATCAATTCTTATACGGATCCTCAATGACTCAGGAATTGAAGAACTGTGACCAAACCATTCATACCACAAACATAGTTGGACTCACCGCCCTGGTCCCGCAAAGACTTGATATATTTACAATGTTCCCTGCAAGGAGAAAAAAGCTTAGTTCGCCTGTATTTTGGTCATTGCATTACACCATTTCACGTTTTACGACAATGTGCTACACTAAGTGGGTAGGCCGAGCATGGGTTATTGTTTGCATGTTAAAGGTAATGAAATATTTAACTGTTTTTCTTCAGAACAAATATCGCACTTGTCCACAATGACATCGAGCTCAGAGCTTAGTCTAGTCACCGAACCCACCCACTCCTTCTCGCTCTTTCTCATTACTTCATGTCATGTGTAGAGTTTGGGACATTTTTGACCGCATCTGTGGATGAATTAGCAGCCTGGTGGTCCTGTGTAGCAATCGTGATATTCGGTTCTGCCTAGACTACGTACGTCTCCTTCCCTTTCCGATTTTGAGTTATTTTGGAATTCATCCTTCTCATCTGGAGATAAACGGGCTATACGCACCCCACTCCACCTGACGTACTCATTCGTGTATTCCAATATGTTCCTCCAGAAGCATCCCTGCAGCTCTTCCAGATGTACCCACCCTGTCTCACCCCCAGATGTACCCACCCTGTCTCACCCCAGATGTACCCATCTACGTCTTCTCCAGATGCATACCCACCTTCATCTCTCGTTGTACCCACCCTGCGTCTGCCCCAGATGCACCTACCCTGCGACTTCTCCAAGTGGGGGACTGCCAGCTGTGACAGGAGGAAGGGCACCTTCATGTTGAGGTCCATCGACTTATCGTAGTCGGACTCCGACATTCCCATGGACTCCCCAGGGAAGACCACACCAGCGTTGTTCACCTGCATTACAGGTAGGTCAGGTGAGACGCCCGGGTGATCAACACTTATACCCGGTCATACATGTGTAACCACAAATCAAAACGCATCCTTAGTATAGATTACGATGGTGTACATGTTGCCAAAACACCACAGATATCGTACCTAGTTGTGACCTTGCCAGTGGCCCTCGTTTCTTTCCCAGTGTAGACGATTCTGTCGATTTTGACGGGTAAATGACAGACCACAATATGGTCGCTAGGTCCAGGTGCCGACAGCACGCGGTCGTCTGTCTTCCTGCTGGAGCGGTGGCCAAAACTGCGGATACTGATGACGTCACTTTGAGCATCCGGTTGCGCAGATGGATAATGGATATCTTCCGGGAGGTCATTCTCGGCCTTCAGTTCTGGGACTGATTTTCATGATATTCCACACACATCACTGTAAAGGATACATGTGTTGTTTGGGCAACACTACACAATGCTTGTGATTGTAAGTCACAACCAAAGCACTTTTCAAAATATTTAGCTTTTCTTAAAGATATATTTCTGTAACACAAGATTTGTACTTCCTTTTGTACATCGACCCTAGATGGCGCAGTCACCAACTGTACCACTACAACATCTAAATGTTTCACATAACCCCAAACAAGCAAACATATTCAAGAGAAACCAAAATAATCACGCTAAGAAAAGCATTATAAATATGTTTTAGGTGTTTTTATGCATTCGGAACTCACCGGGGCAGACTAAAGTCACACATATACGTATTCAGGCTGGAAACGCCACCCAACGATCGCACTCGTACACGTACCAGTACATCGAGCCTGGCAAACTTGGCGACCGTCTTTTCAATGGTGTCCTTCCTGAACGCCGAGTCAGTCAGGTCACCAGAAATAGTCCGAATCTGGAAATCAAACAGATCATAAGTCATGCTTCGTGTTCTCACCTTCAGTGTTCCTCGGCTCTGTAATTGTTGCTTTTCTTGTTGTGTTAAGTGTACGTGTCTATGCCAGATGACGTCAGCTGTAAATAATCGAGTCTGGACCAGACAGTCCTGTGACTGACTTCATGAGTATTGATCTACGCAATTAGGATACTATGACATACGATGATAGTATCGCCTTCATTTCTGCAGCTTTCTAACCACTGTCACGTTGAATGTATCTATTGTTATTTTATGTATTGTACTGAATTATATGCTCAGTATACTTCTTCGATGACATCCTTTATCCGAGCTAGCAAGTTTTACCATTCGATCCTGTTAGCAGCCTCACACCCGGATTTACACGGGTAGTCGGTTATCGATACGAATTTACAGTCCGTTTGAGTCAGAAACGGACCGATGAATTGCAAATTTTATCATTGAACAAAATTGCCACATAAATATAAATAGTACACATGTTCATCATTTACTAATATCCAACAGCTTTCTTATATTTGAAAATTTCCGGACTCCACCCAAAAAGTTGTTTTAGAAACTATCATCATTGAAAACGCAAAAGTTGTTATCTGTCGCGGCGGGGTGAAACCGCAGAAACGGAACAGCCAGTCATGACAGGGGACATCTCAAAATCTATTCCGGGAGACCTGTCGGTTCCTCGTCTGTCGTAGTGTCATAGTCACGACTTAAAGGGATGACAAGTGGTGCCACAGTTGCCTGTTGTAAGCCATCCCGAGACCAGTAACCTTGTTCGATGACGTTAGCGATCTTGTTGACATAGTTTTGCAAAGTTTCAGTCGTGATTTTGTTAAGGGATTCCTTAACCAAAACCTCTACGTCACGTAATCTAAAAGTTGTGTTTGATCTGGCAACATCTCCTTTGACAATACCTCATATCATTTCAATAGGGTTAAGGTCACAGTGATAGGATGGAAGTCGCAGAATATCGTGACCCTTACTTTTTATGTAACTGTCAACTTTGTAGAAAGGTTCACCTTTGTGGGTTTTATGATTTCATATAGCTGAGGCTTCGTTGCCTTTGAAGGCCGTGCGATCTGAAATTTGTCGAGCCATGATATCATATCACCTTTTCGACTGTTCGATGTCGGGGCTTTACTGTCGGGGTCCTGCACGCTGTGGTATGGGGCATTGTCCATTACGATAAAAGACTTCTCTGGTAGAGCTGGTACCAACTTGTTTTTAACCCAATCGAGGAAAACGGCACCATTCATCTCGGAATGGTAGTCTCTGTTATCTGTGGACTTTGCCCTGAATACCAAGTCGCAGCCTGGGAGAAAGCCTTTGCTGGAGCAACCAGCATGGAGAATGATTAGTCTCTCTCCTTTCCCAAGAGGCAGCTTTCTACGTGACCCCTTATCACCCCCATTGGGTACCCACTGACTGCTGGCAGTGTGCGAGGCAATGACCCAGGTCTCGTCCAAGTACACTGGCTCGAACCCTTCCTCGCGATTCTTCTTTATAACCCTGAGAAAATTATTTCTCAAGCGAACGATATCAGGGCGTTCACAGAGTACTGACCTATTCTCCCCCGAAATTTTCTTATAACGATACCCGAAAGAGTGTAAGAGTCGCCAGAGTGTGTACTTTGATACTCTGAGGTTGTGTTCTTGCTTCAAATGCTTTTTAAAAATTGTCAGCGACATGTATTTGTTTTCAGAATAAAGCTTGTTGATAGACTGCCTTACAAGGTTTTTTTGAAAGTTGTCCAAATGTTTTAATTTGTGTGATTTTGACACGACCCCTACCTGCTTCGCATCACCCTCACAATGTTTGTGTTCCAGAACATTTGTCAGTACCCTTGCTGATACTCCTAAAGCTTTTGCTGTCCGCTTACGGAATTTATTAATGGCATAAAATGGTTTGCCCCTTTCGGCTTCAGCACGGAAAAAATCGTACACTTTAATCATCAACTGTTTCACGTCATTTTTCATCAGGCATGTGTATCCCGTTCACGACGAGATAGTGGCTGTTCCGTTTCTGCGGTTTCACCCCGCCGCGACAGATAACTTTTGCGTTTTCAGTGATAATAGTTAATGTCCTAGGAGTGTACAAAATAGCAAGTTGTTTCTCGCAACACTCACGTTATCAGCAGGTACCCCACACGCCATGCATCGCTTAGCGACATCTTCAAGTCTCGAATTATCTCGTCCCGTTAGCGCGAGTTTGGCTCCCTTTTTGGCAAAATGCAAAGCCGTCCCCTCTCCAAGCCCGGCACTCGCTCCTGGAGAATGGAGAAATAGGATGTCATTAGAAACATTGAAAAAACAACATTCCACAAACCTGACTTGGCATTAACAGTGAACAGTTTTGTCAATAATGTACCATGTGGAGCAATAGAGACATTCATCAACATTAATAACTCGATATCACTTAACAGCGAATACATACATAAATACACATTATGTAAGCCATCAGTAGACCTTATATTTAGCAATTATACAGTGTAGATGAGGTGAAATGGGGTTTAACGTCGCACTTAAGAATATTTCGCTAGTTTTATAGTGCTAGCTCACTGAGATACCATGCCGCAGTTAAGCATGAATACCCCACTCAGACACATTATACTGACTCCCAGCCGACCAGTCTTTGTTGTACCCATTAATGCCGAGCGCCAGGCAGGGACCAACAAGTACTATAACAACGTCTTTCGGTATGACGCGGCCGGGGATCGAACCCGCGACCTTCCGCAGACGCTCTAACCACTACACCACGGAGGCGGTCATTATACAAAGTAAGTATTTTTGTCATTTGTATGGAGCGGATTCTGGATACCTTTACAAGATTCGTTTACGGGATTCGAACCAGTTGGTTTTATAATTCGCTGAGCAAACTTTCTTCCCTTGGCTCTGCAAGGATTCGCTGATCGTGCATTCGAAGCCAATACCCACCTACCTTGGTGAATGTCGGTTTCTTCCCTCTTTCAGCTCACACAATAAAATAGCTGACCTCAGCTCGTTCGCGAACTCGCTCACTCACTAACTCATTCACTCACAAGCCAATATAGGTACTAAAACTATTCTGTACTTCAGTGCGTCTATAAACCCAGCGACCGCCTCCGTGGTGTAGTGGTTAGAGCGTCCGCCCTGAGAGGACTGGTCGGCTCGGAGTCAGTATAATGTGTCTGAGTCGGGTATTCATGCTTCACTGCGACATGGTATCACAGTGGGCTGGCACTAAAAAAACAGCTTAAATCTGGGCTAGTACAAGCAGCCGCACATACACATACACACGCATGCACGTCGTCATATGAGCGAAATATTCTCAAGCACGACGTAAAACCCAATTTCACCTCACCTCACCTATAAACCCAGCTCATTCGCAGACACATATTGAAATCTGCACTATTTCTAAAAACATATATCAATTGCATTTATAGGCACAGAACGGAACATGAATTGAATTATAGAAACCTGTAGCATTGTCGTCTGCTTGAGTTAAATGGCCCCATTTGTGCAGTGTAACGATGATACTGCACATTTAGCAAGGCGATAACAAAAATAAACAATCTCCATATTTCTTGCTCCATATAACTCCCCGACGCATTGTTAGCGTTCCTGGGAGGGTTTGAGTGTACAGCCTTCTACATGCAAGTCTCTGTGCAGGAAAATGTTTTTTCATATTTACCCGTAATAAGTACAACTCGGCCCACGAAGCTCGCCATCGCGTGCTTGTGCTGTCTCGAATATCTGGCTGGGGAACAACTGACGGGAACATCTATATGAATCACTGACCTCCTCGAGGTAAATTATGTAAATTCTAAAGGGTAAACGGAGGTCTCCGATGCCATGCAGGCTGCTGTGGAAGTAGTCATGTTAGAGTTAACCAATCATTTCGCCGATTCTGACGAATTCGATCAGAGCGAGGCTGTGGCTCTCACGGCCTACAGGGAAGGCTCGTGCAGCCGAACTGCAAGTGTGTCAGTCAAAGTGACCTGACACACACTGCACTGTTATTGCTTCAATCCGCCATCAGAAAAAGCCGCTTTATCTGGTAGAACCTTGGAGTCGAGAGACCTAGACTTGCACTGGCTCTTCCCAAAGTATAGAAACATATTTTTATAATTAATATAATGCTTATTCACGTGTGTTATAGCTATTGTCACGTTACATAATTTACCAGTTTATCCTTGCACATATCACACTGTCCATTCATATATTTTGGTTCCATTGTTAACAATACAATCTCGCCACCAATATGTACTGTATATAAATACGATTGCTTCCCTACAGTTTCAGCATATTTATGTGTGGTTAACTTTGAATTTTCTGATCCGTATTTATTTTGATGCTCCGATTCCGGGCTAATCTTAAATATTTACACGTTACCTATTATTTGTTGTTTAACAAACCGGCGGCCTATGGTGAAAACCTTAACCTGGGACAGCCAGGTGTTAGAGAAACACGTGCACAAGTGCCCACCAAGTTATTGATTCATTAGCCTGTGCTGTGCCGTCTCCATCCTTTCTCGCACGCCTGGCTGTCCCTTTCTCTGCACTCCTCCCTCGTAACAAATAGTGAACTGTGTCAAAATTGTAATGATAGTTTCTTAAAGAACTTTTTTGGTGGAGTCCGGAACATTTTCAAATATAAGAAAGCTGTTGGGTATTAGTAAATGATAAACATGTGTACTATTTCTATTTATGTGGCAATTTTGTACAATGATAAAATTTGCAATTCATCGGTCCGTTTCTGACTCAAACGGACTGTAACAATTAATACGCTGACCACGCTGGATTCAGTTACTGTTTAACTCAACTGACACACTCAAAAGAGGAAATAGGCTGATCATGGTAGCTCTTCAACGATGAACGCGAAACAGTAAGCGACAGGTATAAGCCATTGAACACCAACCAAAACAATTTCGTAGGGATGTTTTATTTTAAATGTTGACAAACATGATGGCAGCGGCTTGGACATCAGAACAGCAACTGAGGATCCGTTTCTGAAATACACAGGACAATGATGTAAAATCCGATAGTCAAAGAATTGATCAAAATATACTGAGTGTGTAAGAAGTACCCAGTGGTTAAAGCGTTCGCCCATCACGCCGATGGTGTCTTACTGGTCTCTTTTGAACGGACACCGTGTGACGTAAGAAGGCCTTGATGATGCTACATGGGGATTCAAATACTGAAATGGGTTTTACTTGTGACAATCCGGGTTAGAACAGGACCCGGTTGTATCAAACTTTAATGAAGCATTAACGAGCCATAAAACGTTCATTAAGTAACGTGTCATTAACTAATGTGTCATTACATTCTGTTGTACTAAGGTTTAAATGACGTCGTGTTGTCATTAGCGCGTCATTAACTTATTATGAAGGTCCTGGGGTATCATTAGAGCGTCATTAAACTTCCTGGAAAAGTGAACATTTCGTTTGCGCAGCATTGGATCTACCTATAGCTATAAAATTACACAGAAATGTAGAGTATGAAATTGACTATACCATAGTGTAAACTCAAGTGCAAATACGTAGGCTGTTTGAAAAATAGACACTGCTATGTTATCCCGAATTTAGCTATGCGTTAAAACAGTAAATTTCTCCGCTGTTTATCGTGCACTGATAAAAGTACTGTGCTACTATATTTTTAATTTGGCACCTTTACGGAAAGTGTGAACGAACAAAATGCTGTCTGATATCTGAACGACATAAGTACGTATTACATTGGTTTGTGTGCATATGTTTGACGTTATACACTCAATCTTAAAGGTCACATGCAACGTAAAACACAACTTTGCAGATTCTGATACGTTTCGGTATGGACTTACCGAAACAAATCGTCAAAAATGCAAATTCAACTTATAAAGTTGAAAAATAACGCGATGAAAAAAACCGCGCGAAATCGGAGTTCAAACGTTTCACTAATTTTCCCCCGACTTTTCGGGGGAAAACTTTTTTCAACAGCTGGGCTGCGCTCATAGCACGTGCGCAGTGAAATAGGTTCGCGCAGCTTGGAAGCGGGTTGTCCGGTGAATACTCGGTGAAGGCTTTGGTGTGAGCTATTTTTCTAATGTTTTGTTGATATCTCACAGGCGCGAGCTTTTTATATGCTATGACAGTAAATTAACTGTTTATATAATTTCATTTGTCTATTTCACCACACGTTCTTCTTACCGAGTCACTTTCTCAGTTCGATACTTGAAAGCAATGTCATTATTTAGCGTTGACAGAATTTCTAACTGTGATATAGATATGTCGTTGTCACAGACAAAACTCAATGTCTTGTTTTATTGACACCTGTGTGTCTGCCTGCCTGTCTGCTAATGACAATATTCAATACACAGCTGCTATCACTGACAACATGCAATCAGGCTATACACCATAAACAAAATGCATTGATTTATGGCCCGAGTTCGGTCTCTGTCACATTATGTAATTACACAGACAGGCAGGTGTGATACTTGAACACATGACATGTTATGATGTCTGTTGATTGTAAAATGTTATACACAAGAAATGAGCATGTATTTACAAAACCCAACATCTCTATATATACACACACAATGAGCCGTGAGGGCATCGGCAAATGAACCAGCCGTTACACTTGAGTGCACACCCACCCGCTCTTACTGGGTTCGGTATCCGGGCTGCTTCGTTTCTTGGGAAGTAAACCCAAGTACACAATATTGCACTTTTGATTTGCGATTGTACGCTTATAATTTTGTTTATATGTTTTTTCATAACCAGCAAAGTATATTATATGTCATGAATAAGTGATAATTGTGTTTTAATTATGTTTGATTTTTTGGTTGCATGTGACCTTTAAAAAATGACTCGCAATATGTGTTGAAAATAGATTTTCCTCTATGACGTCGAATGACTACAAAAGTTCATACGCTTATAAAGATAAGGGGGCATCACTCCGTTATGCTTAACGATTAGTCATTGTAACTCAGATCACTTTGAGAGAATTTGCTGTTGATAAGGACACTATGTTTCAGTGATGATTTGTTCACGGTATTATCGAAAACAATGATACTCAAAACATTTGTGACAAACGCGCACCTGGCCAATGATTATACGCCATTGTTTTGTCTATAACACAACATAAACAAATTCAATGAACAAGACATATCCTTTAAAAACGTTTGCATATATACATTTCATGAAATAAATAAATCATTTATATTTATTATGTCAGTTTTACTTAGGTTTAAAATACTAAATGTTGATGATGAAATTAGTTTCATGAAACCACATGTGAACGATACGCAAAGTATACATTAATAATACAAGTGTAATCTGCAGGACAGTGTGATTGTGTTTACTCTTATTCAACTCTTTCATTAGGAGTCAAACAAGGAAAAAGGCGGCAGAAAGGAGGAGGGAGGCAAACAAAACTGGAGGGGGGCCTCCACCATCAAGCCTGACAGAAATGTAACAGCGGGTGAGCCTACAGTCCTTTCTGAAACATGAATTTCACGTGTGTCTTTATTAAGATATATGAAATACATCTGGGCATATTGTTTACAGTGTATACAGTTGCTGTTGAATTGTAATTTAACAATTTCATTTCAGGTTGTATCATTCCTGCCTTCATGCATTATTCAAGGTTGTGACGTCGGCATTGAAAGTGAGGAAAATAAGGTGAATATGAAAAGGTAAGGAACCGATGTAATTAAAATTGATTTAAAAATTTGAATAATAATGCAGATGAGTTACCATACCTTTGGTAGATTGTTCCTTTTTGATTGTATGAAAATTTCTCAATTGTTATTACAATAAATGTTTTACTTACAGACACTACTCCAGCCACCCCTGAGACTCTCCAAGTACTGCCTGATTTGCCACGTGATGGGGCCTACAGTCTGCCTACCTACTCAGAGAGTTTGTTGTCAGCAGATGATGTTCCCCAAGAATTGTTAATATGTACATCATGGATATAAGGCTCATTAAGTTTAGGACAAGACAGTTATAGGGTTCTGTGTGGAGAGAGAATTATGACAGTTTCAAGCAAGTAATCTATCACAACATAATATGACATCATATCTACAATATCATAGTATCACAGGTTTGATGACTTGATAGTCCACTCTCTCTGTGTGTTCATGTTTCACATTGAGAGAGAAGATGGGTGGTATACATTTAATAGTAAAATGTCTTTACTCAGAATTTCGGATTCTTGTGATTATGTTTTCATGTCTACGTCCACATTTCAAAATCAAATGATGTGTATCTTTATTGCAGTTGATGCAGTTGAGGCAGTTGCACACTTGATTGCCTCAAAGACTCTCAGTGATATGTACTGTTATTCATGAAGTTTCAAAACATACATAGATGGAAATTGTATTTTGCTAAAGAACTTGTTTGTGTGTATTTGCTATACTGATGGATGGGAAATATCTCCTGGTGTCAGACTTGTGCTATATAACATGAAACTATATTTGAGATAAGGATACTATTGTTATGATAGAGAGGGAGAAACTGAACGTCCTTAAGGACCTGCTTGAAGTTCAAAAGAAGAGACTACACATTGAGGAGCAGAAGTTTGCCTATATCACCTCTCTGCACCAGACTGGCCAATCTGAACTCAATGTGTCCCCAATCATTCAGTTTCTTTGACAGAATATGCATTTGCACAACAATTTAAAAATCAGACTGTTCTTGTACCTATTGTTATTATTTATCATAATTCTGCCCAATGACACCATTATTAAGAAAAGCAGTTTTTTATGACAGCTTGTTGAACTTTGAGACCATCATTTAGAGGTCCCTGGTAAGATATCCCATCTTCGTGGGTAAGGTCTTCCAGTGTTGGAGGAGGTGGCAATCTGAGGTTGATGCAGAAATCGTGTAACTGACAGGTTGCATACACAACTTGATGGCATTTCTTTGGGTTGAATGGGAGACAGCCACCTGATTTATGTAGGCACCTATAAACAAAACATTGTTATTTGTTCAGCATAAAGACCAATTTTACTAGTCAAATTGTTCTTATATATTGAAGTATTCTTGACGGATCATGTCTTTCATTTACTAAGAAGTTTGAGTATCAATAATATCACATTATGCTTGTGTTATATTATTACATCTCAATCTGTCACTAGCCAAAAAGTAAGCTTTACAATATATGAGCATCTCAAATAGCGTTATAATAGCTTTGAAAGAATAATGTATGAACTTGCACATGCCTAAACCTGGATTTGATGAGTCCAAAAGCCCTCTCCACAGTATTGCGGGTTCTGCAGTGAGCAGTGTTGTACCGCTCCTTAGAAGGTGTGGTTGGATTGACTTTTGGTGTAAGCAGCCATGGGCGACAGGCATATCTGATGGAAAAGTAATAAAAAAGTATAAATAAGCCATACCATTAAGAACATAAAGTCAACATGAATACTACAATAATACATATCAACTAAAGGGTGAAATAAAATTTCATTTCCTGATTGATTAAACACTGCTGTCTTCAATTCAACTTTAAATTTTTATTCTACTTGTAATGTTATGTATGTATGTATGTATGTATGTATGTATGTATGTATGTATGTATGTATGTATGTATGTATGTATGTATGTATGTATGTATGTATGTATGTATGTATGTATGTATGTATGTATGTATGTATGTATGTATGTATGTATGTATGTATGTATGTATGTATGTATGTATGTATGTACGCACGCATGCATGCATGCTTACCCTGAATCACCTAGCAGCCATCCGTCAATCCCAGCCGTTTTGAAGCATAAACGAGTCATGAACTGACCAATTTGACACCACACTTGTGAACCTTTGGATTAAAATTATAATTATTTCATCAACCATGCATTCATTATTGACTAAAGTCATGTAATTACTTTCTAAAACGGCAAAAGCAACCTTTTTTGGACCTCATGGCATAACCCATATTGGGCCTTGCGTAATGATTGGTTATGAAAACGAATAGGTGGCACCTCTGGTCACTGTCAAGGTCATTAATGGAGTAAACAAGGTGTGTATCCTTCGAAGTTTTACATTATGATTTGCCACCATGTTTGAATACGGGTAGTATACATATGCTGAAAGCATAACGCATTAAATATGGACGTTTTGGGCTATAGTAGTTAGTTTCTAAGTAGTGTCACGTACCTTAGTTCTGCGTCACAGACAGCTTGAACGTTTACGGCATGGAAACCCTTTCTGCACACGTAAACATCTTCTTCGTCATCGCTGGGTCGCATAATAGGGATAAGAGTTCCATCGATACACCCAAGCACCTTTGGAAATCTAGCAATGTTATAGAAGGATTCCTTGGTGGCTCGTTGGTCGGATGCTGTCTTTGGGAATGATATTTGTTTCATATGTTTGACAATAGCATCGTTTGTGCGGGTAAATACCCGTGACACAGTGGACTGGGATACCCCATGCAGGTCAGCTAGCTCAGAGAAAAACGACCCCTTACCATAATATCTGAGGGAAATTAAAACCTGTGTTTCCGGCGACAATGCATGAGAACGCTCGGTTTGGAAAGCAAGATATGGTGATAGTGAGTTTACAAGCTCAAAACTGGCATGACGTGGTAGACGATATCGCCGGACTATGCTGTCATCATCCAGCGTATCGAGAACCCGAGTTCGGTCCTGAAATACCCTTGGTCGTGATGGTTTTGACTCTTCTTCAACTAAGCCGAGCAGAAAATATGCAGCCATCTTAATTCCCAAGTTACGACAGAAATGTTTGATTTACGATAAGCGCTGGCCGTTCTTAAATTTTCTCTTAACTTTACGAGATGTTTTCACTAAGATAGCTTTGTGGATCGCTTAGATTTGTGTCTTAAAGTTACGATAGGTTATACGATGTTCTTAGCGCTACGAACGCTTTGTGGATCGGGCCCCAGCAACCGATGCATGTCGTAAGAGGCGACTAACGGGATCGGGTGGTCAGACTCGCTGACTTGGCCGACACATGTCATCGTATCCCAGTTACGTAGATCTATGCTCATGCTGTTGATCACTGGATTCCCTGGTCCAGACTCGATTATTTACAGACCGCCACGATACAGCTGGAATATTGCTGAGTGCGGCGTTAAAAATCAACCAACCAACTGAAATGTGTTTTGTCAATCTGAACGGAAGGGGCAAGCTTTCTAGATAACAAATGCTCGTTACTTCGCAAATGGTGACATTGTAATTGCTCACTATCCTACGATAGTCTATGACATCAAGTGTATGATAAATAACAGCATTTGAAATAGATTAGTGTTTTTATTGAGAAAATATCTTCTCAGTAATATGCAAGTAATATTGCTTCTTACAGGCCTTTAGTAATATAGCAGTCATAACGCTAACTATAATGTCTCTCTGACATTGCTGTATTACTGCTGATTACATGCCTATGATAATATACCGTATTTCCTCCAAAAAGCGCCCGGGGAGTTTATATTTTCAATGGACTTCCTGGCCCGGCCCTTATTAGAGGCCCGACGCCTTTGCTCTTACTGGGTGGAATTACATTAATTGTAAGGAAGCTGCTTTACACCCGGCGCTTATTTGAGGAAATACGGTAGCTGTAATATTGCTGATTACAGTGAGTGAGTGAGTTTAGTTTTACGCCGCACTCAGCAATATTCCAGCTATATGGCGGCGGTCTGTAAATAATCGAGTCTGGACCAGACAATCCAGTGGTCAACAGCATGAGCATCGATCTGCGCAATTGGGAACCGATGACATGTGTCAACCAAGTCAGCGAAACTGACCACCCGATCCCGTTAGTCGCCTCTTACGACAAGATAGTCGCCTTTTTATGGCAAGCACATGGGTTGCTGAAGACCTATTCTACCCCGGATCTTCACGGGTCTGCTGATTACAGGCCTGTGATGGCATTATAGAGGAAATGGTGCTTGCATTGCCAAAAACTGATTAAGTAACGTGATATTCACCAAATTTGAAAAAAGCACACATACGAGTGATGAATTCAATTTATCATGTTCACATTGCTGTTTCTTTTTGGAGAAATAACCATCAAAACTAACAACAGAATTAAAAAACAGAGTTTGGCCGAATAATTAAAACTAAAATAACCGTAACAAGTTAACAACTATTCTGCGTCATTTGACTATACCTCTGGTATAAATGTCACTGATATTTAGCACTTCAATGAAAATGTGTTCACTCAGAAAATAATTCCGTTATCTAATTTGCATACTTGGGTCATGGGGGGTATGGACTATATTAAAAGTTGTCCACTGGTCTCGAGGGGGACATGGGCCGATGTACCCTTGATGTTTGTTTAGAACATGAAGAAACATCGAGGGTACATCAACCCAGGGACCAGTGAACAACGTATTTATCTTCAAATACACCTCAATGGTAATTCTGAACTGTTTGAAGCACGGGTATCGGATCATAGTATGGAGTACCAGATGACAAGACAAGAAAAACAACTTTAGAGTTGTCTCTCTTCCACCGAATTGCATTCGCAAAACATCGGTAATTTCCGTGCATCATACGTAATACAACGTTATTCGAGATAAAGAATTACTACTACGAAGTACCAAATGAGTTCGGTATTCCCAGCGGGGTACATAGAAAATGTTACTCGCTTGTAAGCGGGGTACATTGAAAATAATAGAAAAGCGCTAAGCCAATCAAAAATCGACATTTATGTGTGAGGCAAAATATGTTTTCATGTCCTAACCTTATGTCACAGATGAATGCTTTATTTAAATGATACAGCTGTAATATGCCAGATATAGGTGTAATATTGCTGACAACAAGCTGTGTGATAATATAGAACAAATCTTATGGATAACAGCTTCTTTATTTCGTGAGTGTGACGTTTCGATACAGATTCTTGTCCCGTTGTCAAGCAGGAGTGATACATGGAGTGGAGGAGATGTATATATATACTAAATGTAACAATGAGACAACATAATTGACAGAGAAAACAACATAATTGCCATAATTGGTTAAGCAGTAAGATGTTGAAGCCACTGAGTACACAAAGGATAGGGCGTGGAAGACAGAGATGTACATATAAAATCCATTGTAATCCATAAAATTTGTTCAATATTGTACGTCCCAACTTCTAAAATGCCACTCAAACAAGTTAAGCTGTGTGATAGGTATCTATATAGGATACGAAGTTCTTTGACAACAATCTGTAAGATCAAGCTGCCATAACGACGTCAGACGTGACGAAACTATTCTATGATGGCGATACTACTCTTCACTTGAAGGTACAGCTTCGGCCCCCATCGACTAAGAGAATCTGTCCCGTCACATAGCTTGCAGCGTCGGAGGCAAGGTAGCCAATAGCCTCAGACACATCTTGGGGCGTGCCCAATCTGCCAAGGGGGGCTGGCACTGGCTTGTGCATCCAAAAAACTGTAAATGTATAATAATAATCTTTCATGAAAATAGTACAAGGGCCATTCCCATTACAATCACCCCAACACCAAAATCTGAAGATGGATGACACGTGTCATGGTAACCCAGTGGCGTAGATCGATGCTCCTGATGTTGATCACTGGATTGCCAGAACATACTTTCGCTTAGTCACCGAGTATACCCAAAGGTTCAATGTTCTATCAACGGACATAGGTGGGGTGAGGTGAAGTGAGGTGAAATTGGGTTTAACGTCGTACTTAAGAGTATTTTGCTCATATGACGACGTGCATGCGTGTGTATGTGTATGTGTGGCTGCTTGTACTAGTCCAGACTTAAGTTCGTTTTATAGTGCTAGCTCATTGAGATACCATGCCGCAGTTAAGCATGAATACCCCACTCAGACACATTACACTGACTCCGAGCCGACCAGTCCTTGTTGTACCCATTAATGCCGAGTGCCAGGCAGGAAGCAACAAGTACCATATTTTAACGTCTTTTGGTATGACGCGGCCGGGGACCGATCCTGCGACCTTCCGCTCTCCGGGCGGACGCTCTAACCACTACACCACGCAGGCGGTCAGAACGGACATACAATGTATCTACTGATGTAATAGGTGACATGTATTTCGTCGCGTCACAAATCACAACTGTTTAGATCTATCTGACCAGTATCAACGTTGTACATAATGAATGCTTAACGCCGTAGTTACTGACCTTCTGTATCTCGTCGTCTTTGCCATGGAGGGCAGAACCCTCTCGTCCGAAGATCGAAGTAGCCACAGTGCTGGGGCTGAAACCAAGGTGTGTGGAGCTTAGATGCCAGTTTGGCGTTTGATAATGACTGAGAGAGTTTACTACTGAACTCTGAGCTATTAATGATTTGTGAGTGGTTGTTTCGATATTAACAAATAGCACTCCTTTAGAAATGATTTCTTGTTGTGTTAGAGCGTTAAATGAGACTACCATTACCTATCAAGGATATAATTAGGAAAGAATATGGGCTCCGTTCCTCAAAGCGATCTTAACGCTACGACTGCCGTAAGTCTATGTTAAAGTATGGGAGTTACGATAATCTTAGCGCTACGACTGCCGTAAGTCTATGTTAAAGTATGGGAGTTACGATCATCTTAGCGCTATGACAGTCGTTAGTCTATGTTAAAGTATGGGAGTTATGATCATCTTAGCGCTATGACAGTCGTCAGTCTATGTTAAAGTATGGGAGTTACGATCATCTTAGCGCTATGACAGTCGTCAGTCTATGTTAAAGTATGGGAGTTACGATCATCTTAGCGCTATGACAGTCGTCAGTCTATGTTAAAGTATGGGAGTTACGATCATCTTAGCGCTATGACAGTCGTTAGTCTATGTTAAAGTATGGGAGTTATGATCATCTTAGCGCTATGACAGTCGTCAGTCTATGTTAAAGTATGGGAGTTACGATCATCTTAGCGCTATGACAGTCGTCAGTCTATGTTAAAGTATGGGAGTTACGATCATCTTAGCGCTATGACAGTCGTAAGTCTATGTTAAAGTATGGGAGTTACGATCATCTTAGCGCTACGACAGTCGTCAGTCTAAGTTAAAGTATGGGAGTTACGATCATCTTAGCGCCAGGACAGTCGTCAGTCTATGTTAAAGTATGGGAGTTACGATCATCTTAGCGCTATGACAGTCGTCAGTCTATGTTAAAGTATGGGAGTTACGATCATCTTAGCGCTATGACAGTCGTCAGTCTATGTTAAAGTATGGGAGTTACGATCATCTTAGCGCTATGACAGTCGTAAGTCTATGTTAAAGTATGGGAGTTACGATCATCTTAGCGCTACGACAGTCGTCAGTCTAAGTTAAAGTATGGGAGTTACGATCATCTTAGCGCCAGGACAGTCGTCAGTCTATGTTAAAGTATGGGAGTTACGATAATCTTAGCGCTAGGACTGCCGTAAGTCTATGTTAAAGTATGGGAGTTACGATCATCTTAGCGCTACGACAGTCGTCAGTCTATGCTAAAGTATGGGAGTTACGATCATCTTAGCGCTATGACAGTCGAAAGTCTATGTTAAAGTATGGGAGTTACGATCATCTTAGCGCTACCACTGCCGTAAGTCTATGTTAAAGTATGGGAGTTACGATTATCTTAGCGCTACGACAGCCGTCAGTCTATGCTAAAGTATGGGAGTTACGATCATCTTAGCGCTATGACAGTCGAAAATCTATGTTAAAGTATGGGAGTTACGATCATCTTAGCGCTACTACTGCCGTAATGCTATGTTAAAGTATGGGAGTTACGATCATCTTAGCGCTACTACTGCCGTAAGTCTATGTTAAAGTATGGGAGTTACGATCATCTTAGCGCAACGACTGCCGTAAGTCTATATTAAAGTATGGGAGTTACGATCATCTTAGCGCAACGACTGTCGTAAGTTTATGTTAAAGTCTGGGAGTAACGATCATCTTAGCGCTACAATGGCTTTGAGGAACGGGAGAATGGTCTCTAACTTATTTTGAGTAATATATATATTTCAAGTTCACATTTCGTGTGATGTATATAATTGAGGAGCAGATGCTGACCCTTCTTACACAGACAACGTCTCACTTTGACAATAGTGACAATCGAAAACAGGCAGATCGTTGGGTCATAGCCCTCCTGTAAGTGTGTGCGGCATATGTCTGTCAAAATCTATGCTACCTTGGAAGGATACACAGAAATAACACATTATTAAGGCATTAAAAAAGTTGTTGTTCCGATTCCCCGACAGACCCTTGAATTCTGGTGCCGAACCTTTTTTTATAAGCAGTATGAATAAGATAACCGTTCTGATACCATTGTTTTTTCCCGGCACCAACAGACATTGGTCATTCTGATAGAGAATGTCCACATGATGGCCGCAAGCTTGGTTAAATAAACAATTACACATTGATAAATGTGTTATTAGTTTGTACTTTACTGCTTAAAAAATGTATTAAAAAATCCTACTTAACCACCCTAATTTTAAAGAGGTGTAATCGGAACCACAACATTGTATTTGGCCTAATCAGACTCGCACACCCAACTGATGTGTCATTGCTGAAGAGAGGAAATTCTTACCTCACAGAATTCACCCGAACCTTTTTGGGCGCGAGCTCTGCAGAGGAAAAAACAACATTCGTAAACACATGTCATGTTACGATGAACACAAACATAAATACTTATAGTCCGTGGGTGTGACTAAATATACACATGGTTGGTTGGCACCCAGTTTCGGCTCAGTGGGTTTGCATATGATGACAAATAGATATATGCTATGTGTATCATTGACCTAACCAGAAGAATCTGATTCAATTTTAGAGTTTGTCATCCCAAATTATAGATTTTTCATTCACTGTTATCGGGATGTGCATTTTCCGGTCATGGGGGGTAAAAGCAGATGATTGAATTTCTGTCAACAGTGAGTGTGTTTCAAACATGGAAGTAGTCTGTCTCACAGTCCCTGAACCACATTATTACCCCTACTGCCTGGCCCTCTCTGCAGTGCTAAAGCCCTAAATAAAGCAAGTCAATTTCCTCAGGTTCTGAATCTCTGGTCTCACTGGGGCTCCTTTTCAATTTAAATGGGCTTGTTTGTTACTATCAAAATTATATATATTCAGAGACTAAGTATTAGTCTAACATGGAAGCTGCATGCTCGACTTGGGGTCACGCCTACTTAAGTGGCCAGTGTCAGGCAATGTGTTAGGGTGTCAGTTTGTTATCCAATATGCCGTCAACGGATGCTCAAACGAGAATCTAAATTTAATATCAGTAATTGTCACACTAAAGCATACTAAAGGCAACACACATTCCAAGATAACGTTGTTTCGAATTGTCTCCCCTGAACAGGATGAACTGATGACTTTGACCACAGGCAAATTGTAGCGCAAATAGGATTGCGCAACAAAGAGAAAATGACCAGTCTTTCCGCAGATGGGAAGACTGGTCATTTTCTCTTTGTTGCGCAACCCTATTTGCGCTACAATTTGCCTGTGCTTTGACAGACGTATCCTCTAAGTTTCCTCATGTGCAAAATACACAGACGACGGATCTGATCTAATTATACGAACCCCTAAATCAATGCATCATTACAACTAACGCACGTTTCGCTGGAACAACCTTCCAACACTATGGGTTGGTCACCCCACGTCGCAAACAGTTACTCCGCCCTTCCCACCACATCTAACGCTCACCCAGTTACCTCTTCTGACATACAGTCACCCCACAACCACTCAAAAAGGTCTGTCCACTCAAAACAGTCTCCCAACCAAACACACAGCGCTCCTTTCAGTCACCCACCTAGAAAACCCAAACAAGTGATCAACGAACCAAATCATTCAACCCACATTATCAATCTCAACATTCAAACAGTCATCCACGCAAACTGTTACCCCACTTAATTCAGTCAACCAGCCAAGAGATCACTCCACCCACACAAAATAAACCTTATAGATAAAACTCACAGTCAACCCTCCCACACTGTTCCTCCACCCAAGTCAACCCTCCCACAGTCAATTCTCCCACACGGCCACTCCACCCAATTTAACCCATACGCACAGTCACCAAACCCAGAGATGACTCCACCATGGTACTCGACACAGATGCTCATCCATCGACAGTCTCTCCACACAGATACCCAGCCATCGACAGTCACCCCACACAGACACCCAGCAATCGACAGTTACCCCACACAGACACCCAGCCATCGACAGTCACCCCACCCATCCACCGACAGTCACCCACCCACCAAGACACTCACCCAAAGCCAGGCACTGAGTGAACATGTCAAGGGCGGCCTTGCCGACACAGTAGATCCCAACCTCCGGCATCTGGAACACATGTGACTCGATCAGCCATCCATTAGCAACAGATGATTGTAACAATCGCTTTTTCTCTCTCTGCAATGTTTTCTCTCAAATTACGATTTACATTAATTTACACAATTTAATCATTAAATTATTGAACTGTGAATCTTAGTTTGTTTTCGCTCCGAAGAATTTGGGAAGGGGAGGTAACTCTGGTCATCTGAGAGGTGACTCAGGTGCCCGGAACTTCGTTTATCCGAACAATAATTGAGAAAAACGCAAACGAGGTTCGACTATACCGATACGATAAGCTGTGTCAATCATGGCATCAAGCCTGACCACCCGATCTAGTTAGTAGCTCCAACGAAAAGCGTGGGTTGATGAAGATCAATTCTTATACGGATCCTCATTGACTCAGGAATTGAAGAACTGTGACCAAACCATTCATACCACAAACATAGTTGGACTCACCGCCCTGGTCCCGCAAAGACTTGATATATTTACAATGTTCCCTGCAAGGAGAAAAAAGCTTAGTTCGCCTGTATTTTGGGCACCGCATTACACCATTTCACGTTTTACGACAATGTGCTACACTACGTGGGTAGGCCGAGCATGGGTTATTGTTTGCATGTTAAAGGTAAATGAAATATTTAACTGTTTTCCTTCAGAACAAATATCGCACTTGTCCACAATGACATCGAGCTCAGAGCTAGTCTAGTCACCAAACCCACCCACTCCTTCTCGCTCTTGCTCATTACTTCATGTCATGCGTAGAGTTTTGGACATTTTCGACCGCATCTGGATTAGCAGCCTGGTGGTCCTGTGTAGCAATCGTAATATTCGGTTCTGCCTAGACTACGTACAGTCTCCTTCCCTTTCCGATTTTGAGTTATTTTGGAATTCATCTTTCTCATCTGGAGATAAACGGGCTATACGCACCCCACTCCACCGGACGTACCCATTCGCGTATTCCCAGATGTTCCTCCAGAAGCATCCCTGCAGCTCTTCCAGATTACCCACCCTGCCTCACCCCCAGATGTACCCACCCTGTCTCACCCCCAGATGTACCCATCCTGTCTCACCCCCAGATGTACCCATCTACGTCTTCTCCAGATGCACACCCACCTTCATCTTGTTGTCTTTCCCCCAGATTTACCTAACACTGCGGCCTCCCCCAGATCTACCCACTGAGCGTCTCCCCTAGATGTACCCACTGAGCGTCTCCCCTAGATGTACCCACTGAGCGTCTCCCCTAGATGTACCCACTGAGCGTCTCCCCTAGATGTACCCACTGAGCGTCTCCCCTAGATGTACCCACTGAGCGTCTCCCCTAGATGTACCGACCTGCGTCTCCCCCAAACGTACCCACCCTGCGTCTCCCCTAGATGTACCCACTGAGCGTCTCCCCTAGATGTACCCACTGAGCGTCTCCCCCAGATGTACCCACCCTGCGTCACCCCCAGATGTACCCACTCTGCGTCTCCTCCAGATTTATCCAACCTGTATCTCTACCAGATGTACCCGCTGAGCGTCTCCCCCCAGATGTACCCACTGAGCGACTCCCCTAGATGTACCGACCTGTGTCTCCCCCAAACGTACCCACCCTGCGTCTCCCCCCGATGTACCCACACTGCCTCTCCCCCAGATGTACCAATCCTGCGTCTGCCCCAAATATACCCACTCTGCGTCTCCCCCAGATTTATCCAACCTGTATCTCTACCAGATGTACCCACCCTGCGTCTCCCCCAGATTCACCTACCCTGCGACTTCTCCAAGTGGGGGACTGCCAGCTGTGACAGGAGGAAGGGCACCTTCATGTTGAGGTCCATCGACTTATCGTAGTCGGACTCCGACATACCCATGGACTCCCCAGGGAAGACCACACCAGCGTTGTTCACCTGCAGTACAGGTAGGTCAGGTGAGACGCCCGGGTGATCAACACTTATACCCGGTCATACATGTGTAACCACAAATCAAAACGCATCCTTAGTATAGATTACGATTGTGTACATGTTGCCAAAACACCACAGATATCGTACCTAATTTCCCAGTGACCTTGCCCCTGTAGACAATTCAGAGACTAGTCTATGACCTTCGATTCGATTTTGGCGGGTTAATGACACACCACAATATGGTCGCTAGGTCCAGGTGCCGACAGCACGCGGTCGTCTGTCTTCCTGTTGGAGCGCTGGCCAAAACTGCAGATACTGATGACGTCACTTTGAGCATCCGGTTGCGCAGATGGATAATGGATATCTTCCGGGAGGTCATTCTCGGCCTTCAGGTCTGGGACTGATTTTCATGATATTCCACACACATCACTGTAAAGGATGCATGTGTTGTTTGGACAACACTACACAATGCTTGTGATTGTAGGTCACATCACAACCAAAGCACTTTTCAAAATATTTGCCTTTTCTTAAAAAAATATTTCTGTAACACAAGATTTGTACTTCCTTTTGTACATCGACCCTAGATGGAGTGGTCACCAATTGTACCACTACAACATCGAAATGTTTCACATAACCCCAAACAAGCAAACATATTCAAGAGAAACCAAAATAATCACGCTAAGAAAAGCATTATAAATATGTTTTAGGTGTTTTTTATGCATTCGGAACTCACCGGGGCAGACTAAAGTCACACATATACGTATTCAGGCTGGAAACGCCACCCAACGATCGCACCCGTACACGTACCAGTACATCGAGCCTGGCAAACTTGGCGACCGTCTTTTCAATGGTGTCCTTCCTGAACGCCGAGTCAGTCAGGTCACCAGAAATAGTCCGAATCTGGAAATCAAACAGACCATAAGTCATGCTTCGTGTTCTCACCTTCAGTGTTCCTCGGCTCTGTAATTGTTGCTTTTCTTGTTGTGTTAAGTGTACGTGTCTATGCCAGATTACGTCAGCTTGTAAATAATCGAGTCTGGACCAGACAGTCCTGTGACTGACTTCATGAGTATTGATCTACGCAATTAGGATACTATGACATACGATGATAGGATAGCCTTCATTTCTGCACCGACCGTGGTGTAGTGGTTAGAGCGTCCGCCCGGAGTGCGGAAGGTCACGGGTTCGATCCCCGACCGCGTCATACCAAAAGACGTTAAAATATGGTACTTTTTGGTCCCTGCCTGGCGTTCGGCATTAATGGGTACAACAAGGACTGGTCGGCTCGGAGTCAGTATAGTGTGTCTGAGTGGGGTATTCATGCTTCACTGCGGCGTGGTATCTCAGTGGGCTAGCACTATAAAACCAGCTTCAGTCTGGGCTAGTACAAGCAGCCGCACATACACATACACACGCATGCACGTCGTCATATGAGCGAAATATTCTCAAGCACGACGTTAAACCCAATTTGACCTCACCTCACCTCACCTTTTCTGCAGCTTTCTAACCACTATCACATTGAATGTATCTATTGTTATTTTATGTATTGTACTGAATTATATGCTCAGTATACTTCTTCTACGATGACATCCTTAGCAAGTTTGAGCATCCGATCCTGTTAGCCGCCTCACACGTTGAATCAGTTCTGACCCGGATTTACACGGGTAGTCGGTTATCGATACGAATTTAATGTCCTAGGAGTGTACAAAACCGGAAGTACAACCGGAAGTTGTTTCTCACAACACTCACGTTATCAGCAGGTACCCCGCACGCCATGCATCGCTTAGCGACATCTTCAAGTCTCGAATTATCTCGTCCGGTTAGCGCGAGTTTGGCTCCCTTTTTGGCAAAATGCAAAGCCGTCCCCTCTCCAAGCCCGGCACTCGCTCCTGGAGAATGGAGAAATAGGATGTCATTTAGAAACATTGAAAAAACAACATTCCACAAACCTGACTTGGCATTAACAGTGAACAGTTTTGTCAGTAATGTACAATGTGGAGCAATAGAGACATTCATCAACATCAATAACTCGATATCACTTAACAAGCGAATACATACATAAAATACATTATGTAATTCATCAGTGGACCTTATATTTAGTAAGTATACAGTGTAGGTGAGGTGAAATGGGGTTTAACGTCGCACTTAAGAATATTTCGCTGGTTTTATAGTGCTAGCTCACTGAGATACCATACCACAGTTAAGCATGAATACCCCACTCAGACACATTATACTGACTCCCAACCGACCAGTCCTTGTTGTACCCATTAATGCCGAACGCCAGGCAGGGACCAACAAGTACCATATTTTAACGTCTTTCGGTATGACGCGGCCGGGGATCGAACCCGCGACCTTTCGCAGACGCTCTAACCACTACACCACGGAGGCGGTCATTAAACAAAGTATTTTTGGTCATTTGTATGGAGCGGATTCTGGATACCTTTACAAGATTCGTTTACGGGATTCGAACCAGTTGGTTTTATAATTCGCTGGGCAAACTTTCTTCCCTTGGCTCTGCACGGATTCGCTGATCGTGCATTCGAAGCCAATACCCACCTACCTTGGTGAATTTCGGTTTCTTCCCTCTTTCAGCTCACACAATAAAATAGCTGACCTCAGCTCGTTCGCTAACTCACTAACTCATTCACTCACAAGCCAATATAGGTACTTAAACTATTCTGTACTTCAATGCGTCTATAAACCCAGCTCATTCTCCGTGGTGTATATTGCGTCCGCCTGCACTATTTCTAAAAACATATATCAATTGCATTTATATGCTGAGTGGGGGTATTCATGCTTCACTGGAACGGAACACAGTGGGCTAGCACTATAAAACTAGCTTAAGTCTGGGCTAGTACAAGCAGCCGCACATACACATACACGCATGCACGTCGTCATTTGAGCGAATTATTCTCTCAAGCACGACGTAAAACCCAATTTCACCTCACCTCACCTATCGCAAACCCAGCTCTTTCGCAGACACATATTAAAATCTGCACTATTTCTAAAAACATATATCAATTGCATTTATATGCACGGAACGGAACATGAATTGAATTATAGAAAACTGTAGCATTGTCGCCTGCTTGAGTTAAATGGTCCCATTTGTGCAATGTAACGATGATACTGCACATTTAGCAAGGCGATAACAAAAATACACAATGTCCATATGTCTTGCTCCATATAACTCCCCGACGCATTGTTAGCGTTCCTGGGAGGGTTTGAGTGTACAGCCTTCTACGTGCAAGTCTCTGTGCAGGAAAAATAGTTTTTCATATTTACCCGTAATAAGTACAACTCGGCCCACGAAACTCGCCATCGCGTGCTTGTGCTGTCTCGAATATCTGGCTAGGGAACAACTGAGGGGAACACCAATATGAATCACTGACCTCCTCGAGGTAAATTATGTTAATTCTAAAGGGAAACGGAGGTCTCCGATAACATGAAGGCTGTTGTGGATGTAGTCATGTTAGAGTTAACCAATCATTTCGCCGATTCTGACGAATTCGATCAGAGCGAGGCTGTGGCTCTCACGGCCTACAGGAAAGCTCGTGCAGTTGAACCGCAAGTGTGTCAGTCAAAGTGACCTGACACACATTGCACTGTTATTGCTTCAATCCGCCATCAGAAAAGCCGCTTTATCTGGTAGAACCTGGGAGTCGAGAGACCTAGACTTGCACTGGCTCTTCCCAAAGTATAAAAACATTTTTTATAATTAATATAAGGCTTATTCACGTGTTTATAGCTATTGTCACGTTACATAATTTACCAGTATATCCTTGCACATATCACACTGTCCATTCATATATTTTGGTTCCATTGTTAACAATACAATCTCGCCACCAATATGTACTGTATATAAATACGATTGCTTCCCTACAGTTTCAGCATATTTATGTGTGGTTAACTTTTGAATTCCTCTGATCCTTATTTATTTTGATGCTCCCATTCCAGGCTAATCTTATATTTACACGTTACCTATGATTTGTTCTTGAAATATTCTCAAGCACGACGTTAAACCCAATTTGACCTCACCTCACCTCATTTCTGCAGCTTTCTAACCACTATCACATTGAATGTATCTATTGTTATTTTGTACTGAATTATATGCTCAGTATACTTCTTCTACGATGACATCCTTAGCAAGTTTGAGCATCCGATCCTGTTAGCCGCCTCACACGTTGAATCAGTTCTGACCCGGATTTACACGGGTAGTCGGTTATCGATACGAATTTAATGTCCTAGGAGTGTACAAAACCGGAAGTACAACCGGAAGTTGTTTCTCACAACACTCACGTTATCAGCAGGTACCCCGCACGCCATGCATCGCTTAGCGACATCTTCAAGTCTCGAATTATCTCGTCCGGTTAGCGCGAGTTTGGCTCCCTTTTTGGCAAAATGCAAAGCCGTCCCCTCTCCAAGCCCGGCACTCGCTCCTGGAGAATGGAGAAATAGGATGTCATTTAGAAACATTGAATAAACAACATTCCACAAACCTGACTTGGCATTAACAGTGAACAGTTTTGTCAGTAATGTACAATGTGGAGCAATAGAGACATTCATCAACATCAATAACTCGATATCACTTAACAAGCGAATACATACATAAAATACATTATGTAATTCATCAGTAGACCTTATATTTAGCAATTATACAGTGTAGATGAGGTGAAATGGGGTTTAACGTCGCACTTAAGAATATTTCGCTGGTTTTATAGTGCTAGCTCACTGAGATACCATACCACAGTTAAGCATGAATACCCCACTCAGACACATTATACTGACTCCCAACCGACCAGTCCTTGTTGTACCCATTAATGCCGAACGCCAGGCAGGGACCAACAAGTACCATATTTTAACGTCTTTCGGTATGACGCGGCCGGGGATCGAACCCGCGACCTTTCGCAGACGCTCTAACCACTACACCACGGAGGCGGTCATTAAACAAAGTATTTTTGGTCATTTGTATGGAGCGGATTCTGGATACCTTTACAAGATTCGTTTACGGGATTCGAACCAGTTGGTTTTATAATTCTCTGGGCAATCTGTCTTCCCTTGGCTCTGCACGGATTCGCTGATCGTGCATTCGAAGCCAATACCCACCTACCTTGGTGAATTTCGGTTTCTTCCCTCTTTCAGCTCACACAATAAAATAGCTGACCTCAGTTCGTTCGCTAACTCACTAACTCATTCACTCACAAGCCAATATAGGTACTTAAACTACTAGTATTCTGTACTTCAATGCGTCTATAAACCCAGCTCATTCGCAGACACATATTGAAATCTGCACTATTTCTAAAAACATATATCAATTGCATTTATATGCACGGAACGGAACATGAATTGAATTATAGAAAACTGTAGCATTGTCGCCTGCTTGAGTTAAATGGCCCCATTTGTGCAATGTAACGATGATACTGCACATTTAGCAAGGCGATAACAAAAATACACAATCTCCATATGTCTTGCTCCATATAACTCCCCGACGCATTGTTAGCGTTCCTGGGAGGGTTTGAGTGTACAGCCTTCTACGTGCAAGTCTCTGTGCAGGAAAAATAGTTTTTCATATTTACCCGTAATAAGTACAACTCGGCCCACGAAACTCGCCATCGCGTGCTTGTGCTGTCTCGAATATCTGGCTTGGGAACAACTGAGGGGAACACCAATATGAATCACTGACCTCCTCGAGGTAAATTATGTTAATTCTAAAGGGAAACGGAGGTCTCCGATAACATGCAGGCTGTTGTGGATGTAGTCATGTTAGAGTTAACCAATCATTTCGCCGATTCTGACGAATTCGATCAGAGCGAGGCTGTGGCTCTCACGGCCTACAGGAAAAGCTCGTGCAGCTGAACCGCAAGTGTGTCAGTCAAAGTGACCTGACACACATTGCACTGTTATTGCTTCAATCCGCCATCAGAAAAAGCCGCTTTATCTGGTAGAACCTGGGAGTCGAGAGACCTAGACTTGCACTGGCTCTTCCCAAAGTATAAAAACATTTTTTTATAATTAATATAAGGCTTATTCACGTGTGTTATAGCTATTGTCACGTTACATAATTTACCAGTATATCCTTGCACATATCACACTGTCCATTCATATATTTTGGTTCCATTGTTAACAATACAATCTCGCCACCAATATGTACTGTATACAAATACGATTGCTTCCCTACAGTTTCAGCATATTTATGTGTGGTTAACTTTGAATTCTCTGATCCTTATTTATTTTGATGCTCCCATTCCAGGCTAATCTTATATTTACACGTTACCTATGATTTGTTCTTTAACAAACCGGCGGCCTATGGTGAAAACCTTATCTGAAATATTGTGTTTGGGTCAACGTTTCCACAACGAGTACGGATACACTAAACTAATATAAGTACATATTTTTATATAAATAATTGCAAAAACTCTAAATGACGCAAGTCTAGACTTCCTCAGATTCTGATTCTAAATATCCCATCCCATTAGGGCTCCTTTGCCGTTTCAGTTTAAAAGGAATTATTTTTTGCTATTAAAATAATATATTCAGAGACATATCTAATCCAAGGTCTGCGGTCCATTGTACATGTCACGGTCGACTCGGGCCGGTTTGGGTATTAAATATCGGGGTGGAGTGGGATTGCGCTGAGAAAATCTGTCAAGTCATGCCCCCAACCATCGTCCTTGAACAGTTATAGATATGATATGACACCAACATGCAAGGATAGCTTTTATACAGTCCGTTTGAGTCAGAAACGGACCGATGAATTGCAAATTTTATCATTGTACAAAATTGCCACAAATATAAATAGTACACATGTTTATCATTTACTAATACCCAACAGCTTTCTTATATTTGAAAATTTTCCGGACTCCACCAAAAAGGTTGTTTAAGAAACTATCATCATTGAAAACGCAAAAGTTGTTATCTGTCGCGGCGGGGTGAAACTGCAGAAAGGGAACAACCACTATCTCGTCGTGCACGGGATACACATGCCTGATGAAAAATGAAGTTGAATGCTGACGTGAAACAGTTGATGATTAAAGTGTACGATTTTTTCCGTGCCGAAAAGGGGCAAACCATTTTATGCCATTAATAAATTCCGTAAGCGGGCAGCAAAAGCTTTAGGAGTATCAGCAAGGGTACTGACAAATGTTCTGGAACACAAACATTGTGAGGGTGATGCGAAGCAGGTAGGGGTCGTGTCAAAATCACACAAATTAAAACATTTGGACAACTTTCAAAAGAACCTTGTAAGGCCTGTACTTGACAATGTCTCCTCACTAACAGCATGTTATGCATGAGCACGGGTTCTCTTCCTTTACTGCACAAGGTAATCTATTTCCAACACTCTCCAGTTTATCATAACATACTGTGAGGGGCGGTGAGGTAGCCTAGTGGTTAAAGCTTTCGCTCGTCACGCTGAAGACTCGGGTTCGATTCCCCACATGGGTACATTGTGTGAAGCCCATTTCTGGTGTCCCCCGCCATGATATTGCTGGAATATTGCTAAAAGCGGCGTAAAACCAAACTCACTCACTCATTCATTTCATACTGTAACCGATTTACCTTAAAACAATAGAACAATCAACAATATATTTTAAACATGTTGGAATTAAATACACCTCGGATTATCATATTAATTTAAAATTACCTGTCTCCACTAATTGGCAACGATGTCTGCACAAACGTTGGTTAAAAAACTGGTTGTCTTTCCGTCTGATATCCTTTGGGACCTTGAGATAGTGCTGGCCATTACAGAGCCAGGTTGAATCTCATGTCGCTGGTGAGTGGTTCGAATCCACTGTCCTATATGATGGTGGTGACAGGTTCTCTACGACTTCGGCGTCTGAGCCGAATGTGGTTTTGTTGTCAAAGGTTCCAGATTGTGTTCCTGTCAAATTGTTTTGCCATCTAAGATGTCTCAGTTTCCTACATTACATCACCGGCAAACTGTAGCGCAAATAGGGTTGCGCAACAGAGAGAGAAAATGACCAGTCTCCTTGTATGCGAGCGAAGCGAGCAAAGGTTGGCAACGTACGTACTTTCCTTCCCTTTATTTATAGAAAAATAAAATATCGCCACCATCAAAGGTAGACCCCAGTTCCTCACGGGGTTGTGCTCTCAGATTTCTAACCTCATATTCAATAATTACGTAAAATATACTTTATTCAACATTTTCAACATGTCAGGTAGCCCTGAATGAGAACTGTTAATTTTGGTCTCCGACAACATTGCTTTTTCTCATGTTTTGTGCCCTAGATTAATTGTCAGTAAGTATAAAATTTGGCAGCTTAAAAGTAATACAGTTCGCTCTAACCCTGTGTATTGTGTTATAAAGTTCAGTTCTGCCCTGAACTATTATAGTAAATGAGTGGGTGCGTGAAATTTCACATAGGCAGTATTTCGGCATATACCCATATCGTTATAGGTATAGCACGTAGACGCTTAAATTGTGTATGTCTATTAACTCGGAGGCGTTGACCGCCACCATCTCCATAGCCGGTATAATATAAGTTGTATGCTTCTCTCGAAGGTAATACGGTCTGATGTACGCCTCTTTGTAGCAGTGTCACCCGAGCCGGTAGGCGAGGATATGACACTGCTACAAAAAGGCGTACATCAAACCGTATTACCCGAGGGAGAAGCAAACAACGTATTACCGCCATGTTAAATGTTCAAAATATCATTTTATTTTATTTTGACTATATGACATGTAAACAAAATGGCGTCTGCCTCTCGACTGGATTTTTAATATCAGTGAAACATGTCCTTATATTGCGATCTTGGAAAATGATCCATTGTGATCAGATAAAATGCTCTGCAGGAATTGGTTGGTTTTGATCCTTGTTATGTCCTTGACAAGTTTGTAGTCTAAGATATGTTTACTTGCGTGTTGTAGCCTAATGGCTAAAGCTTCCGCTCGTCATGCTGAGACTCGGGTTCGATTCCCCACATGGGTACAATGTGTGAAACCTATTGCTGGTGTCCCCCGCCGTTATATTGCCAAAAGCGGCGTAAGACTCATCACACTCACACACTCATTTACTTGCGTCTACAGCTAACACTTAATACGCTGCCCACGCTGGATTCAGTTACTGTTTAACCCAACTGACACACTCAAAAGAGGAAATAGGCTGATCATGGTAGCTCTTCAACGATGAACGCGAAACAGTAAGCGACAGGTATAAGCCATTGAACACCAACCAAAGACAATTTCGTAGGGATGTTTTATTTTAAATGTTGACAAACATGATGGCAGCGGCTTGGACATCAGAACAGCAACTGAGGATCCGTTTCTGAAACACACAGGACAAGTGGTTATTTTGAAGAATCCGATAGTCAAAGAATTAATCAAAATATACTGAGTGAGTAAGAAGTACCCAGTGGTTAAAGCGTTTGCCCATCACGCCGAAGACCCACATCGATTCCCCACATGGGCACAATGTGTGAAGCCCATTTCTGGCGTCCCCCGTCGTGACATTGCTAAAATTGGCGTAAAACTGAACTCACTCACTGTGTGGTCGGAGTGTGTTAATACAGATACTTAGCGAAACACCCCTGACCTTTTAGGAATTACAGATTGTCTGCCCTGAGTGAATGCACAGTGTTGACCCTAGCCTTTAGCGAAAACCTGTCAAACGAAAGCTGTTACACGTCACTCTGACCCCAATGGGTATTATTTTAGTATTTTCTCACCGTTCAGTGTCTGATCCATTGTGTCGTTGAGAACCACATCGATGAATTCGCTGAGACTTGGGCTGACGTCACATCCGGATCCGCTGCACGTGCTGTTTGTCTCGGTAGATGCGGCGTCTGGCTGAAGGGGACTGAAATTGTTTCCAAATATCTCGGCTGTTTTTCTTTTCCGAAAGAGCTCCAATTCCATTGACATCGTCTGAAAATACACAAAATCTTCCCATGATATGTATCCCAGGCTTTTAAGGCTGGGATAACTGTTTCCATGATTGGATCCACATCACTTTCTTTGAAATGACCATTCGGCAACTCGGAAGGAATCAAGAGCCAAGCTGCCTGGGTGCCTATTCTCGAAAGTGTCCCAGCAAAGACAGATCCGAAGTAGTTAAGACCGGAGTTAGGTCATCCTACCGTTAGGACAAGACCCATTCTGGAAACGACCCTACCCCTGTCCTAACTTTTCGAGAATAAGGTATGACACCTATCCTAGACCCTAGGATCAAAGTTAGGATATCTTAGGGCTAAGATCCTTTCGAGAATAGGGGCCCTGGCTGCTCTCCGAGGGTCAAGTCCCAACGAACACACCGCATTATAAATTTATATTCACTGTCCGGCTTCGTCGCATCTTATGGTACGCCTGCAGCGTTCGCTCGTCACACCGAAGGCCTGGGTTTGATTCCCCATATGGGTACGATGTGTAAATATTTTCTGGAATCCCTCGCCGTGATATTGTTGGAATATTCCTTAAACCGTAAAACCTCACTCACTTTTGCCCAGAATTCTACAGTACCACATAACTCAACGAACATGCTAAGTTTTTCTTCCCTTCAGTTTTGAAGAGTTTAGATTATTAGTTAAATAAGCATTGGACATAGAATGGTCAACAAGCACCGGAAGGCTTGCATTAAGCAAATGTGCCCTGATTGCAGAATAAGCACGATTGTTTACGAATGAGAGAAAATTCTGGTCACGTGATATGCAAAATAGCCTGAGGTGAGGTGCACTGCTAAAAATCACTGCGCCAGAGAATGGACGGTGACTTACCTTGTTTTTGATGAAGTCGGCACCAATCAACTCATCCCCAACATCTGGAAACATAGAACCATAAACATGTCTTGACTTGTATTATTATTATGACAATAAAAAACAACAGGATACAACCACAGGACTGACTGACTGAGTTTGGTTTTACGCCGCTTTTAGCAATATTCCAGCAACATCACGGCGGGGAACACCAGAAATGGGCTTCACACATTGTATTCTTGTGGGGATTCGAACCCGGGTCTTCGGCGTGACGAGCCAACGCTTTAACCACTAGGCTACCCAACCGCCCCCCAACCACAGGAATGTATTGCTGCACACAAATATATTTAATATGTGTTCATTGATGAAATATCAAAATTATTCCCAAAATATATAATCGATATTTCACCTGGGTTAAAAACAAAACTTTATGCCGCAACAACTTAAATGTCTTCGAGCTTCGCATTTTCCGTACTCTTCTCACAATCCGTATTTTGTCATCACTTTGCGGTTGTGTCGAGCAGATGAACTGAACTCGAAGTACTTAAGTCGGTCCCTTCAACATCGACACAACTGTGTTTGTAACGTCATTGTACAGCCATGCTTACTTTCGCGAAAGGGCGTGGTGCCCGTGAACGACAGACAATAGCCAGGCTAAATCTGTGGTTCGAACCCCCGATCAAAGGAGTCAGGAGCCAGACCAACAGAGAGACGCATCGTTGCACATGGTGTTGCCGCACCATAGACGACCTATGCCTCCCGACAAATAATCACTAATTGTAACGAATCAGTGACCACATATCGATATGTGGTCCCCGGAAGAATGTAGCTCTAGTATGCGTAGAAATCTAAAGTATTGCTAACACTGACCTTGACATTTGACCGGTGACGTTGCATTGCAGACTGTGATGCCACCATTTTGAAACGGCTCAATCGTTGCCATGGGGATCTGTAGGTCGGCGTGAGTTGGTATGCACGAAAATTGTTTAGCTGTGTGGCCATAAGCTGTCTGCCATAACTGCATCTGAAATACAGTTTCAACATGGTTGACAGATAGGCCATTTTGGATTTGGATTTAACGTATGACGGGTTTACTAAATATTACAATCTCATTAAAGACTGATCTTAGCGCTCTGTGACGTTACAATACACAGACCCGAGAACCACCCAAGATGAGCCACTCATGAATAACCTTTTTTAAGATAGCAACGTGAAAAACAGCAAATGTTTTCTAACCATGCATCCTAAAGCTAAACAGGCGTTATTCTGAGGGACAGTTACAGGGTGTACAACTGAATCTGCAGCTTTTATGGGAGGAACACATATAAGAAACGACACTTTCCATAGCCAGTGGTAAGTACTGGTGTCAAATCTTGGCCATCTACTGGACATTCCAGAATTTTCTTTGGTTTAAGTTTATCAGCCCGGAATGTAAAGCTCGATAAAGTTATTCTGAAGGGACCTGCAGCCGGATGTCCTGAGATCTGTGCCTAGAGGAAGTAGCACTAAAATAAGATTTTAATGATATTGTTGAATGGTATGAATTTAATTTACTCCACTAATGTTATGAATTTTATTTACTTGCACCTCTCCATACACTCTGCGACTAGCTCACAGCGATCGCTCGGTGCTACCGAGACGGCAGCTTGGCGACCAGGGGGAAACTGCCGAGAGCTGCGGTATGATTTAGCTTCAGAGGCTCTCACCTCGCTACTTATAACATGTACGGCAATACGTTGGATAGTTAGCCTTTCGCCAGACAGACCCCATGCTCACTAAAAAAATGATTATTTCCTAAACTATTCCACCAATTTTCGTGAAATTTTGCATGCATCTCAGCAGTTATTCACACTATAGCAGAACGGAATTCAGGACACTCTCGATGACTTCATTAGGTTAATTAAGACTTAATTACAACAATACATTGAACATTTAGCTTTTCGCCAGACGGACCCCGTGCTCACTCAAAAGTCAATATTTCCTAAACTATTCAACCGATTTTCGTGAAATTTGGCATGTACCTCCGCCGGTAGTATACAGAATAGGGGAACAGGATTAGGGACTTCCCAGGGACCAGGGGCGGTATTCATAAAGCTTCTAAGAATTTTCTTAGTTTTTTACTTAAGTTTCCTTAGGAATTCCTAAGTTTAAGAAAACTTCTTAGTTTCTTTCTTAATCCAAACTAAGAAAAAATCTTAGCTAAAAATGTTCTTACAACTCAGAATCTTCTGAGAAGAAATCATAAAGCATGATGGGATCGTATGTACCGGTACTAGCGGTACGCGAATGACGTTTCGGAAAACCCCAAGTCTAATTTTAGTAACGGAAACGAACTCTTCAGCCGAAAAGATACGAAATAACTCTCTGTCGGTGTACATATCAAAAACATTCTTCCTAGTGTGAAAGTTTGCGTTTCCGTGAGCCGCCATATAAAATTACTTGTCTAAGTTTTTTCTCACAAGTTAAGAACGTTGTTATGGAAACTAAGAATTCTTAGTGGATTTAAGAATTCTTAACTCTTAAGACAATTCTTAGAAGCTTTATGAATACCGCCCCTGGTCCAGTTCCCCTATGTGTATACTACTCTACGAGGTTCTACAGCTTACATTCAACTCCTATTTGTCATAATTTTCATTAACAACAATTTTGATTCAAATTATAAAATACAATTCGATCTACCCTGGACAATATTTTAAATATAGAGAAACAAATATTTCTTAAACTGTCTTACCAGTGCCTTGGACTTTTCTTCTCTCAGTTTGTTGATCAGCATGTCTTTTCCCCGGCACACACCTGCACAGAGTCACACTGTCGACATTCATTTAACGGACACAAAAATGTTACCGCCAACATTCACCGTTGACCATTCATGTGATTCTCACCTTGTAAAACATCATCATTTAAGTGAATGAGTATGATTTTACGGCGCTTTTAGCAATATTCCAGCAGTATCAGGGCTGGGGACACCAGAAATGGGCTTCACACATTGTACCTATGTGGTGAGCCGAACCGGTGTGACGAGCGGACCCTTTAACCATTAGGCTTTCCATCCGTCTATCTATCCGCCCGTCATTATTTGATCAAATAAAGTACCTTTACCTGCATCATAACCTAACACTGAGCAGGCAAGGTATTCACATACAGTGCAAACTCCGTCATCCTAACCAGATCGCAGCACGCATTTATTTACAATTCAAAGTTCATGAAACATGCCTACATTGTTAACTAAGTTGCTCCAATTAAGATAGAGTATCATCGATCGGGTGTCGGGGCGGTCTAAGTGAAGAATGAAGTCTCACGTTTCAAAGCCGTGTATTTCTTCCTTATATCGGCGACTTTGACCTCAATTTCTGCCACGGTCACGACCTTCCACACCTCCAGTTTGGACAGCTCTTCCGACAGTCGCTCCACTTCCGCCTTGCTGGCATCGAATTGGTTCTGCAGCTCTTTCAGCTCATCTGTCGGACAACAAGACAAGGGACTTTTAGGAAGCGTAAATATTTTACATTGGGTTTCGACAGGTCTGCATCGTGTTGTTGGGCCCTCAGTGGCATTGACTAGTGTTGTTAGCTGTCCGAGCACCAACGGCATGAAGATTAACACGACTTATTGTAAAGGATGACATTCATTGATCTCGAGGTAACGAAGCATTTTGTGGGGTAACACTGTTTCTGTTATTGGTTCCTGAGAGAGTAAACTCCCTCTTTGTATGCAGTGACAGAAGCATGGATCGGGACAACCAATAGTGGTGGATCGGGACAACCAAGAGTGGTGGATCGGGACAACCAAGTGTGGTGGATCGTGACAGCCAATAGTGGTGGATCATGACAATCAAGAGTGGTGGATCGGGACAGCCAATAGTGGTGGATCATGACAATCAAGAGTGGTGGATCGGGACAATCAAGTGTGGTGAACAGGGACAACCAAGAGTGGTGGATCGGGACAGCCAATAGTGGTGGATCGGGACATCCAATAGTGGTGGATCGTGACAATCAAGAGTGGTGGATCGTGATAATCAAGAGTGGTGGATCGGGACAACCAATAGTGGTGGATCGGGACATCCAATAGTGGTGGATCGGGCCAACCAAGAGTGGTGGATAGGGACAACCAAGAATGGTGGGTAGGGACAACCAAGAGTGGTGGATAGGGACAACCAAGAGTGGTGGGTAGGGACAACCAAGAGTGGTGGGTAGGGACAACCAAAATTGGTGGATAGGGACAACTAAGAGTGGTGGATCGGGACAACCAAGAGTGGTGGATCGGGACAACCAAGAGTGGTGGATAGGGACAACCAAGAGTGGTGGATAGGGACAACCGAGAGCGGTGGATCGGGACAACCAAGAATGGTGGATCTGGAAAACCAAGAGTGGTGGATAGGGACAACCGAGAGTGGTGGATAGGGACAACCGAGAATGGTGGATAGGGACAACCAAGAGCGGTTGATAGGGACAACCAAGTGGTGGTGGATCAGGACAACCAAGAGTGGTGGATAGGGACAACCAAGAGTGGTGGATCGTGGACAACCAAGAGTGGTGGGTAGGGACAACCAAGAGTAGTGGATAGGGACAACCAAGAGCGGTGGATCGGGACAACCGAGAGTGGTGGATAGGGACAACCAAGAGCGGTGGATCGGGACAACCGAGAATGGTGGATAGGGACAACCGAGAGTGGTGGATAGGGACAACCGAGAGTGGTGGATAGGGACAACCGAGAGTGGTGGATAGGGACAACCGAGAGTGGTGGATAGGGACAACCAAGAGTGGTGGATAGGGACAACCGAGAATGGTGGATAGGGACGGGGGTGGGTTACTTACTGGTCCTGTGAAGTAGCTTCTGATTGGCTTCCAACAACGACCTCTTGTTGCTTTCGCACTGGTGTCTCAACGTCTCCGTCGTCCGCGACGTCTCCTGCTGTTCCTCCGTCGCCGATGCCATGCTCAGGTTCAGCTCACGTGATCGATCTATTTGTTGTACATAAATGAGTGAGTGAGTGAGTTAAGTTTTACGCCGCACTCAGCAATATTCCAGCTATATGGCGGCGGTCTGTAAAAAGTCTGGACCAGACAATTCAGTGATCAACAGCATGAGCATCGATCTACGCAATTGGGATACGATGACATGTGCCAACCAAGTCAGCGAGCCTGACCACCCGATCCCGTTAGTCGCCTCTTACGACAAGCATGGGTTACTGAAGATCAATTCTAACCCACATCTTCAAGGGTTAAGTGACGTGATGACGCTCTAACAAACGACACCAAGGTCTTACAAAAGGGCAACCTCGTAAGAACAGTCGCATTCACCTGAAATGATACGTATGATACACCTGATCTGCTCTCGGGGCGGATCGGTATACTCCGCAAAATACATAACACCAAGGACAGGTTAAAAACAGTGACCGAGGGAGTATTGTTTTACGCCCCTTCTAGCAATATTCAAGCAATATCACGAAGTTAGACACCAGAAAAGGGTTTCACACTTTGTTTTACACATTGGGGAATCGAAACGATTTTGACGTTACGAGCGAACGCTCTAACCAAGAGGCTACACCGCCACCCCCCTTAAAAGCACACATTAACTGCAAAATAAAGTAGACACCAATGTTCGATGGAGTCTAGAAATGATACAAACACAAAATGCGTTTTCGATGTGTTGTATCAAATTTAAAGTGTTGAGGAAGTTCAAAGTTTACAGAGTGTCCGGGGTTGTTTGCAGTTTTGATAGCATTTGTGAAGTGTATACTTCCCTTTGCCAGGCAGCTTAATGTAGGGTACATGTGTGTCTTGATAAACACCATCAGATAATGATATTTTAGTTAGTTGACAAACCTCACTTTTAATGAATGAAATCGAACAGGTCTGTCTGTGTTTCGACTGATTACAGCCAAGTAACGTTTCGATAACATTTGTATAGAGGTGTACCTTGAGTTGGAGACAAGGCAAACAGAAACACTTTCCATTGAGGGTTTACAGATGCCGACAATCGAGTTATCAACATCATGAGCATCGATCTGTGCAATTCTGATACGATGACATGTGTCGACCAATCCAGCAAGCCTGACCACCCGATTCCGTTAGTCGCCAATTACGACAAGCATGGGTTGCTGAAGACCAATTAAAACCCGGTCCCAGAGGTGTCGACCGAGGTAGGACTCGAAAAGCAGGACCGAAGTCAAAGATTTAAGTCATCGGGAACTTTCAGTCCGGCTTCACATTTACCTTGGAGTTCAGAGAGCAGCTCTTCATTATATGCGACCAGTTTCTCAACCCGCTGTTCCAGATTCACTTTCCCCATCTTTAGCCCCATCAGCTCTTCCTTTAGCCCCCCCCTCTCTCTTCCATCAACGTCTCCTTCTCCCCACGGAGACGTTCTACCGTTGCCTCGAGATGGCGCGTGTCCTCTGTAGGGATGAAGTTGAAACACGTCACACACGTCGCCACAGCAACATAGATAAATTGGATGCAGTATTTTCAATAAGATTATTTGAAGTAAAATCTGAGGTACCTGTTTTCCCGCTTCCGTGGTGTGTTCCGAATGTATCAACTGGATACAACCTCTTGAAACAAAGCCTTTATTTTAAAAAAAAAGCTTCAGGAATATTTTTTCTTTCTTTTTCCCTCTTTCTTTTGGTCTGTTTTCTTTCTTAAGGAAAATTATATTAAATCAACTGGAGACTACTCCAGTCTCTAACATGAGGCGAGTGAGTGAGTTCCGGCAATATCACGGCGGGGGGACACCAGAAATGGGCTTCACACATTGTACCCATGTGGGGAATCGAACCCGGGACATCGGCGTGACGAGTGAACTCTTTAACCACTAGGCTATCCCACCGCCATATAACATGAGGTAGCGATATCGATGTTTGGTTGAAGAGTGCTTCGATAATCGGTTTAGTAATGTAAAGGTCTACCAGCCTTATGTGAGTAGTTCACAGTACCTAGTGTAGCCTCGTCTTACGCGCTACAATTCCCTGTGCAGAGTTGCGTCCCTTGGGTGAAAACCAATCGTCGTGGATTCGATTCTAGTTTCGTCTCGATTATGTTTTAGGGTTTGTCAGCATCATTTACCTATATAGTAAACGTCAACACGTCAGGTGCTTGTACGCATGCGTAACTTTGCGCATAAAACCTCTGATAAATGGTCTGCACTCGCGAACAATATACCAAGATCTTGGCTAATAATACCTACCAGTTTTTCCCGACTGCGCATGTCTGAGTTGTGTTACTTCCTGTCTGAGATCTCGGACGAGTCCCTCCGTCTCCACCAGAATGCTGTTGCAGGCAACTGAAACCAATTAGTGTCACAAGATACCCGTGTGTTAAGAGTGACAAGATGCACGCATGCGTAGTGTGACAAAATGAACGCATGCTCGTTAAAAGAATATGCACGTGTGTTCTCTGTGGCAAGAACAACGTATGTTCACTGTGAAACGATGATGATGATGATGATGATGATGATTTTTTTTAATGGAAAAGCATGAACAATGTGAATGACCCCATAAAATATATGTACAAAGTAAGTGATCCCCCCTGCATGTCATGTACAAAATCAATGCCACGCCCCCAACTTCCTATCATATTTAAGCATATATTTTGAATATTTTCATGTACACGCACGCACGCACACACGCACGCACGCACGCTCACACACACACACACACACCTAGCAATAAATTATGAACGGTCCCCTAAAACTGTAGTTTAGACATTTCGAATAAGGTACACAGCAACACAGCAAAAGTCGGGACCAAAATAACCGAACCCAGTTCGATACATCCGCAAGTTCGTAATAAACGCGTTCGTGTTAAACTGACACAAGCTTAAACTGTAATAGTTCAGGGCAATTCTGAACTATCTTGCACTATGGGGTAAAGCGAACTATATGTCTTTAATATATATGTTACATAATCCGAAGGAGTGCGAATATACAGGAATGCACACAAAACTGATTGTAACGGTAATTCATCTTCTGGGCCCCACTACACTAAACGATCGCAGTGCTAAGGCGATCGTGTCTCCCGAACTTTAACATAGACTTGGTGGTAAGATCGTATTGTGGAACGGGTTCATGTAGCAGTTTGGTGAATGTACGGAGCTAGCATGGCATAGGTTAGATTGGCTGTTAAACGGAATTCACAAAGGACGGATACCGTTGACATAACTGTTATTGTAATCTACTGACTGAATGTTCTACAGCTGCCCTTGTTCGTTCCCTCATTCTTTCCAAGAATAGACTATTGTAATAGCTTGCTTTTAAACATCCCACAAAGGCTCTTAAACCATCTGCAACGCATAGAAAATATTGCGGCACGTATTGTGAGCAAAGCACCAAAATTCTCAAGCATGACCCCTATTCTGAAACAGTTACACTGGTTGCCCATAAGAGCTAGAGTGAACTTTAAAGTTTTAACCCTTGTCTACCAGTGCATACTAGGCACTGCTCCGGCCTATCTCAAAGAACTGTTCAAACCATATCTTCCATGCAGACAGCTTCGCTCCAGTGACAAAAACTTACTTCACATTCAAAAATGGAAGTTGAAATCCTATGGTTTTCGTTCCTTTCAAGTGGCGGCCGCGATGAACTGGAATGAGCTACCAGCTCACCTTAGAACAAGCCCAACAGTCACATGTTTCAAAGCAAACCTAAAGACATACCTTTTCTCTATGTTTTACAAGTGACTCCTAAATTCTATCTTGTCTGCGCTATGAGCATGCTGTCGGTGTGGATTTAGCGCAATACAAATGGACTAATTATTATTATTATTATTATTAATACAATGTACAGACGCCATTGATGCCGTGTTATAGTCGATGACGTAATGGAGTTGTACCCTAGTTAGAATGTCAATATCACTATTGAAAGTTGTCAGTAGTGTGGGGAGTGTAACTGGTGTCTTACTTCCGGATTTCTTGCCTTTTTTCTTTCCAAAGCACGTGACAGTGACTTCATCCGGGTCCTGTGCATCTGCAGCAGATATGAAAAAGGTATATACAAGGTCATAAAATGGAAAATCACTGAACACCGTGTGAATTTCCAAGCCAAGTGTGTACTTTCTGAATTACTCACCCGAGATATTTTTTGAAGATATCACCCGTTTAAGATATATTGTTTAATATGTTATTACACATTGTGTAATAACATTATTACGTGATGTGATGTCGTACGTATGACGCCAAAGTGGTATACAGTTATGACGTCACAATGCTAATACCTCTGTCACAATAGTACTAGACCTTGCTTGACTCGCGGAAAGCTGAGAGTCATCACACTCGTTGAATTCTTAGGAAAAAGGTACTTTGCTCGATTTTATTTTGCTAATGTTGGGTGAGTAATAAATAAAATGCTAAACTATGTCCCGTGTAATACCATATTTTATGAAACTCGTGAATGGTATTCAAATCATTCACTCGTTTCATAAATATGGTATTACACGGGACATCGTTTAGTATTCTCTATTAATCCGTCACTTTCTATGCAGGGTGATTCCTCACTATTCACTTCGGTATCAGAGAGGTGAGCTACAGTGGCCTTGGCCTTGCACTGGATGGCCCGCTCTCAGTTTCATGCGGCCAGCATAGTACCTCTACTACAGACAGCCGCCATGTGACTGTTTAGGGCGTTAGAGTGAGTGAGTGAGTGAGTATGGTTTTATGCCGCTTTTAGCAATATTCCAGCAATATCACGGTGGGGGACACCAGAAATGGGCTTCACACATTGTACCCATGTGGGGAATCGAACCCGGGTCAACGGCGTGACGAGCGAACGCTTTAACCCCTGGCTGCCGAGTTTTCAGGTGCACATTTTCATACGCTTTGAAAAGTGAACGTTGTGCGAGAATTGCGCTCGCGTGGTTCTGAATCTACGTAAGGCTATAAAATTACACAGAAATGTAGAATATTAAATTTCCTATCCGTTGGTATAAATATAAGTGCCACTACCTCGGCGGTTTGAGAAATAGACACTGCTAAATGTTGTCCAAATTTTTTGTTATGCGTTAAAAACAGTAAATTTCTCCGCTTTTATCGCGCACTGATAAAAGCACTGTGCTACGAAATTTCTTTTTTTGGCATCTTTACGGAAAGTGTGAGCGAAAAAATACAGCCTGATATCTGAACGACATAAGTGTATATGAATTGGATTTATGTGCTTATGCATAACATTATGCGCTCAACATTAAAAAATGACTCGCAATAAATGTCAAAATGGATTTTCTTCTACGACGTCAAACGACGACAGAGAGGTCATACACGTATAATGATAAGGGGGCATAACTCCGTTATGCTTAATACTAGGTCAATGTAACTCAGATCACATGGAGAGTATTTGTTGTGGATACGGACGCTATATTTTAGTTATTTTTTTGTCTCACGGTGAACCAAACTATTCCAATTCAAAGTTCCCCAATAAGAGCGGATACGCTTTGGTAGTTTCACAGTTTATAAGAAAGATGACAACGTACTACATGTGAAAGCACGTAATAGCGATTTGGAAGGCCCTATCCGATATATAAGTTAGTTCTTAGATTCCCATATTCCCCTGTTTGTGTAGATGTATTTTGACTAATTTTGCATCGTTATTACCAGAGTACTAGCCATATCTTCAAATGTAATGAAATTGCTGAAAATAATACAACATTTTAGTTGACGTCATTGCTTGTTTTGTGCATTTTGCGACGTCGGAAAAGACGACATTGGTATGCTGATTAGTATATATATCTCACCTAATTTCCGTTAATTGTGTGAAAGGTCTCGGCTTCTTTGTCAGAATTAACTTGCTCTTTTAGACAAAACATCAAATGACTGTTTTTTCCATTTAAATAGTGTCCTGAATATATCAACAATTAGACAGTTTGACTGTGTATCTTATCATGAGCAACACGGGCACCTGTTTGGCATCAATTTAACGTAAATGAAAAATAACACCCGAATATTTTGTTTAGGATAAGAATTTTATTTATTTATGATTATGTAGCTATTTCTCTTCATAAGTATGCAATGGAAAATGCAAAAAGATAGCTTTTATATATGGATTTAGTACGTACTATATATTAGAATATGGATGTAAGATTTGTCTAAATTAAGACATGACATGGTTTATATATTTTTAAACAATTTTCGTATAAATATAGTTAGAGTTTGATATCCTGTCATCATCACAAAATTTTAAATCGAATATGAATTGATTATATTATCGAAAACAATGATAGTGAATCACAAAACGTTTTCCGACAAACGCGCACCTGGCAATCAATATACATCATTGTTTTCTCTATAAAACGACAATACAAAATGTGCAAAAGAACAAGACAATTCCTTTAAATGTGTGTGCATATACATTTCTCAACATACATAAATCATTTTTCATTAAATATTATCAGTTTCACTATATAGGTTTAATCAAATCGCCGTTCATTAATCTGTTCATGTGAAACTGCAATATTAGTTCAAATGCATTGAATATTGTACATCATAGGAAGTAAAGTAATTGCAGTTATGGCTACGTTTTGATCTTCTAACACTTGTGTAAAGGTTTAGAATATAATGTACTGCACTAAATGCGTCAATTTCTTATGTAAATACAATGTATTATTCAAACAATCAAAACTTTCAAAGAATAAAAACACCGTAAACCCTATATGCACGTATGGTATGATATTGACAAGGCTAAATGTAGATACTGAGGTCAGTTTCATCAAAAGTATCTGAACTATCCCCAAAATATACATCATAATACTGACAGTGTCATCGGAAGGATTGGGCGATTGTGTTTTACTCTTGTTCAACCGACCTTCACCTCAAAGAAATTGCTTAATATGTACAACAATGTTGACGTATGACATCACTACCGATGACCTATTTCTTACAAAATGGCGGCTTTGCTGACAAGGATACACAGGATATTTGCGAGGACCCTTCCACTGATTCAGTGATCGTTTGTACATAAATATGACATGTGCAAGTAATCAGAATGATTCTGACTATCTGTGTATTGTTATATGTTTTATCGTTTTCTAATTGTAAGTAAGAGAAGAAGCCAGAAATGCTGATAATTACACTTGTCGTTCTGCGTGATTTTGCGTCAGTCATGGCGTCACGCTGCACGGAAACTTTGACAATTTCTTATGAATTATCAAATCATTTGCATTTTATCTATTTATAATTTCCTATTTTCTTACTACGATACTCTTTCCATGCCATATTCCAAAGGTATTGAGCAATGAATAGACGGATGAATGTTGGAAAATTTCAGAAAATGCTACGCAGTGTAAAAATCGGAATTTGTCTTTGTTTACATTTCGAACCAGCGCAGTCTTTCGAGCACAGCGTTCGTTTTCACACCCAATATGTTTTGTCTCATTTTATCTGGACAGTTGGTATTGGTGACAAAAGACTAGTTGCAATTTGATTCTAAAATGTATGGGGAATTCAGTGATGCATTTTTCGAAGCTGAATATGAAATATACGTGATGTAATTGGCGTCTCAATACCGGCCTTCGCGAAACATGATTTTGTAAACACTATCAATATGGCGGAGAGCTCTCACGGCGTTCGTGTAAGTGTATTTTCGAAAACATCCCAACCGATTCTAGATTCATCGGCAACGTTTCAGAATTATCATTAGCGATTTCATGTAAAAAGTGATATCGAGTGTTCATTAATAAACTCTGTCAAAAAGAAACGCAACCCCCTGTCCTCAGATATGAAAAATTCGTTTGAATGAAGTTATTGCTTCCAAACTAAATTTTATTCGAATGTATTGAAATGATACACGTAATTAATGAAGATTATCATCCAAACAACTGCATTTGTACGCATAAGTGTATTTTATTGCTTATTCCGTCACAACGCATGAAATGACCCTCATGGTGACTTCGCACAAAAACCACATGCAAATCATGAAAATGGCAGTTAATGTAGGGTGTATAAAAGCCCATGTGCTTCCGTATTATATTCATTCATTTGTCGCCGAAAAGCTGTGTTAAAATGCCACGATTGAGTGCTGCCGACCGAAATATCGCCATTGGTCGTGTTCAAGCCGGAGAAAGTTTTGGAACTGTTGCGGCACCTAAATGTTCACAAACAACGATATCCCGACTTTGGAGCCGCTACAACAACTTCAATTTGACCAACGATCGCCCGAGAAGTGGAAGGCCAAGAATCACGACCCCTTCAAGATCGGTACATCCGGGTCCATCACCTGCGTAATCGGCATGCCCTACCAACCGTGACTGCCACACAAATACCAGGTTTGAGGAGAGTGTCAGCTCAAACGATTAGGAACCGCCGTCTGAAAGAAGCGGGTTTACGTGCCTGTAGACCAGTTGTTGACCTGTACTACGCCCCCTACATCGACGCCGACGACTCAGGTGGTGCAACAACGTAAGGATACGGACTTTACAAAAACTGGAGGCGAATCTGGTTTTCTGATGAATCACGTTTTCTTTGCAACGTCACGACGGAAGACAGCGTCTGTATAGGAGACGTCATAACGTTTTGCGCCCATCTGCGTCCGACAGGTGGACAGATTTGGCGGAGAAAGCGTCATGGTTTGGGGAACCATCTCATACAACCAGAAATCAGACTTGGTGATCGTTCCAGGGAACCTGACAGCCCAACGTTACATCAACCACGTGTTAGAGCTTCACCTTCTCCCGATTATTGACCAACAGACACAGATTTTTCAACGGGACAACGCCCGGCCTCATACTGCACGTGCAACAATGAACTTTCTGCAGAATTCCAACGTCAATGTCTTGCCATGACCCTCCTAAATCACCAGACCTCAACCCTATTGAACACCTGTGGGATACTCTGGATCGACGCGTACGTCAACGTCAGCCGCCGCCACAGACGCTGCAACAGCTCGCCGTTGCACTGCAGGAGGAGAGTGGAGAGCCATTCCCCAGGAAAGAATCCGGCGTCTTATCCGTTCTTGTCCAAGGAGATGCCGTGCAGTGATTGCAGCGTGTGGTGCTCATACGAGATACTGAGAAAGACGCCCCCTGGTGACAAACTGGTGTCTGTGAGATGACTTTTGAAATGACAATTTTAAACATGCCCATCTGGGTTATTATTCTGCCAAATTTCAGACTTCTGTCTTAAATAATAAAATGCCGTGTCGTCCTAAAACTTCAGATCAAAATCTCTAAAATACAGGGTTGCGTTTCTTTTGACAGAGTTTATGTTACTTTTGAAATTCAATACTCCCAGTAATTATCCGATTTTCACATTTCAAACATTGTTCATGACGTCACGTCATCATGACAAAGTGATATTTTGCCCTAGAGCATCGTATGAAAAATATGAACCCCGATATGTTCGCCCTCGTAGGTAATAAACATATTTTTGTGGTTCACATTCTGAACCTGTATACTCGTCATCTTGACTCTCCGTGTACCACTTAGTACTTGCTCAAGGTAAACGGTAATGTCCGGACTGTGAAGACTGTACAATGTGACGCCATGTACCCCTCTCTGCCTCACAGTGCATTTACTCCCCACGATTGAGTTCATTACAATCGTAAAAACACTTAGTTGTCCTGATAAAGAAGAAAATAAATTGCTCACCGCTATTGCCGCGCCTGCTGCTTAAATTCATGCTGTAGTCGACCTAACTCGACCAGACTCCCGTGTCCACTAACTGTCCAGTTTCTCTGAATGCCCTCCAGATCTCGGGCGTTGACGATGGCGTGTTCATGTACACGTCCCTACACCTAACAAATATCGGTGTCATATACCACAGCAATTAACGCCGTTAATCAGGAAGCGCTGCGTGTTTGATGTTGGGGAACCCCTTCAATCTGAGAATGAATCTGGAAGTTCTTACAACAGGGATGATCTTGACTTAACACCTCGGTATTACGGTGCATCGGACAGCAATCAATATAGATGGTGCGCCAATTTTCCTACTGCATGGCCGGCGTGAGGAACGGCACGCTCTGGAAGGTTGCATGAATTAGTAATGTCGTCGACTATACTGGCGTGATGGAGGGGAAATGGCACGAGACACGCTGTTTTGCAACTTTATGAAGGACATGTTTTTCTTGATGATGTAGATAATAAACTCAACAATATCATCACCACTTGTGAAAGGTATCGAATCTTCAACAACAGCCACCCCGACCCCAATCCCCTCTCTGTCGGCGAAAGTCGATGTAAGTCGATAAATATTAACTTTTCCATACAAACCAAATCTTTCAACCTTTTTTCACTTTTTAAACATTAATAACAAGTGTACTGAGTGTAAAAGGTACAGCTAACAGCTTCAGTGGCTGAGAGTTTAGTGATGTAATTTCATTGTGAGGTTACAATGATATGCAAGGCGATATCTCCTATCCCGAGTTCTTGTGGTCAATCAAGTACCTCTGCAATAGGCCACTGAGATAGGATGATTCGCGACATCTTACGTTCCATTAAACAATCGACATTCATTTTCATGCTGGCAGTAATACTAAAGTACACGTATTCAAGAAAGGTCGTATCTACAAATCATATACTATCCCAAAAAAGAAACGCATAGGCGTTTGTATTTTTAAAAATCTATTAATTACCAATTGTGTTCAAACAATCGTCAAAATATGTGACAAAAGTGTTGATAACATGATTTTACACTATTGCACAAGTGAAAATCGACTTTACCTGAAAAAGAATTAAAAAGGCATCGCAACAACGCAACAGAAATCACCTTGAACTTGAAATTGTGCAGCAAAGAGCATGCACTGTCTGGCTATACAAATCCAGATTACTTTCGGAAATCGGCATTCGTTTTGAAGGAGTTCAAGGTCAAATCACTACGCCACTTCTTGACGCTGCGACACGGAACATCGCCATTGAAAGAATGCACGCTGGAGGTTACCAATTTTCTGTTGCCAAGCGTCCGAATGTTAGTCTGAGCACGATATCACTGCTTGCAGCTCGTTACAACCCAACAGATATAACAAATGACCGTCCCCGTACAGGCAACACTCGAGTCACCACTGCAGTTACAAGAAACAGAACATTCACCATACATACCCGATCCGGCTTTCTTCACACATTCAAAAAACAGGAAATCGGTTTTCGCACCTACCTTTCTTTTTGGTGCACAGACCCATCTCGAAATATTACCGTCTACCTTTGCAAGTACGTACGTAAGTACAGCAGTGAATGAGTTTACTTTTACGCCGCTACGCCGACCCGGAAGTAGAAATGTGGGGACACCTTTTTATAGCTTATAGCGCGCTTTGCGCGAGCACGCGCCGAAGGCGCATTTGCTGCCTTCGGTAGTAAGTGACGCGCGCAGCGCGTCATATATATAGAGAAGCACGCGAGAGCGGGCTGATCTCCGTTAGGAGACATTTTAGACGAAATTAGAGGTCATTTTCGTGTTTTACTGGCAAAGTTTAATTTAAAACTTCGTCTGAAAGACGATAGTTTTAAACACGAATTTTAGTAATGCTCCAAAACATCAATCCAATCGTTAGTAATCAAGGGGAAATCCCGATGACGTTCCTTTTATCTGATTGGTCAATTGTGGACGCACGTGTCGAATGTTCCGAATAAGGTAGTCGGTTACTACGACTGCCACAACTTGTGACAGTGAATCATAGTAAGGAATTTGTGAATGTAGAGAATGGTGCGTGCATTCTTAAAATTGAGAGTACGTGGAGAGCGGTGAAAGCGTCCCTGCCCAGGTATGGAACTACGAAAGGATTGTATGATAGTTATTTTGTGGAATACATTGTGAGGAAGAAATATTTACGTTGTTCTGATGATCCTTTCGTTACATTTCTTACTTTTATCCGCCGTGTATTTGACCCCCAAAAAAACCCATGAATATTTTAAAATGGTTGAAAATGAAAATAAAGAAAATGCCATGCAAAATGAAAGCACAGATGAATTTAATTCAAGTGCAGATTTGTTCTTGTAAGGTAAGTCAATTCAGGGGCAGATTTGTTCTTGTAATGTAAGGTAAGTGAAGCGTTTCGATATTTGTTTTCTTGCTGTGCTACATATCATGTAAACTTACCTGTTTTGTTTATTGTAAATGAAAATGGAAAAAGAAGGATACAATGAAGCATCTAAGGGCTAAAATGTTTCATTTCAACGAAACAATACATTACTGGGGTATTTTTACGTCAGCGTCTTCTTAAAATATGAATAAACATTGCAATTGACAAACCCAGAAAAAAATACAAACCCTAAAACATTGTTGAGGAACGAAGGGCTAGAGAAGATTATCGATTACTATCCAAGGGTAATTTTATGGGCCAAAACAAGGCCTAAACAGCGATGTTGTTATTCGCTGGAGCAAACAAAAAATGGCGTCAGCGTTAGTGCTCGCTTCGATGTAAATATGGCTTCTGCGCATGTCTGTAGCGAAACTTCCGGGGACCCGTAAAGTGCAGTTTACCCCATTGTGTGAAGCCCATTTCTGGTGTACCCCGCCGTGATATTGCTTGAATATTGCCAAGAGCGGCGTAATATTAAACACACTCACTACAGTGACTAACGTTAGCTATACGCATTGAAAAAGAAGATGCACTTGAATTTATGTCCGCTTCACTGCGCATAAATACAACTGACATCACTGCCGAACTTCTGACTCGTCTAAAAAGGTTCAGATGCAGTAGTCAGTCAAACCACACTCCGGCACAGCGATGACTTACATAACATCACTGCCACAGGCTAATTTGCATATCACGTGATCGGACTTTTCTCTTGTTTGTAATCAAACGCGCATATTCATAATAAGAAGAGACTGGACTCACGAAAGCTTTGCGGCGCTCTCTTCATAATGTTTTACATTGTTACATATACATTCTTCCACAAATGCGACAGTTAGGTCTATGACAGTACATATTTAGATATCAAACTGGCTGCACCGTTTGCTCTCCGTCGGGTTCGATGACAGCACGTGGAGCCGTACAACCTATGTAAACAAAGGATCGCTACGCAAATCGAAATAGTGTTACATGTTTTTGGATATTTTCTCAGTGAAACTAATTCATTCTATTAAAGATGATTAGTTAGATGTGTAGACTCGTCAAAAAAATAAGAGTAAAAGAAATCTGTACATTATATTGAATGAACGGTGCAAGATGTGACGAATCGTCACATTTTTCTGGCCTGTGGCAGAGGAACTATGCTGGCTTGCCGCATGGAACTCTGGGTAGGAGAGTGCAGTCAAACAGTACCAATTACTGCTACTTCAACCAGCACGTTGAGAGACCATTCGTCACCACTCGCCCCTCTTTCCGTAACCTGCAAGAAGTCGATATTCGGCTTGTCCCGGAATAACAAGAGTTGGTCACGAATGGTTGAGAGACGTGAGACTCCATGGTAGTTACATCCTTAATAGTTCCTATATTAAACCAGGGAGACTCTATAAGTTGTGGAGTATCCCTGATTAAACTTATTGTTTTTTACGTCAGCTATCGTTTATGATGAAGCTAAGTCTAACTTCAAAATGGACATTTGAAAAATGCCCTTTGTAATACGATATCATCGCACACTAATTTGCATAAAGCCATGGTCTGTTCCAAATAAGTCACTTAGGACTTAGAAAAACCCAGCATTTCTCATGTTTGCACTAATCTCTCCTCAGTAAAGTCCTTTTCTCCGTTTCTTATCTCCATACCACTGAGTTTGTAGTTAGGCCGAACTTAGTTTAACATATATTTCACATGCTCACTACATAAATTGTAGATATAAACGTGAAACACACACACACACACCAGTTTTATTCCATTTCCGACAGTACTTTAGTCCTCAGACAGGATACCCTGCAGTTTTGATTTAGTTGTTTCTTGTTTAACTTCCACTCAGCAATATTCCACCTACATGACCGCTACCTTCCGGCTGAGTCTCTGCCAAACAATCCTGTGATCGATATTGTGGGCAACGATCCACAAACGTGCCACCCAATCCATCTCTAACGACTTGTTGAAATATGAAACAAAGTCCACACAAACCATAGCACTCTTTACTTGCATAAGAGGAACCTGTCATTTTGGGTATTTTTTTTAGAAAATAGACTAACATAGATTATTACCCTGGAGTAATCTAGAATCCATCACTAAAGTATGTACAACAGTAACAAGGTATTTAAACCAGCAAGAAACAGTACAAAATATACAATATCAATTTCATATACCGATGCATTAATACTTGTTATCCAGATGGATTAACTCCATCCTTAGATAACAAAAACAATATCAAAGACTCAGAGAGGTATCCAATGTAAGTCAAACATCCTGTCTAATGACATTGAAATATACTGATGGAAAATAATAAGGGAACATATGAAGTATAAGTGTTGCTATATTCTATTCCACGTTTCTTCCAATTCCATGCTCTGTAATGCACTGTGGGTGAAAATATGGTAGTGAGTTGGTACGGTTTTACGCCGCTTTTTGCAATATTCCAGCAATATCATGGCAGGTGGACACCAGAAATGGGCTTCACACATTGTACCCATGTGAGGAATCGAACCTAGGTCTTCAGCTTGACGAGCGGACGCTTTAACCATTAGGCTACCCCAATGCCCCTGAAAATATGGAAATATATACAGGAACACTTACACTTTCATGTTTTCCCTTATTTGTTTCCATCAGTACAGGTATGTTTCCGTAGTATAAATATATACTACTCAGTATTTGCAAGGGATCACAATTGTGATCTTCAGCCAAACCTGCAGATCTTGAGCAGTAAATAGAGAGGAACAGTGCAGAGGGAAAGGATGTTTTTCTGCAGGACCAAACGCATAGAAGATGAGGAAAAGGTGTGGTTCCTGCAGCTCATCTGATATTTCAATACATCACTGAATAAGGCATGAGTAAGAATGTCAGGTTAGATGAAACAGACAGTTTAAATAAGTCTTTTACAAGGTACAGTTTCTACAACAGTGGTTTACTTGTACAGTGGTTGGTAAGGATTTACTGGGGTAAATCAAAACACACAACAACAATATAATAACTTAAAAACCATAAAGTAGGGACAAAGACCTGGAGCGGGAATTAACCGAACTGCTGGGGTGATTAATACCAAGTTAGGGAAACTGTATTTGCGAGGAGATTGAAACTGCTATATATGTAATAAAATAGGAAACCGATGAAATGTGCATCAATAATGTTTCAAAGCAACAATTACAGTCCGTTTGAGTCAGAAACTGACCGATGAATTGCAAATTTTATCATTGTACAAAATTGCCACATAAATAGAAATAGTACACATGTTTATCATTTACTAATACCCAACAGCTTTCTTATATTTGAAAATTTTCCGGACTCCACCAAAAATGTTCTTTGAGAAACTATCATTAAAATTTTGACACAATTCACTATTTGTTACCAGGGAGGAGTGCAGAGAAAGGGACAGCCAGGTGTTAGAGAAGCACGTGCACAAGTGCCCACCAAGTTATTGATTCATTAGTCTGTGCTGTGCCGTCTCCATCCTTTCTTGCACACCTGGCTGTCCCTTTCTCTGCACTCCTCCCTCGTAACAAACAGTGAACTGTGTCAAAATTTTAATGATAGTTTCTTAAAGAACATTTTTGGTGGAGTCCGGAAAATTTTCAAATGTAAGAAAGCTGTTGGGTATTAGTAAATGATATACATGTGTACTATTTCTATTTATGTGGCAATTTTGTACAATGATAAAATTTGCAATTCATCGGTCCGTTTCTGACTCAAACAAGCTCGGACCAGTTGGGTTTAATACTGTTTTGAACATTATTCCAGTTATGTAACCACATGTCAGCTTACTGTTGGAGGAAAGACTGAAATAATGCAACTGCTGACAGTTAATACTTTGATGCCATGAGCAAGGATATTGTGCTGACAAACCTGAATACAATTAGGGCAAACCAGTTTCAAACCCAAATATGGGTTTTAGGCATGTCAAAGAGATGCAGCTCCGCTCAGCTAATTGCAGTGCCTTAGATGACTGGGACATCACTGCTCCCTTCCACTATGGGATTCCCAAGGTCACTGGTACCCCATGGTGTGATCAAAACCATATAGGGTAGAAATGCTACAGTTGCACCCAGGGTCCAGTTCCATAAAATACTGACTGAGTTTACTTTTACGCCGCTTTTAGCAATATTCCAGCTATATCACGGCG